GTGACGTGCTGGAAATTGTTATTCAAAATATGTTATGGACTTATAAATTATTGATGTATTCATAAATGGTGTGAAACGGATACTGTTCGGTGTGGTGTGAAATTTTGGGGTGGGTGTGAATTGCTAATAGTTTGGATTTTTTTCCTTCTAGAAACTCTAAAATTTGTTACCAACATTCCTTTTGGATGAGATATGGCCGTACATAGAGTTTGTACATAAATATTCAATTGTCTTTATGAAAAATTGATGATGTTCAATTAGTTTTGACGATTTCGGTTCAATGCACAGTGGTCCCAAACCTGAGTGCAAAAAATTCTAGCAAATGCTCTCATAACATCTGAAATGTTCATTTTCCAACAGTATTTTCTAATTTTAATGATTTGGAAGAAACTTGAGGTGATCTGTAGTTCAAAAATTAAGCCAGTTCAAATTAATTAAGAAAGTACAAAAATTAAGCTACAGGGTTGCCCATATTCGACGGACCCATCTGGCAACGCCATAACTTTTGACAGAGATGTCACATCGCTTAATGACATACCGCGTTTGAAGCGTCAGTCCAAGCAGATTTTTATCATGAAGCAATACACGCCACGCGAGGGCTCTGAAATAGTTGAAATTTACAAGAAGTCAATTGTGAAAACTCAACGTGCTTTTAAAACCTTAAAAAATGTGAAGTGCGCCTTCTAAGAACACCATTAAGCGTTTATACGAAAAATTTTCGACTGGTAAGGCTCTTTCTAATCCGAAGAGGCCATATAAAAGTCGACCAAGGCGATCGGCCGAGAATATCGCTGCCGTACGAGCCAGTGTTGAGAGGTCCCCAAGAACATCCGAAAAACGCCGTTCTCAGCAGTTGAGCATGACTCGGTCCACTTTACAACGGATTATTCGCATTGATTTGCATTTGTTTCCGTACAAAATTCAATTGACCCAAAAAATGTTGCCTGCGGACAAGCCTGGTCGATTGGAATGGGCCCAAATAGTCATGGGTCCGTCGAATATGGGCAACCCTGTACAACATATGTTAGTGTTTTATCTATCAGTATACCCTACACCACATATTTGTAAGGGTATTATGTCTTTGAATATTTGTTTGTAACATGGAGGAGGAAGTGAGGATTTTCATAGAATCACTTTCGGTGTCGATTTATGCATGTCAATCCATTCGTCCGTCTGTCCATGTATTTTTGTGAACAAATGCAGGTCGAATTTATTATCCGATTGAGATGAAATTTTCCAAAAAATTTTTGTTTGGCCCAAGGACGAACTCTATTGAAATTGGTAAGAATCTGCTCAAAATTTATAAATAGTTCCCATATAAATCTTCAACCGATTTCGAGTTAATTGTGCACCAAATTGCCAATATTAGTGCAAATGACCTGAATTTTGGCACATCCGACTGAATTCATTCTAGAAGCAAGTACATCAAATTCGGAGATCTGTTCAAATATAGCTATAGCTCAGATATAGCTATGTTGCATCGCATTTGGTGTTTTAAGTCCCTCACATGCGTAATATGCACTCCACAACAATGATCTTCACTATCAGATATCTGAAGCAGCTCAGAAATAAGTGCCTAAAATTTTGTCAAGATCGGTTCCGATTTTGAACATAGCTCCCATGCACATATTTATCCGATATCAGGTTTATTCTGCACCAAATTTCTAATATCAGACCAAATGATCTGAATTTTGGCACATCCAACCGAATTCATCCTAGAAACAAGTACTTCAAATTTGGTGAAAATCGGTTCAGTTATAGTTATAGTTCCCACATATAAGTTTCATCCGATTTGGTATTATAAGTCCCTCACATGAGTAATACGCACTCCACAACAATGATCTTTACTACCAGATATCAGATGCAATTCAGAAATAAGTGCCTAATATTTTGTCAAGATCCGTTCGGATTTGGACATAGCTCCCATATATATCTTTATTCGATATCAGATTCATCTGTGGCTAATATCAGGCCAAATGGACTGAATCTTGGCTAAATTCATCCTAGAAACAAATATTTCAAATTTGGTGAACATCGGTTCATATATAGCTATAGCTACCAGGTATATGTTTCATCCGATTTGGTATTTAAATCCCTCACATTTCTAAAATGCAATCTACAACAATGATTTTTGGTATCAGATATCTCACTTGCCAAATCTTATCGAGATCGGTGTTCAGATTAGAATACAGCATTCATATATATCTTCGTCCGATTTCAATTTTATTGTGTGCCAAACACCTAATATTCGTCCAAATAAGACGTATTTCGTCACACCGAACGAATTCAGCCTAGAAGCGAGTATATTCAATTTTATGAAAATCGGTTTAGTCACAAATGCCTACCTGTAAATTTACAGTAGGATATACGTTTCACTCTAAACTGCTCTAAAGTCAAAATATCCATTCAAAAACGATCATAGTTGTAGGAGGAGCTTAGTCAAACCCTTGCACAATGGACCCTCATCCATTTAGTACGCGTACCAAAACAATCTACATCTCCGCATCCTAGACACCAACAGTGATCCAAAATTACTACCATTTACCACTTTTCGTACAATTATAGTACGCTTTTGCAAAACCACTTCCATTTCTCAATCACAGATATTTAAAGAGATCTTAATATCAAATATCAGTAGATTCAGTTATTGTATACATATACAAAAGCCAATTTCAGGATTTATGTCCAATCCCAAATTGAGTACAATATATTACTTTTCGTACAATTATAGTACGCATTTCATATCTTAATCCCAGATACCAACAGAGAAGTCAATATGAAATGGTGGGATTCCAGCTCTATCTTTTCATCCAATTCCAAAACTAGTTCAATTTTGTATTTTTCGAACAATTATGGTACACATTTCCGAAATCAGCTCCTTTTCTCAATCCCAGGTATGAACGAAGACCTCAACATCAAATTTCAGGATTTCAGTTCTATCCCTTCACCCAATACTCAATTTAGTACCCCTTAGTAGTTTTCGATTCAGATACCAACAGAGGAATCAATATCAAATTTCTGGATTCCAGCTCCATCCCTTCACCAAATACCAAATTTAGTACTTTTTTATTTTTAAGTACTTTCCGAACAATTATAGTACGAATTTTCAAAATAGTTTCCATATTTCAACCTCACATACTAACAGCCTATTCCTTCACCCAAAACCAAATTTTGTAACATTTAGTACGCATTTTCAACCTCAGATACCAAAAGTGACCTCAATATCAAATATCAGAATTTTAGCTCTATCCCTTAGCCCAATACCAAATACGGTACCATTCGTTACTTTTCGTACAATTGTAGTACATATTTCCGAAACCAACTCCATGTATCCAGGCTACTCATGAACAGCAGCCCTAATGCCAAATTTCTAATTTCAAGCACTGTTTACCCAATACCAATTGCAACTAATATAGTACGATTTACAACATTTCGAGCACTTCTAGCACATATTTACAATTCCACCTATATTTCACAAATCTACCACAGGGATACCAATAGAAAATTTTAAAATTTCAGCTTCTTCCCCTCACTAACTGTTCCAAATTTAGTATCATTTGGGACAGTTCACACACTTAGTACTCATTTCCAAAACCATATCTCAACCTCAGATACTAACAGCCTACGCCTTCACCCAATACCAAATTTAGTATCATTTAGTACGCATTTTCAAAAAAATCTCCATATATCAACCTCAGATACCAAAAGTGACCTCAATATGAAAATTTCTGAATTTTAGCTCTATACCTTAGCCCAATAACAAATATAGTACCATTCGTTACTTTTCGTACAATTATAGTACATATTTTCGAAACCAACTCCATATATCCAGGCTACACATGACCAAATTTCAGATTTCAGGCACTATCTGTTTACCCAATACCAAATATAGTACGATGTAGAACTTTTCGAGCACTTCTAGTACAAATTTTCAAAACCACCTATGTTTCACAAACTTACAATAGAAAATTTCAAAATTTCAGCTTCATCCACTCACTAACTGTTCATTTAGGACAGTTCACACACTTAGTACTCATTTCCAAAACCAGCTTCAAACTTTCTTTCCCACCTTGATTGGCATACCAAAATATCAAGTTTTTTAGCTCTATCCGTTCACATAATTCCAAACGGTACCATTTCAGAAGTTTAGTATCATTTTAGAACTTTCGTAACCTTAAAGTTGGAATTTCTAAAAACACGTTGGTTCATCTGTACTGCACTCCATCAGTGACTTTCATTCCAAATTTCAGATTTCCAGGTCATTCCGTTTGTCCAGTTAAAAGTATTATTTTAGAGTACGAAATGAACCTTTTGCTACGAATTTCCAGACTTATCACGTCAACGCACCAAAACTAATCATTGTGCAAAATTTCAAGTCTAATCGGCCAGTCAGTTACTTCGCTACCAATTTATATATAGACTATTTTTGATAAATATTGAGATGCACGAAGTTTGATCGGAGAATCGCTGACTTGTTTTGCATGTTACAATTATTCAAAATCTTGACCACTTCTGGGGGAGGTACCATATTTACAAGACATATTTTGGAGGTAAAAACATTGGGATAAGCCAAGTTTGAGAAGAGTCATATTTTAATTTTCCATTGAGGTTCAAGAATTGCAAAACATTTTTGAATATCTGCATAGGCACTGATTCAAATTTCCATCATAAACGTTTGATATTTTCTTGTTTTATTTCATTTTATTTAATTTCATTTCATTCCATATCACATATTTCATATCATTGTTCACCTCACCGTCTACGCTCATGCACCGCCAGCTATTGCGCTCAGTTCAGTGTAAATGCAAAAAAAAGCTCCACTTGCACCACTATAACCTTCACAATACCAATCTACTAATAACACCCCCCTCAAAAAAATGCAGATGGCTGTAAAATGCATGAAAGATAAACAAACACACCCTACCTCACCTGGCTAATACTAACCTCTTGTTTTCTCTTTTATTTTCTTTTTTTCTTACTCTCCACGCTCATCACAACAGGTTCACAGAGTAAAGTTTCCGATTTGGATATAATATTCGGAGATAGCAGTAATATGCCACCCTACACAGGGGTTGGAGGTGGTGGTAAATTTTCACGTTCTGGCGGCTCGCTGTCCGATGCGGAATTGATTTTCGGCACATCCTCATCAACGGCCAGTTATAAAACCGATCGTTTTGGTTCCTCCAAGAGTATGAGTGTAACATCGGATCGCCATTCTAGTGGTGGAGGTGGTGGACCGGCACCCTATAAAATCTATGAGGGTATACAGAATGCCGGCTTCAGTGATTATGGCGATGCCAAAAAGTCAATGGGCAGTACCAGCAGTGTGAACACTTCATCATATTCCAGCTGGAGAAATACCAAAAATCAGGATACCGATGATGATGATTTAGATTTAAAATAAATTTCTCCCCCCAGAAGAAGAAAACTCTGCAACAACAACAACAACACGAATATAGTTAAACCTCAAGCAGTTAATTAGAGTTAGTGTTAAACAAATACCACCACCATTAACCACCATAAAAATGAATGTGAAAGTGAAAAATTTTGTTGATTTGCTGAATGGGCAAACTGGAATGCCGAAACATAACCTCAAACGAAAAACCAAAATAAAAATGAAGGCATCTATGTTATGTGCTTTGGTCCTACTGCTCCTATTTGCTGCTACTGGTAAACCTAGATATCGCCTCTAAAGTTTCCTGGTTTCATACAAAGAAAATCCCCACATTTCATTACACAACTATAACAACAACAACTTACCCAGAAAATGGCGGCAAACAAAACTACACTCTCATACAACTCTGTGTTTCTTTTAGGGTTATAGGTTAATTGTTCTTATTATGTTTGAGTTAGAGCAACTTGCTGTGCACTCGCGCTCTCTCTCTTTCTCTTTTGCAATTGCAAGCGAATAATTGTTATATGATCACCAAGTAAAACAAAAATAATTAATTAATTGTTGAAATTTAGTTCTATAAAAAATCAGCAGATATCATTGATAAAGAGAGAATACAGGATCCCCTCTCTTTCTTTCTCTCTCTGGAAGATCTTTGATAGCAAATCAAACGCACGCACTCGCAGCACGCATTTCACAATGGCGCACAATTCAAATGAGACAACAAAAAGAAGTGGAAATACATACAAACATATACATACATAGACAAATTTCATAGCTTAATTGTTTTTGTTTAAACAAAAAAATCCAAACAATACTACTTATCTCAATTTGTTTTCCTCCCTAAAATTCGTTTAAGACAAATGTTGAATTATATTTAAAATAAAAAATATTCCAAAGAAAAGTTAAAATAAAATGGATTTATACATATACATTATATACATTGATACAATACAAATATTATATACATATTAACTTATATATATACTAAACAAAACAAAAACAAACATTATACATACATATACAAATAAACAAATGAATTAATTAAATACTCCAACATGAGACACTATATGAAAATACAATGACAATATTATGCAAAAGGATGCTAACAAAGAGGATACTCCAAAAAGATAAAAGAAACAACAAATAAAAGAGATTTAATGAAAAAATACAAAAATTAAGAAAATACTCTATAACAAAAGGCAAATTGATAAGGTTAATGCAAAAAGCAAAAGAACGTTAATGAACGCAAAACAATGGAAAACACAAACAAAACAATGTTATTATTCCACAAAACAAAACTCATAAAATTAAATAATTTTATTTCAAAAAAAAATATATATATGAAATATATTAACAAAAATTATAACTCAAAGCCATATTCATATTCATAATAAGTTATAAATTTAAATGTTTACATGGAAACAAACAAACAAACACTCACATTATGTTCACACGGCTCAATAATTGGGGTCCTTCTATAGAGAAGTCGAGCAGGTATAATTTTCCTACAACAGAAGGAGAGATAACAATAATGGAATATCCTCAATGTATAGAAGACCTAGAAAGGTCTCGGTATAAAAAACCTACAAAAATATGTTTATCATTGGAATATTTTCTGCCATATTTCTAAAAGACCTGTATAAGGCCGTCTACATTAACGAACGAACGAACCACGATATATAAAAGACCAAGAAAGGCCTCGGTATAAAAGACCTACAAAAATATGTTTACCATCAGAATATTTTCAGCTGTATTTCGAAAGACCTGTACCTCTACATTAACGAACGAGATTTTGAAGTCTATAAAAAACATTTAAGGCCTTCTCATATTGAAGATCTATAGAAGGACTTCAGTCTATTCAAGGACTGTAAAAGGTCCACTACCTCTACAAAATCTACAGTTATTTAAAGTCGTGCTGGGTGAGATAAAAAACTGCAACAAAATCAAACGCTTTAATATTTATTTTTTTTTTTTTTTTAAATTTTATTGAATGAAAGCAAAAAATGTCGGTAGTAGCATCAAATTTTAGAATAACTTTAGATTTGTTCGAATTGGTCACCTTTGGCACGAATTATGGCCTTCAAACGACCAATGAAACCATTACACGCTGCCCAAATGTTGCTCTGCCCATATTTTGGCCCATTCCCGGTGAAGCGCTTGCTTGAGGTGATCGACACATTGATATTTTTTAGTGCTAACTTTGCTTTCCAAAATACTCCAGACACAATAGTCTAACGGATTGGTATCCGGAAATTTTGGTGGACATTGTGTGCTGGAAATTAAGAGAGGAACCTCATTTGTAACCACATTCTTAGGTGTTGCGTGCGAAGTGCAATGGTGCTGAGTCCTGTTGGAATGTCCAGAATATTTTCGCGATAATATTCGGTATTTATTCTGATGACACGGTCGATTAATACGAGCAGAAAGCGACCATCGGCTGTTATGGCGGCCCACACCATCACCATGGCCGGCGCTTGACTTCTGGTGGCCAACCGAACACGATAATTTTGTTTGTTTTCTCATCGGAGAAAACCAAATTCGGCAGTTCACAACTTTCGCCCAAGCGAAGCAACTCTTTAGCTCTTTTGAGTCCATTTTCTTTCTGTTGAGGTGTAAGTTCTTGCACTTTTTGGAATTTCAATGGCTTTACCACCGAACTCATTTTTCAATATTTGCCGAATGGCCGAATATTGCATAAATGTTCAGCTCTTGAGCCATTTTTCGGGCACTGCGACGCGTGTTTCGATCAAGTCGCTTCTTTCCATTTCTGCTGATGATGCTGATTTCCTCCTTCCTCTTCCTTCACGTCGGGCTACGCTACCAGTATCCCGGTAACGAGCGATGGTACGAGAAACAAACGATTCTTCTAGAACCCGGAGAAGGAGTGGGTAAATCAAAGAGTACTAATGGTCACAAACTTTTTCTGGTTGATGTTACATCTGCCTAGAATGCTGTACACAAATTTTCCGAATTTAAAAACAATTACCACATAAAAACTATGGGTCTTGTAGATATAGAAGAGACTTTTTGGCTTAGTTACTTTATATACTTCAGGACATGGACAACCTTCTACAGACTTCCAGACACAGGAGTGCTTTAATAGGTCTTCTATATGGACCCTCTAGAGATTTTTAGATATCGAGGGTTTATACAAACAAAATGCTTGCTAAGGTCACATAGACATGGAAGCCTCTTAGTGGGGTCCGCTGAAGACCTTTAAGACATAAAAGTATTTTTCTCCTGATTGGTCAATAAACATAGAAAATCTCCTATAGGTTTTCCAGACATGAAATACATTCCTAAGGTACCCTGGATATAGAAAATCTTTTGAAAGTACTCAAGACATAAAATACCTTCTGCAAGAGGTCTACGCATATACAACTTTCTGTAGGGAAATTTTTAATAAAATACCTTGTAAAGGTTCCTTAAACCTGGAGGACTTCATATAGAACTTAGAGACAGATACAATGTTCTTATGTGTCTATAACTGTTTTGGAAAAGTTTTCCACACCGAGACGAAGTGAACTAACACAAATTTACCACATAAAGAGTCCAACAGAGTGCCACTATTTATTTTAGAAATTAAATATTTCTCAATATTTTGTTGCATTGTGTTGGGAAAACATATATCACACACACACACTCACACACACGGCTCACATCAACTACATGCATGACAAAGCAAAACACTCTTCCAAGACATAACTCAAGAATTTCATTAAATGTAAATTATAATAATTAATTAAAAAATTAAAACAAAACCAACAATAATAATCAATATAAATAAACTATTAATTAAAAATGTTAAGAATATTTGTTTTGTTTTGTTGTTAGATATTTTTCCTTAAATGAAACCCAATTCCCAGACAACAGCTTTTAGTAACAAAAAAAATCTTAGCTAATCGGATATTAAACTATGTTGCTGAAATATTATCGTAAACTAGACCTCTCCATGGCGGAGAGATCAGTGGGCCCCATTATTTAGGGTCCATGACAAAAAAAAAAAACAACACACACTAACCCAGTAGAGCTACACACTGACAACGAATGCTTCTCACAAATGATAAAAACAAAAACGATGCAATGTTAATGTAAAGAAGCCGTGCAAACGACAACAACAGCAAATAATAGAAATTATTATAAAAAGTACTAATACTCCAAGGATATGTGTTGTACACCAATACCTACTATATATATACATTTGTATGTGTCATATATTAAATAAGAATATTATGTGTATATCCTCCTAGATTAAAGGACATTAAATATTTCTATTTTTCTCTTTTCACTGACTATCAAATTGAATTTGTTTCTTTTTTTTCGGGAATTGTTGTGGAGAGAACAACTTTAAGTTATTTTTTAAAAGAAAACCAAGGTAGCATTATGATATGCGGTTTGTTTTCTTTATTAATAATGTGTCTTTATATTGGAAGTTCTACGTGTCATCTTATGGAAAGAATTATAGGAAGCCTCCTAAAACTTCGCATCTAAACAGTAGTATGTTCAGGTTGTAAAAGTAATATCATAACCTCAAAGCCATTACTTATTCTTAAATACAAAGGAAAAAATGGCAGCAATATTTGTGAAATAAGGTCCCATTTTTAAAAGAATATCAAAAAATCCTCTTCTAACTTTAAAGGTTATGTTTAGAGTATTAGAAGCTCTACCCATAAATGACTTCATAAAAAATTATTTTTCTATATGACTATTTGTATCTACGGAAGAATGTATCCGATGGTCTTCTTTTTGGTATGGAAGTATTCTACACATACAAATGTGGATTGATACTGTTCTTAGAAAGAATTAAAAATTAAATATATATAGGACCACGTTCATGATCTTGGATATGTTGGTATCTTTTTCCACAAATTCCTCCCAATTCAGTTTTAACTTGATATATCGGTTTATTTGTCGAAAAATGTAAAGGATTTTGAATGTAGCAGATATGGCCATAAATCAACAGAATATTAATAAGTATATCTTCACAAGAGAACAACAAGGGGTCTTCTAGGCTTCGGGCAAACATTTTAGCCATCTGCCTTGATCCGTGGAAGTAGTAATCGGTGGAAAAAAAAACAGGTGTAGGTCGTTTTGGAATGTTAATGTTAATCTGGCCCAGAATATTCATAATATAAAAGTTCGTTAAACGATTGTTACGATGGATGAAAACGAAACGGAATGAAAAAAGATATAATGAATCCAATACAAAGCAAAGGGGAAATAACGTTTTGGATCCCGTTTGAAGATAGTCTCATTTACTTTAGATTCTTTCTTGTTTCAGGAATGTTGTTCTCTTATATAAATTTGCAAACTAAACTAAAGAAATATTAAATTAATGTTGTGTCCGCATTGGGAGGCCAATTCACCTCTACCTTTGGTACTTCCGACAAAAATGACCGAAAACTTAATAAAATTTCCAAATTCAGAATAAGGTATTACTTTTGTAGCTTTAGGAGAGACCATTATGTGAAACTGATTTTCGGAATGACCTTTCCTTCACACCTGCTCAGCCTATATATATATCCCCCAAACCAAACTAATCGGTCTTCCCATGGCTCAATAAGAAAGGTTGCTCAACTTCAAAGAAACTAGAAAAATGCAACTCTGTAACGGAGTCTTATAGTGTCAAATAGATTTTTAAATATTCAATAATTGGTTTTGTTTATTTTAATTTTTTTTACAAAATTTTTATATTGGGGAAAATCCGCGAAACTAGAATAGTATTTTGGGATTTTTCCACAGGATTAAATCTAAAATAATACAACAATACAGTTATTTCCCAAAATTTTACAATGTCTTGGGCATTAACGTCGAAAATATGCATTTAATTTGCAGCCGAATTCCAAATATTTTCAAATTGTTGTATTTTTTATTTAAAACAATAAACACAAAAATGTGTGTATGTTTTGACAGAATAAGGGCACCAAAAGAAAAAAAATTGTCTTTAGGATATAGCTTTGTTCTACCTTTGTAATTATGCCATGGGTCTTCCTAGTTGAAAGAGAAAAGACATATTTTTTTCATAGTTTTTCGATGCAGTTCGTCCGAAAGAAAATCTTCTCTCCACAATTAACTCCCATTAACTTCCCTTCCTTTGACTTTCCACAGCAAATATTTAATGCCCTTACAATTTTTAAGCTTCTTCTAGAGCTAAAATCCTATATTTTCAAAACAATTTTTTTACTCTCCACTTAAAGTACAATATTTTGAACTAACATTACATATTTACAAATTTTACATCTATCAATATTATTTAAAAAAAATACACCACAATTGAACATCATTATCATCTTTACAAATCAAACACAATCATTAGCCATCTACCACATTGTCATCATAATCATTACTCTCTTTGTTGTTGGCACAGAGAGCATTTTACATGCAAGCATTAAAACAAATATATATCAGCAACTCTACATTAACCACAAAATGATGATCAATCGACAACATATTCACACATCTATATACATATATCAAATTTATTACAAATATACATACATTAGAAAATTCATAACAAAAAATAAAAAAAAATAATAATTAAAAATAAAAATAAACAAAACCAAAAAAAAAAACTACAACTAAATCAGGTGTTTGGAAATCGATATACACATAGCTATAGCTGTATATCAATTTGAAAATCGATCCCTCTCTCTCCCACTTTTTGACCTATGTTTAGGCTGAGAATTTGCGTACTTACCGGGTAACTGGTAACTGTGAGCGCGGTATTGAATTTCCAAATGCTTAATGACAAATGAATGATTGTTTTGAACATTTTTTTCTGATAAATACATAAATACAAACAAAACAAAAAAATAAAATGATTATATATAACTATATTATATATTACAATAAACAAACAGATATAAAAATTATATAATTATGTATGTACTGTTACAGTGTTGCAGTTTTTTTTTTAAATAAACAAAAAATGAAAAGCAAAATCCAACAAATTAAATTGAATACAAATCCCAGAATATAAATACAACAACCACATTGGAATACTCAAATTTAAGTATTATACAAACAACAAAAACAACAAACAAACAAAAATATGTACTAACCGAAGATATTAAATAAATAAAGTGTTATAAAAGAATTAAAATTAAAGAATTTTCATTTTTGGAAGGGTTGGATGTGGATTGGAATAGGGCCTATACAGGGTGAGATAAAAAAAAAACTGCAACAAAATCAAACGCCATCATTTTTACATTTTTATTTATGTTTTTCGACCTCTTTGTGTTTTATGAATGATCTAAGACTTTGTCTTAAAGGGCTTTTTATGTCTGGGTTTTATTTAATGAAAATATAAACTATTTATTTCATTTTCCATCCGACGTTTCCTTGGGATTTTCCATCTTCTTCAGGAATATTTTTATTAAATAAATAATTTTTTCGTCAAGTTTCTACATTTGTATTTCGTTAAGCGAAGGTTTTTTTCACAAACAAAACAATTAAACTAATAAATAAATGTAAAAATAATTAAAATTATTATAAATATCACAGGTGTTGCTTAGGTGCTAAGAATCACAGGTTGTTGTTATAATTTTATTGAAGAAAGCAAAAAATGTAGGAAGTGGCATAAAATTTTAGAATAAGTTTAGATTTGTTCGAATTGGTCACATTTGGCACGAATTATGCCTCAAACGACCAATGAAACCGTCATACGCTGCCCGAATGTTGCTCTGCGGTATTTTAGCTCATTCACGGCGAAGCGCTTGCTTGAGGTGATCGACCCTTTGTTATTTTTTAGGCACAATAGTCTAACGGATTGGTATCCGGTGATTTTGGTGGCCATTGTGAGCTTGATATGAAGCGAGGAACTTCATTTTGCAACCATTTTTGGTTGGTGCATGCTGAGTGCAACGGGATGTCCAAGGTCTGTGGCTAAAATATTTGCATGTCCAAGGCCTCAATACACACTCCAGAATATTTTCGCAATAACATACGAGCGGAGAGCGACCATCGGCTGTTATGGCGACCCACATCATCACCATGGCCGGCGCTTGAATTCTGATGGCCAACCGAAGGTACACATTTTCAGATGACCTCTTTGGCAAGTAAACACGATCGTTTGGTTTGTTTACAAACTGCTGGACAACGAATGTTTTCTCATCGGAGAAAACCAAATTCGGCAGTTCACCACTTTCGGCCAAGCGAAACAGCTTTTTAGCTCTTTTGAGTCTATTTTCTTTCTGTTGCGCTGTAAGTTCTTGCACTTTTTGGAATTTCAATGGTTTTACACCGAACTAATTTTTCAATATTTGCCGAATGGAATGCGATATGTTCACGAGCCATTTTTCGGCCACTGCGATGCGGATTTCGATCAAGTTGCTTCATTACTTTTCGAACCATTTCTGCTAATGTTGCTGTTTTCTTCCGTCTACTTCCTTGACGTCGGGCTACGCTACCAGTATCACGATAACGAGCGATGGTACGAGACACAAAAGATACTATGGAGGGTATATTAAGTTTGTTTTGGAACACCTCAAAATATACATTTTAGACCCCACAAAGTATATATATTCTTGATCAGCATAAAATTCTATATCCATTTATGTCGGTCCGTATGTACGCATATCCGTCTGTGGAAATCACTCTAGCTTCCGAACGAATTGAAGTAGATTTATTAAATTTTTTCTCAAATGTATATTATGTCTGCAGGACTTTTGTTATTGAAAATGAGCCATGTAGGTCTACGTTTTGGTATAGCCTCCTTATAACGGTACCTTCCGATATTCGATATTTTTATGATTTTAGCGACAATAAATAAAAATGTTTTAAATTTGGTATTTGAAGATCGAAATTGATACTACTGCCTAAGACAGAAAATTGTCTGTAGAGGTCCACGTCTTCGTATAGCGCCAATATAACAGTACCTCCCGATATCCGGTACTTTGTTGATTTTAGCGACATTATTCACCGGAATTGTTTCAAATTTGGTATTTGATGTTCGTGATGGATGCTTCAGCCTATGACTGGGGATTGTCTGTGCATTTTCACGTCTTCGTATAGCGCCAATATAACAGTACCTCCCGATATCCGGTACTTTGTTGATTTTAGCGACATTAATTCTGTGCAGGTCCACGTATTTGTATAGACCCGATATAACGGTACCTCCCGATATTCGGTATTTTGATGATTTTAGCTATATTATTCACCGGTTTTTTCTTAAGTTTCGCATTTGAATATTGTAATGGCTTATGACAAAATTTACCTATGCAGGTCCATGTCATCGGATAGACCCTAATATAACAGCTACATTCGGTATTTTTAAGATTTTAACCGAATTTTTAACGGATATTATTTTTTTTTTTTTTTGAGAATTGCAAAATTCGTTCCAAATGGTGATGGCTTGCTCTTTTTAAAATTGTGCTACAAGCATTATGACAAAGGAGTCGGACAGCAACTATTCTTAGAGCAGTTCTGGCTTTAAAAGTTCTTCTTTGCTTCAAAACACAATGTAGAGGATTTCTATTTGGCTTCAAAAATATTTTAACCCATACTAAATCGTTACCACTTCTTCTTCTTCCCTGAAATTGCACCTTTACTTTTCCCCGAAATATTTAACTCTTTTATTGAGCAACTAATCTGCAAGATTAAATAATCATTTCTAGGTATGCCGCAAAAAGGTAAAACAAACCTGACGCATTGTATTACAATTTCAAGCATTTGGTGGTATTATGGGCTAATGACTTTGAATTCGATGCAATGTAACGTCATTAGATCTTACCGAACATAATGACGCACATGCTTGTTTACAAAATGCAGCAATCATACCTAAGTTATGATGTGCGCATGCGCCTCCCCTAAAAATACCCATAATCGCAGGTAGCAGAAGTGCCTCATCATAATTTGCCACAATTTGTTGTCAAATGCAACTGCATTTCCTTCACTCAGATACGATGGCGATAAAAACCCTCATCACTCACCCGGGCAAGTTTAGTTTCGCATGCAACGTGCAACGGTGACATTGAAAGTGACAGTGAAGTGAAAAAGAAAAACAAAAATAAACTTTAAAACTGAATCCAATTTCCGCATTAAAAATGTTTTCATCTAGGCAATTTGTCATATTATCCGTGTTATGTATTTCGCTTCAAATGGTTCGCGCGGGCACTGTTGTCAGCTATGAGGAGCCGCAGGTGAATGAAGTCGAACCTGAACCCAGCAAACCCTTTAAATGGCTGAAGGGTATGCAGGACATGGTCTCCAGTCCAACGGGTAATGTTGTTGTCCAGGTGGCCAAGGAATTGCTAAATCGCTCCACTGGAAATAGTCAAGTAGGTGGACAAAGCGTGGTATTAAGTGAAAAATTGTAAAGTCTTTGGAATCCATTACAGGTCTTAAGTTTGAATTTGACCAATTTGATTATAATTCTGCTGCTGAAGGTGTTGATATTCTCAGCTGGCCTATTGGGTGCTGGCCATTGGAGTAATTATGGTTATGCCCGATCAAATGATAATGGTAAGAAAAATAATTTCGTTATAAGGCTTTAAATTTGTAAAAATAATTTAGAAATCTGTAAAATATTTCGTATTTTATTGAAGCCATATAATGATTTTGGAGACATTTTTGAACATTTTTTTAAATTAGGTTTTTTTAATTCCTAATGAATTACCTATGGTAGCATACTGTCCATATTTCCGTATATTCCCCCATATAAGGTAACACTCCGACACACAGAATTTATATCATACCAGGTTATCACCACATAGCGGTAAGGGTATTATGTCTTTGTGCATTTGTTTGTAACATGGAAAACGAGATAATTACTTTTGAGGATCTTCATAGAAACACTTTCTCCGTCTGTCCATGTATGTTTGTAATGCGGGTCGCATTTATTATCCGATTGAGATGAAAATTAAATTAACAATATTCGTTTGGCCCAAGGACGTACCCTATTGAAATTGGTGAGAATCGGTTCAAATTTTATATAGGTTCCAGGTATATCTTCAACCGATTTCGGATTAATTGTGAATTTTTGCACATCCGACCGAATTCAGTCTAGAAGCAAGTACATCATATTTGCTGAAAATCGGTACAAATAAAGCCATAGGTCCTATATATATGTTTGATCCTATTTAGTTTTTAAGTCCCTCACAATCGTAATATGTACTTCAAAAAAAAATTATATTTGGTACCACATATCAGATACAACCCAGCCTAGCAATAACAATAAATCAGTTCAGATTTGCATATTGCTAGCAAGTTTATATTCGACCGATTTCACGTTTGTTGTGCACCAGATGGTTAATATTAGCCCAAATGGAATGGATTTTGGCACTTCCGAACGAATTCAGTAAGTACTAAGAAGTAAGTACTTGATGAAAAAACTGCATCTAACTTCAGACTACTATCATTTCTAAGCCACTCATCCGACAGCTGTTAAAATTATTCCAGTGACAGCTCATTGTATTCTTTACAAGCGTACAAAAGCATTTTGGTGAGAATTTCCCAGAAAAAAAGTTATTCGCAATGGAATTCAAGCGTGATAGTGTGATATCTTTATAATTGGCTGAAAAACCACAAGTGGCTATCGTTAGAGCACTCCAGTATTTAAATGTGAATAAATCTTTTGTGTCTCGTACCATCACTCGCTCGGACTTAAGAAAACTGCAACATCAGATAAAAAAGATCGAAAAGTCAAGAGGCGACTTGATCGAAACCCGCGTCGCAGTGGCCGAAAAATGGCTGGTGCGCTGAACATATCGAAATATTCCATTCGGCAAATATTGAAAAATGAGCTCGAGGTAAAGCCATTGAAATTCCAAAAAGTTCAAAAACTTACACCGCAACAGAAAGAAAATAGACTCAAAAGAGCTAAATACTTACTTTGCTTGGCCGAAAGTGGTGAACTGCCGAATTTGGTTTTCTACGATGAGAAAACATTCGTTGTCCAGCAGTTTGTAAACAAACAAAATGATCGTGTTTAGTTGCCAAAGAGGTCAGCTGAAAATGTGCACCTTCGGTTGGCCACCAAAATTCAAGCGCCGGCCATGGTGATGGTGTGGGCCGCCATAACAGCCAAAGGTCGCTCTCCGCTCGTATAATCGACCGTGGCATCAGAATAAATGCCGTATATTGTCGCGAAAATATTCTGGAGGGTGTATTAAAGCCTTGAGCACGCAAACATTTTGGTCGCATACCTTGGACATTCCAACAGGACTCAGCACCATCGCACTCAGCACACCCCACCCAAGAATGTTTACAAAATGAGGTTTCTCGGCCACCAAAATCTCGGATACCAATCCGTTGGACTATTGTGTCTGAAGTATTTTGGAAAGCAAGGTTGGCACTAAAAAATACCAAAGCGTCGATCACCTTAAGCAAGCGCTTCGCCAGGAATGGGCCAAAATGCCGCAGAGCAACATTCGACCAGCGTGTGACGGTTTCATTGGCCGTTTGAAGGCCATAATTCGTGCCAAAGGTGACCAATTCGAACAAATCGAAACACCAAACGATTTCACTAGCATTTGCACCTAAAGTGGAACTTATTTCAATAGTAAATTCCTGCACTATTTTCCTCCTACTTTCCTCATGAGGGTAAAAAAAAAATTGGTCCGGCCGAACTTAAGCTATTTTAATTAATAACGTAAATTAGTTTGTTTCGATGGCCGGAATAATATATACTTAATTAGGTCAATTTCTTGCACATGCTAATAGCTTCCAGGGAATTCCCGCCACGCGTTGGGCGCCTCTCTTTGTAGGAGCTGGTATATTTCATAATTGATCGTCCAAGGAATCATTTTCATCTTATATTTGAGGCTAATTCTCACATAGCATGAGATTAAATCTTCACTGGGTACCAAACCCCAAATGCTGGAAATGTAGACCCCCCCCCCTTGGGCGCCACTCTTTTTAAGAACCAGTATATTTTTTATTGGTTGAATTGACTTCCAAAGAACCATTAGTCGTTTTACATTTCAGGGGTATGCCTTATATAGCACGCCATTGAAACTTCACTAGGTACCTAACCCCAAATAATGTATGGAAATTAGTTAATTTTTCGAAGGAATCCTTTTGGTCAACTGCTTAAAATTTAAGCTGCTAAGTTTAGATTTAGTACGCATTTTGTTTGGTGAATATTCATAAAAAATCAGTTTGGATTTTTCTGAAAGACGAACAGTAATCATTGTTATATCTGAAGTCAAAAAAGGCAAATCACGTTGGGCGCCATTCATTGCAATAGTTATTTCCTGAACTTACCCATATACAAAAATTATGTGCTGGACTGCATTTTGGAACACCTAAGAAATATGTAATTGGTCAAAAAAAGTTGCTAAAATTGAGGCGTACATATATGAGGTCTTCCCAACATATAGACACATTTCTAAGATTAATACCTTTTAGTCCTATATTGTTATAGTTTGTCAAAAATTTTTTCTTATTTTCAGATTACTTTTTGGGTGTCACAAAAGGGGAGGATTACCTAATAACTGGCTTCTTGGCAGCCCAAAATGGTTTCGATGAATGTTTATTTGCTGCCGCCTGTGAATCGCCACAAATCGCCTACGAATATGCCAAAGCCGCAAAGGCTCTGATCGAGGGCATAGAGAAGTTTCAAGGGTAACATAATTTTGAGTTTATAACTAAAATTATAAGAATATATAACAATTATATATAAATTTAATATTTAATATAATTAAATAATCATAATTTAAAAAAAATAAATTATAATTTATTATGAAATTTAATGTTTTTTTTATCCTTTTCGCAGAGAACCCTTTCAAAATATCCGTTATATGGAACTAGCCGTCTTGGTAGAAGAGGCTGCATACAGGGGTCTACGCGGCCTTCCCTGCAATGCAACGCAAAAATGTGAAAAAATATTTTAAATTATAATTTCCCTCTATTAAAAAACATTATTGTTAATTGTTTATTTTATCTTTACTTCCTAGTTTTTTTTTATTATTTTAAATTGAGCATTAAATGTAAATTGTTTCCATAGAAATCAATAAATAACAGTAGCAGTAACAAAATTTTTGAAGAGAATTCATTGTTATTCTCAAATTATTGTGTTAAAGATGGAGAGGGGGGGGCTAAATGCCATTTTTCATTTATTTGCCGTACGGCGATTGTATAATCAAGTGTTGTAAAAAGTGATAAATGCAGTAGTTGCGATATTACGCCCTATATTATTAGTTTGCCGTACCCGTAACCGCCTGGACATATTCGTTGTAGTGCAGGAATCCATCTTTATTGGCATCGGCAATTAACAAGAATTCATCAATGACATCTGAAATGAGGTAACAATTAAAACAATGATTGAAAAAGGGTTTCAATAAAAATTCTGATTTTTGACGAGGTTTCTTTTTGAAAGCGTCATTGTTACTTTTTTTATTTACCGTAAGATTGTATTTCTTAGAAATTTCAAAATCATTTCTCTCATATTAGAGACCACATTACATTCATCTCCACCAACTTACCTATTATGTGATTCAGTTCATCATTGGCATTTTGTATGAAATTATCCCGATCGATTTTCTTAAAATGATCATCCTGATGCATTGCTGCCTGCAGTAGTTCCAAGCCATCCAAGGCATTGTTATTGTCACCATCGTGGATCTGTTAAAACGAAAATTTAATTAACTCGAGAAGAACAGCAAGGCATGAATTAAATAATTCTAAATCTATGGATTGTACCACAATTTCGAATAGAAAAGGTCGAATAGAGGAAAAAATTGAAATTTGGTATGAGAATCAATGTTGAAAGCTATATTTGATATATGAAGGTGGTTTTGGAAATGTGTACTAAGTATACGAATTGTACTAAATTAGGAATGAAGCTGGAATGTTGAAATGTATTGTGTTGGGATGACTGAATGGAATTCCTGTTGGTGGTAAGTTTGTGATAAAAAAGGTGATTTTGGAAATGTGCACTACAAGGGCAAGAAAAGTTCTTAGTAGTACTATTTTTGGTACTGGGTGAACAGATAGTGCTTAAAATCTGAAAATTAGTATTGGATCGCGGTTCATATGCAGCCCAGGCATATGGAGGTGTTTCCGAAAATGTGTTCTATTGTACTAGTATTTAGTTTATTGATGGTATCTGTCTTTCAGATTTTAGGTTGGTGTGGAAGTGTGTACTACAAGGTGAGATGAAAAAACTGCTACCAACTTCAGACTGCTGTCATTTCTAAGCCACTCGTCCGACACTTGTTAAAATCATTCCAGTGATAGCTCATTATATTATTTACAAGCATACAAAAGCATTTGATTTTCCAGAAAAAAGTTATTCGTGATGGAATTCGAGCGTGATAGTGTTATTTCTTTATATTCGGCTGGAAAACCACAAGTGGCTATCGTGAATTAATCTTTTGTGTCTCGTACCTTCGCTCGTTACTGTGGTACTGGTAGCGTAGCCCGACGTCAAGGAAGTGAACGGAAGAAAACAGCAACATCAGCAGAAATGTTTCGAAAAGTAACGAAGCGAATTGATCGAAACCCCCGTCGCAGTGGCCCCAAAATGGCTCGTGAGCTGAACATATCACAATATTCCATTCGGCAAATATTAAAAAATAAGCTCGGGATAATGCCATTTAAATTCCAAAAAGTGCAAGAACTTACACCGCAACAGAAAGAAAATAGACTCAAAAGAGTTAAAGAGCTACTTCGCTTGGCCGAAAGTGGTGATCTGCCGAATTTGGTTTTCTCCGATGAGAAAACATTCGTTGTCCAGCAGTATGTAACAAAATGATCATGTTTACTTGCCAAAGAGACAAGCTGAAAATTTGCACCTTCGGCCACTTAAGCGCCGGCCATAGTGATGGTGTGGGCCACCAAAACAGCCGATGGTCGCTCTCCGCTCGTATTAATCGGCATCAGATTAAAGGCCGAATATTATCCCGAAAATATTCTGGAGGGTGTATTAAAGCCTTGGGCACGCAAACATTTTGGCCGCAGACCTTGGACATTCCAACAAGACTCAGCACCATCGCACTCAGCACGCGCCACCTAAGAATGGTTACAAAATGAGGTTCCTCGCTTCATTTCCAGCGCACAATTGCCACCAAATCACCGGATATCAATCCGTTGAACTATTGTGACTGGAGTATTTTGGAAAGCAAGGTTGGCACTAAAAATACCAAAGTGTCGATCACCTCAAGCAAGCGCTTCCCCGGGAATAGGCCAAAATACCGCAGAGCAACATTCGGGCAGCGTGTGACGGTTTCATTGGCAACAAATCTAAACTTATTCTTAAATTTGATGCTATTTCCGACATTTAAAATTATGGCGTTTTACTTTGTTTTAGTTTTTTTATCTCACCCTGTATGTCCTATTTTTGTACGAAATGTACTAAATTTAGTTTTGGGTGAAGGGTTAGGGCTGGCTACCTCTCTGTTGGTATCTAGAATTGAGATGTGGAGGTGGTTTGGAAAACATGTACCATAATTGTTCGAAAAGTACTTATGAGTTTGAGGCTCCTGTTGGTATCTGGGATAGAAATATGGAGGTGGTTTTAGAAATGTGTGCTATAATTGTACTAAAAGTACTAAACTTAGTATTGGCAAGTCCAAATCATCAGTTTTTTTAATAGAGTTGTGTTATGATTATGCAAAGTGTTGACTCTCTATGGTGAAGGTTTCGAAAGAGTGGGTCAGTATAGTATATTTTGTATTGCCATAAGTCTGTTATAAATAATACAATGTGCAAGATTTGGACTATATCGATTACTTCCCTCACTTTTTATGTAATATTTAAAATTTCATAAAATACTATGAAAAACATTAGGATGTGAAAATGTTATAGAAAATCGAACAATTATTCCCAATTTTATGCTAATAATTTTTAGTCAACATCTTTACGTTTTGTAAGGAAGGACCAGACGGGCCCATAAATCACATCACATCAGATCTCTGGTTGTGAGAAGTTTTTAGAAATACCATGTTCGCTGACTTATTTTGCAAGTTAAGAACTATCGAAAATTGTGACCTATTGTCCCACAATTCCACCTGATCTTGTATTCCACCTGATAATGGGATGTGTGAAATTTGAATAGACTTGGATGATTATTTCGTGTTTTATGGGTATCATATTTAATCAAAATGTTGACCAGTTGTGGGGAAGGTACCAGAATGAGTGTTCCGATATATTCCATCTTCATACCAGATGTTGTGTTGATAGAAATATTGATATGTGCGCAATTTGAAGACAATAGTATTCGCATTCCACATTTTATAGGAATTATAATTACTCAAAATGTTGACCCGTTGTGGGTTGAATGAGTCGACCGATAACCTCCATTTTCGCACCCGATATAGCACTTATGCAAATATCGGATGATTATTTCTTTTTCAAGGAAGTAAAATATTTTCATTGAAATTTTTGGCCTTTAGTGGGGGAGGTACCAGAAGGAGCGCACCGATATTTTCCATCTCTCCGAACTCTCTGTAAGTTTGATAATAATATTCAGGATTCAGCTTAAATTTCGTGTACTATTCAAATCTCTTGGACCTGACTTTGTTAGGCACATTTTGCCCAATAATCCCCATATTTTGCTTAACCCGGCGATTTCAGTTGGGCATTGGAAGTATTAGATTCCTCGTTAGTTTAGTATTGGCTTTATTGTCATACATGTTGATGATAATAAGTACGCGACATTTTTTTTCTTACCTTAAAATAATAGAAATTCTTCTCCTCCTCCGACATATTTTCCACAGACGCCTTTATGCCCATTTCCTTTAGGTCGTCTTCGATGCGACTAAAATGGCATTGAAAATAAAAATTCATTCATAATTACAATAAAAGGACCTACTGTTCTTCATGGGTTAAATGTTGATCCACTTTACGCTCACTACGCGGATGATGGGGACCACGTTTGACAGCCAGTCCATAATCGAATGTTTGACAGATTGTAACAACTAATATTAACAGATTCCGGAACTTCAGTACATCCTTCATAGTATCAAATGCTTTCAGGATAATTTTATATAATTCAAGTTTTTATTTTTAATAATATTTTAATTCATTAAAATCTTAGCACTTGTAAAGCTTCAGCTGATTTTACACAAACAAAAAAATCGCAAAGAAGACAAACAAAAAATCTCTGTCACCTCAATGCGCATGTTCGGAAAAAGGATGTACATATGTAATGGGAAACCGCAATTGGGGTGGCAACTCATTGCACTGGCTGTATTACTGGTTGCTATGCCACAACAGATGGCGCTATATACACTTTTTATACATTTTAAATTTTTATAAAAATAAATAAGAATTTATTTCCCTACTTCGTCAGCGAAAAGTCCACTTTAAAATTTTATATTCATTTCGTTTTCGTTTTAGGCCTTGCTTGTACTAAAAATACACAATTTTTCAGTTTGAAAAAAAAAATTAATTAAAACTTCAGACTTTCAAGGTTTTATTCATTTTTTATACCCTCCACCATACATAGTATGGAGGGTATATTAAGTTCGCCATTCCTTTGTATATTTGTGTATATATTCTTGATCAGCGTATAACTCTAAGACGATTTAGCCCTGTCCCTCCGGCCGTCCGTCTGTTGTTATCACGCTAGAGTCAAAACGAATAAAGATAGGAAGCTAAAATGTTACACAGATCCATTTTTTGTCTGCAGGCAGGTCAAGATCGAAGATGGGCTATATCGTTCCAGGATATCGTATAGCCCAGGTCCATGTCTTCGAATAGTTCCCATATATCAGTACCTCCATACATTCGATATTTTGAATGTATATTCAAAGTACCGCCCGGCCGGACTTACTGTTTTTTTTACTTGTTAAAGTTGCCTTTTTCGAGAGAATGTTAGGAAAATGTCTACCTTTTACACCAAAAAGTCTCAAAATCAATCATTTGAAGTTTACCTAGGATTAAAGAAGGTGAGATAAAAAAACTCCAACAAAGTCAAACGCCATAATTTTTACATTTTTTTTTAATTTTATTGAATGAAAGCAAAAAATGTCGGAAGTAGCATCAAATTTTAGAATAAGTTTAGATTTGTTCCAATTGGTCACTTTTGGCACGAATTATGGCCTTCAAACGGGCAATGAAAACGTCACACGCTGCCCGAATGTTGCTCTGCGGTATTTAAGCCCATTCCTGGCGAAGCGCTTCATTGAGGTAATCGACACTTTGGTATTTTTTTGTGCCAAACCGGCTTTCCAAAATACTCCAGACTCAAAAGTCCAAGGGATTGGTATCCGGAGATTTTGGTGACCATTGTGCGTTGGAAATGAAGCGAGAAACCTCATTTTGTAACCAACCTTTGGGGGAGGGCGCGTGCTGAATGCGATGGTGCTGTTAGAATGTTCAAGGTCTGCGGCCAAAATGTTTGAGTGCGCAAGGCTTTAATACACCCGAATATTTTTGCGATAATATTCGGCATTTATTCTGATGCCACGGTCCATTAATAGGAGCGGAGAGCGACCATCTGCTGTTATGGCGGCCCACACCATCACCATGGCCGGCGTTTGAGTTCTGGTGGCCAACCGAAGGTGCACATTTTCAGCTGACCTCTGTGGCAAGTAAACACGATCATTTTGTTTGTTTGCAAACAGCTGGACAACGAATGTTTTCTCATCGGAGAAAACCAAATTCGGCAGTTCACCACTTTCGGCCAAGCGAAGCAACTCTTTAGCTCTTTTGAGTCTATTTTCTTTCTGTTGCGGTGTAAGTTCTTGAACTTTTTGGAATTTCAATGGCTTTACCCCGAGCTAATTTTTCAATATTTGCCGAATTGAATATTGCGATATGTTCAGCTCATGAGACATGTTTCGGCCACTGCGACGCTGGTTTCGATCAAGTCGCTTTTTTACTTTTCGAACCATTTCTGCTGATGTTGCTGTTTTCTTCCGTCCACTTCCTTGACGTCGGGCTACGCTACCAGTATCACGGTAACGAGCCATTTATTCACATTTAAATGCTGGAGTGCTCTAACGATAGCCACTTGTGGTTTTCCAGCCAAATATAAAGAAATCACACTATCACGCTTGAATTCCATCACGAAAAACTTTTTTATGGAAAATTCTCACCAAAATGCTTTTGTAAGCTTGTAAACAATATAATGAGTTGTCACTGCAATAATTTTAACAGCTGTCGGACGAGTGGCTTAGAAATGACAAAAAGTAAATTTCTTCTCAATTGTTTCATATTTTTGAAATACCATACTCTTCGTTACACCCTTATACCCCAACATAAAATATGACTATTCGGTTGTCAAGTCAACATTTGATTATTTATTTTTCTAAACAAATTGCAACTCGGAAACAATTCACAAAACCTAACCCTTTCGTCAGTCTACGCTTAGCTTCGTGAAGAGTCGAAACATTGTGTCATCCAAACAATGTGCGATAATCAGTGTAATTTAATTGAAACATTTAATCCCGAAGTTGAATATCAAAAATTTCTAAAACGTAAACCCATTGTTCAAACGGCCAGACTCTATGAGGAATTGAAGACCCATGAAGATGTGAACCGATGTCCATGTAAGTAATGGAATTCTTCATCCTTAGCTCAATAATTTAAATATTTTTTTCTTTTAGATAATTTCAAGGGATACGGTGTGGAAACGGATCAGAATACCATGTATCGTACCTACAATTCGGAATATGGTTATTTTGCCCCAAATCCGTACACCATTCCGTCCCGTTACTATCCATTGTCACAGAAATTCTCCAATGAATTGCATCGTTGTGGCATGTATCGAAATTTCTCTTTGAACACCCATATGGATAGAAGTTTCTACTGAAATATTGAAACTGTTAGATTGATTTTTTATAATAAGAAGATTTTTTATAATAAAAATTTTAGTTGGAATTATTAAAGCAGTTTTATTTTCTTATAAAATTAAAAAAAATCAACGATTAAGTCTCTGAAAATCAAGGAAAATTATTTTTAAAAATTCAAAATTATGGTTTAAAATCCTCTGGAAATAATCTGCTTAAAGTCGATAGATAATACCTAAGAAGTGTTCACAAAAACATTTTCATGATTCTGAAATGCCTCTGAAAAATTGTTCCTAAAATTGAAAAATTTAACCCCGATTACGGTCATAAAGTCGTCACAAGAAACTTTAACAATCTACAATTAAAAAAATATTCTTAGTAAAATCCACGATTATAAATACAAATATTACAAATATATAATCTTGAAAATCTTACAAGATATATTTTTTCAAATCCACATTAATAGCTCTGAAGTCCATGAAAATATTAATAAAAAATAAAAAAAAACACTTGTTTAGCACGGGTAGTGCTTGAAAAACATTTAATAAATTCCCCTTTTGCAGTTTTTTGTACTGAACCTTGTTAAAAAAAAAACCTTAAAAATCTATTAAAAAACATCGTTTAAGTCCTTAAAAATATAAAAATAAAAATTCTTCGACACAACTTCCTGAAATTGCACGTTTGTATCTCAGATAGTCTTTGATCAAAATTCCACGTTTGGATGGATAATGAATTTTTTTAACAATTTTAGAAAAATAGTTTTAAAACAAATTCACGTGAAAAACTCTTTTTTAATCCACCTTGAAAAAAAAAAAAATTTGCAATATTTAAAACTATTGCAATATTTAAAAATAAGGGCTGTACCAAAAGTTTTACCTACGGGATAATTTTTTTAAATAGCGTTTCAAGGTAATATGAACTCAAAATGCCAAAATCTTGGCGAAATAAAATGGAAAACATGCCAAAAATGCTACAAAAAACTTGAAATCGGAGTTGTTCTCACCTGATGGCTTTACCAAAACGTGGACCGATATGATCCTTTTCCATGGTTCTGGATGTAATACAAAGATGTTTATAAATTTCAAAGCTTTATTCTATATGTGGCGAAATATATAAGGGTGAGATAAAAAACTGCAACAAACGACATTCTTTTTAATTTTTTTTTTTAATTTTTTTGGAAAACAAAAAATGTCGGAAATAGCATCAAATTTTCGAATAAATTTAGATTTGTTCGAATTGGTCACTTTTAGCACGAATTATGGACTTCAAACGGCCAATGAAACCGTCACACGATGCTCGAATGTTCTCTCTGCGGTATTTTGCTTGAGGTGATCAACACTTTGGTATATTTTAGTGCCAACCTTTCATTCCAAAATACTCCAAACACAATAGTCCATCGGGTTGGTATCCGGAGATTTTGGTGGCCATTGTGCGCTGGAAATGAAACGAGGAACCTCATTTTGTAACCATTCTTGGGTGGAGCGTTCTGAGTGCGATGGTGCTGAATCCTGTTAGAATGTCCAAGGTCTGGAGGCAAAATGTTTGCGTGCCCAAGGCTTTAATACACCCTCCAGAATATTTTCGCGATAATATTCGACATTTATTCTGATGTCACGGTCGATTACTACGAGCGGAGAGCGACCATCGGTTGTTATGGCGGCCCACACCATCACCATGGCCGGCGCTTGAGTTCTGATGGCAAACCGAAGGTACACATTTTCAGCTGACCTCTTTGGCAAGTAAACACGATCATTTTGTTTGTTTACAAACTGCTGAACAACGAATGTATTCTCATCGGAGCGGAGAAAACCAAATTCGGCAGTTCATCACTTTCGACCAAGCGAAGCAACTTCTTAGCTCTTTTGAGTCTATTTTCTTTCTGTTGTGGTGTAAGTTCTTGCACTTCTTGGAATTTCAATGGCTTTACCCCGAGCTTATTTTTCAATATTGGCCTATTTTCATTCCGTTGCGGTCTAAGTTCTTGCACTTTTTGGAATTTGGAATATCAATGACTTTACCCCGAGCTCATTTTTCAATATTTGTCGAATTGAATATTGCGATATGTTCAGCTCACGAGCCATTTTTGTACGCTTGTAAAGAATATAATGAGCTGTCACTGGAATAATTTTAACAGCTGTCGGTCCAGTGGCTTAGAAATGATATCCGTCTGAAGTTGGTTGCAGTGTTTGCAGCTCACCTTGTATGTTTTATTCTGAGATTTATGGAGAAAATGTGTAGAATATTTCTTCTTTTGACACTTTCCGCCGAAAATGGAATTTTATGTTACTTTCAAACGCCAATATTAAGAATTTGTTTCCGTGTTTTTTTATACCCTCCACCATAGTATGGAAGGTATATTAAGTTTGTCATTCCGTTTGTAACACCTCGAAATACACATTTTAGACCCCACAAAGTATATATATTCTTGATCAGCATAAAATTCTATATCGATTTAGCGATGTCCGTCCGTCTGCTCGTCTGTGGAAATCACTCTAGCTTCCGAACGAATTGAAGTAGATTGATAAAATTTTGCTCAATTGTATGTTATGTCTGCAGGATTTTTGGTATTTAAAATGGACCATGTAGGTCCACGTATTGGTAAAGCCCCCATATAACGGTACCTCCCGATATTCGGTATTTTGATTTTATCGACATAATAACCGATTTTTTTTTAAGTTTTGCATTTGAATATTGTAATGGGTTATGACAAATGTTACCTACGCAGGTTCATGTCGTCGTATAGACCCTAATATAATAGCTACATTCGGTATTTTTAAGATTTTAACAGAATTTTTAACGGATTTTATTGTTTTCGAGAGTTGCCAAATTCGTTTCAAATGGTGGAGGGGATGCTAAGTTCGGCCCGGCCAAACTTACAGCTTTTTTACTTGTTTTTTTTTTTTTTTTTTTTTTTTTTTGATAATTTCATTAATATTTTTAGGATCTAAAGTGGAAATAGAGAATTCTTTTCTTTATTGATTTTCAGTAAAAATAGATAAAGAATATTTTTGTCTTTGACGTCATCCTTTTAAAATTAAGATTTGTTTGAGATTTTTGCACAAACTCAAACAAAGTATGGCTTTAACACTAAAATGTGTTTAAAATGCCTTTGGATTTGTGGCGTTTAGGTTAGGCTTTTGATGTATTCTAGGACCTATAGTAGAATTTTATAGCAAATAATTGTGTAGAATATTTTGACCTGCCAAAACCACGTTTAAATGCAGTTTTAAAACATATTTTAAGAAGAGGATTAATGTAAAATGTAAGGATTCCAAGGAATCTTAAACTGAAAAGGCCCATAATTGTGAAAGAGGGGGGAACTTGCCCCCTATATTTACGTGTCTTCTTTTTAAGCTCTACTTTCATAATCTGCTGGCTTTTCTCCGCAATTATCAAAAAAAAAAAAATAAATAAATAAATAGATATGTCGCACAGTATTATAGACGAAAAATTAACGATTGGACTTCAATAAATATTCATGGAAGGGGTACGATTTATTTTGCTCCACAGTGTAAATTATATTTTTTACGTCAAACATCACTCTATTTTTTTTGTTCTATTTTATTTCTTTCAATTTTTTCCGAATATGAGGTATAGAAAGAAAATCGATTCCAAAAACCCTCCCCCACTAATCTTTTTTAACTCGTTTCATAGCTCTGTCAAATCCCTTCTCGACGCCTTGCTCTGGGACATCTATGGCCGCCAAAAACAGCATTCCAGACTACGAAGAAAACGCTCCAGCCGCTACAAATTATTCCAGCTGCGCTCGATTGCATTTTTACAAAATGACATTCGAAAATTACGCGACATGGCGTCAATGCTCCGCGATGAGATCCGATTAATGTCAAGCTTTCTGCAACAGGCTCTGGCGGAACGAGAACAACAACGTTGGCAACAATGGCGATTGTGTGATTATTTAAATGCGTTGTTACACCATCTGGTACAGGGTGAGTAAATAACGAATGTAATTTGCTTCTGGCGTTAGTGCGCAAACGCCGAACGAATGTCAGCTGTCAAAAACAGCCACCATGGGGAAATTTCTTTACTAGACCAGAGCGTAGAAATTTTCATTCAGTCGTCGTGGACATTCGAAACGTTGAGGAGTTACCAAACCAAAAACACACACAACAGCGATTTAGGGTAAACTTAGCAAAAATTCCTCTAAGCAAACAACCAACCAACCACCACCAACAACAACAAAACCAACACTTGAGAAGACTTTTTTCTTTGCCTATTTTATCCTTGAAAATCTGAAAATTTCTTTGGTGTTTCACAAAAAAATAAGTAAAAGAAAAGCCATGGAAAATATATGGCTTTGAGGGAAAAATAATGATTTGAAATATGGCAAAGATATTCCATGGAAAATCTGAAAAAGTGGCCTAATTGTGTTGGCATTTAAAATTCTGCAGACCCCTTGGGGTCTGCCTGGCAAAGGCATATACCACGGAAAAACCAATCGATATGAAAAGTGCGTGTTGAAAGCAATGATTTTCTTTGTGAAAATTTTAATTAAAACAAAGTAATTTTAATGTGATGAAAAAAATAGTAGTTATGCGTATCTGTGTGTGTGCGTGTCTTGCATGAGTTATATAAAGAAAATTTGGAAGCAACTAGCAAACATATGTATGTAATAAATATGCATAGTATATACGTGCATACATATGTAATACAATGCTCTAAAAATGCCAGCATTGTCCATTGAAAAAGAGTGCGTCTGAGTTGTGTCTGTGTGTGTGTAATATGCATTTTCTTAATAGACTACTACTACCACCACTACAAGCGACACCTCAAAATCAATGAAGAAAACTAAAACCATCTAACTATCCAACCAACCAACCAAACTATCCGTCCATCCGTCTGTCATCTGCCCAACCGAACACATTGTGGATCCATTCAAAAAGGGTCAAGGTTGGCACACTTGCACAAAAATAACGCAAACACGCTAACCAAACCAAAGCTCAACACTAACAACAACGTTGACGACGATGATGATAATAATAATGTATAAAATATGTATGTAATATAGTTAGATATGCGTGTTTGATGATGATGACGAACTGGCTGGCTGGCAGGCTATCAGGCTGAATGCTTCCACTTCCGTGAAAATCGGTTTTAGTGCCAGAAAAAAAAAAAACCTAATATGAAAGATAATAATGTCTACAATGCGTATACGCCACTTGAAATAAAACGCTGTCATGCATAAGTGTAGCCAACTACAAACACACACCGACTGACACACCAACACAAGACACACAACCCCACCAACACAACAACACCTAACAGCCAAACCAACCACTCACCCAGCAAGCCAACAAAACCTGTTTAACCAACAATTTCTTTCAAATTTCTTTTCATATTTTTTAAAACCTCCCTCACTCTCTCTTTCTCTGTGTGTGTCTCTTTGAAACAACAAAAACAACGACAACAAAAATTAAAAACAAATAATAAAATAAATAAACAACTACCCACAGTGCATTAATGTTAATCTCAACAACAACAACAAAATGTAAAGAGGCAAATTCCAACACACTCTCCGCCTAAAAAAGCAAAAGCTCAAAAAAAAGGAAGAGAGAACACCCACAACAACACCCCACCACAACCAACCAACCACCCACTCACACACAACCGGAAAACGGCATTGGTGGTGTTGTTGTTTTTGTCGTCACTGCAAATAAATAGAGTGAACGAAACAAAAAAACACAGCTCAGCTTAGTTTTTTAGACGGCTTGGCTCGTCCATAATTCAAAACCAGGTGGAACATGGGTAAATATATAGAAAAAACAAAACAAAACTAGATCTACTTGTTTCCCCCCTTTACTATATTCTTCGCTATTCGTTTCCCCTTCATTTTCAAGCGAAATCTTGCATCTTAAGAAAATCGGATGTTCATGAAATATCTCAACAACCATATCCTCTTTGAAGCATTATCTCCCTCTTATTCACCGATTCTCTCATATCAGTTATCAAACTCAAACTTCATTTTACATGACTCGGGATCAATCATTCCTCTCAGCTCACGGTCTCATTTATAAAAGCCGAAATCTTCTAATATACTCATTTGGCACAAGTTCTCAGAAAAAAACGAGACATTTTTATAGAGAATATTACTCTTTCATAAAGATTATTGAAGGTGCTATACAGGACCCTAATAGCTATTTCATGGGTTATCAAAAATATGGGTTATAAAAAATGGTACGCTCCATAGTGTATAGTCCTTATAATCCTTAAAAGGTTTTAAAACTTATTACAATACATATATATTTGAGTCCTCCAAAGAATATTCTTTTACAATTTCATTATGGCTCTGACAGATTGTCATGAGTTTAGCTATGAGATTCCTTGGGAAAAAATATCCTTCAAAAAATGCAGGTATCCTTAGAAAAGGAATATTTTTCAAAAAAACACTTTTGGAATAGTCCTTGGAAAAAAGTAGACTTCAAAAATAAAAATTTTCAATTTAAACCTTTAACAAATACATAATTCCTTTCCCTGATAATAGTCCCTCAAATTTACTACAGGATGAAATAAAAAAACTACAACAAAGTCAAATGCCATAATTTTTATTTATTTATTTTTTTTTTAATTTTATTGAATGAAAGCAAAAATTTCGGAAATAGCATCAAATTTAAGAATAAGTTTAGATTTGCCCGAATTGGTCACCTTTGGCACGAATTATGGCCTTCAAACGGCCAATGAAACCGTCACACGCTGTCCGAATGCTGCTCTGCGGTATTTTTGACCATTCCCGGCGAAGCGCTTGCTTGAGGTGATCGACACTGTAGTATTTTCCAGACACAATAGTCCAACGGATTGGTATCACGGCGATTTTGATGGTCATTGTGCGATGGAAGTCCTGTTGAAATGTACAAGGTCTGCGGCCAAAATGTTTACGTGCCCTCCAGAATATTTTCGCAATAATATTCGGCATTTATTCTGATGCCACGGTCGATTAATACAAGCGGAGAATGACCGTCGGCTGTTATGACGGCCCACACCATCATCATGACCAGCTCTTGAGTTCTGCCAATCGAAGGTGCACATTTTCAGCAGACCTCTTTGGCAAGTAAACACGATCACTTTTGTTTGTTTTCTCATCGGAGAAACCCAAATTCGGCAGTTTACCACCTTCGGCCAAGCGAAGCAACTCTTTAGCTCTTTTGGGTCTATTTTCTTTCTGTTGCGGTATAAGTTCTTGCACTTTTTGGAATTTCAATGACTCATTTCGAGCTCATTTTTCAATATTTGCCGAATGAGCCTTTTTTCGGCCACTGCGTCGCGGGTTTCGATCAAGTCGCTTCTTTACTTTTCGAACCATTTCTGCTGATGTTGCTGTTTTCTTCGGACTACGCTACCAGTATCACGGTAACGAGCGATGGTACGCGACACAAAAGATTTATTCACATTTAAGTGCTGGAGTGCTCTGACGATAACCACTTGTGGTTTTCCAGCCAAATATAAAGAGAGTTGTGTAAAAATACAGAATCTAAAAATCCATGGAAAGTCTTTGGTATTTTTTAAAGTCCCACTATTTCTGACCCATAACCCGTGCTCTAATGAGTCCTTGGATAAGTCGTCGACCGTTTTCCTGGCCCTAGTCATTCTCCATTTTCCTATTATTAAAAGTATATGTAGCTCTGATCTTCTATGGGGACAATGTTCTTAAAAGTCCGCGTTTGAAGCTCTGGTGGTCTCCGAAAAATAGTCTCAAAAATAAGCGTTGACAACTCCTATATTCCGGAAAAAAAAACAACATAAGAAGTTGTGATACTACTTGGAGAACATTCTCGAAAAGCTTCGATAGTCCCGTAAAAAAATTCTGGATAGTCCAGGGAAGAAGTACAGAGTATTCGATATTTTTTTTTAAAGTCCCAGTATTTCTGATCCATAAACCGTGCTCTAATTAGTCCTTAGATAAGTCGTCGGTCATTTGCCTAGCCCTTAGAAAAATCCTCATTCCTCTTATTTATAGTATTTTCCAGGATCGCTCCACCAAAAGATCCTTCAAAAAAATCTACGATTATTCCTCTAATAACCTTTTGATAAAATCCTGAAAAAACTCACAATTATAGCTCTGATATTAATTGAAGAAAATTCTTGACAACCCTGGAAAATATATATGATAGACCGTGGCAGTATTAATACATGAAAAAATCCACAACCTTTTCAGGATTGGTGCTCCAAAAGTCCTTGGAAACACTTTACGAATTCTGCTTTAATATCCCTTTGATAGAATCCTGAAAAAACCCTGCATTTTATAGTAATCCAAAAAAATTATCTTGTAGCCATTTAAAATAATCTTAAAGTTCTAATAATCCTTCATAGTCCGTGGACAATATCGTCTGATAATCCTGGGAAAAGTCGTCTATGATTTATCTGAAACGACTGAAAGACCTTATTAAATTTGCAATTTTTGTTCCGATAGTCCCTTCCAGGATTTCTGCTTCAACATTCGAATAACCCTTGGATAAATCCTGAAAAATCCTCAATTATAAATCAGATTGTAGAAAAAGATACAGTATAACGCTTAAAGTCTTGGAACAATCGTCGATAGCTTCTCTGATCGTCCTTGGAAAAATCCCTTAGAAAAAGATGTCCTTTGAAAATCTACGATATATTCTTTAATATCCCTCTTGAAAATATTACACCTATACTCTTAGTTCCACTTCCACTTTTAAAACTCTGATAGTCCTTCGAAAATTACTTCTAATAGTCCATGATTGATAGGCTAATAAAAAAATGATTTTGAATACAAAGTTTAAAGATCTGATTGTCCTTTAAAAATATATTGTTAAAAGTCCACATTTGAGAGTATCATAGTCCTTGGAACAATAAAGCTTATCGGTTGGAAAATTATTTATCCTCGAGAAAAATATTTAAAATCCCCGTTTAGAGCTGATACTCCTTTGGAAAAATATTTTGTGAAAATGGATTTTCGATCTGTGAAAAAATTCTATTGAAAATGCTTTGGAAAATTATGAAAACCATGGAGTGTGTATAAAGTCAATCGGTGCAGCTCTAATGGTCCTTAAGAAAAAACACAAGTCTATATCTAAATAATTTTTGGAAAATTTTTAAAAAACCTTGAAAATTCCTTGGAAAAAATATTTAAAAAAGATCTGCAGGAGACCTCTAAAGGGCTTTAAATATATAGAATTCTACTTTAAATATATAATCTATCAAAAGGAGATATTTAAAGATTTATGGTTTCATATTTATGGAAAACCTGTAAAGGTTTTGGCCTATGAACGACCTCTCAATGTATAGAAGATATACAAAGGATATTGTGTAACCGGAAACCCTTCATAAAAAGTTTTCCCCCATAGGAACAACCTCTTTTATGTTAAAAGATGACCTGTTATCTCTAAAATCTCTAAATTATCGTTCTGGAGCTGTGTTACCTGTTCCTTTTATAGACAACTTCTGTAATGTGGTTTATCAACGAAGGAGCTTTAGAAGCACTAATACAAATATTAGGATTTGAAATGTTCGAACAACATCGAATGATTCGTTCTCTTTCTATAAGGCAAATTATATTCTTCCACCATTTTGACCGAAGGAGTGGACCGATATTATTCATCTTCGAACTCGATCAAAGTTTGATAAAAATATTACGATGTACCAAGTCTGGATGAGATCGGATATTACCTTTGAAAGTTAGACACCCAGACAGAAGGACAGGAACAACCCCGAAATCTCATGACTTCATCCAAACAACTATTGTATAAAACCGTTATTTCGATGAGGCACTTTTTTGCCACATTTGAGAGTGTTAATTCTTGAATGCTTGAAGTTATTTTGTTACATAATAGCAATATATAATAATGCTTAATCGTCCTGAGACACACGTTCAATTTGGTGTCATTTAAGGGGGTTCGGCAAATTTATAATACATTTTAACCATGATTTTGTATCTGGGTATCTCCTGGAAACTTTGATCCTTAATTTGGTGTTGTCAAGAGAAAATCCGGAATTTGTCTCATTTCAAAGAACATAAGTGGTCTGGACTTGGGGTTAAATGCTCGGTTTACTTAATTTCTCACAGTAAAAATTCAATATTCTAATGCATACTTTTAGGAGAAAGTCGTTAGCGTACAGAATTAATTTAGCCAAGTGTTTATAGGTCAGTTTAGTTTAACCCGTAACACTTAATACTTCAGTAAATTTTGCGCCTTGGGGCCAATATTTGTGCTAAATAATAATATTTTCACAACATGTAACGTCACGTGACAAACAGAACGTCATTAAACGTCATTTGACCACCATTATCACCCCCCTCCAATTGGTATCATTATGTTCCTCACTCTCTCTCTCTCTCCCTCCGTACATCTCTAAATCATTCTGAATTACTCATTCAGCTTTGAAATTAAAACACTCAGTTCAAAGGGTTTTCCATTTGTCTGTCTACCTAAATAATATGCATATATAGCCTATAACTCTTTTGTACCACATGAATGTTAGTGTGAATGTAGGTGTGTGTGTGTGTAGAAGTGTGTTTGTGCACTCGTTTGCATTGTTGCCTACATACATTCATAAGTATCTGGTCTGTCATCACTTCATGTCGTCGTTCATACATACACACATACATACATTTGTCGTACTTCACACATACACATAGCAAGGAATAGTTGAAATGTGCCGCTTTTTTTTTCCACCCTTACAAATGTATTTGTGTTTATGTATGTATGTAGTTAGGCATTTGACTGTGTGGGTATCAAATGATTCGAATTGTAAGAAACGTTTTGCTTTTTTCTGCTGCTGCTGCTGCCGCTGCACATGCAATTTTAGCCTTGACCAAAATTCAAAGAAGTAAAACAACCAACAACAGCAGCAACAAATAACTACAACTACACAGAGCAGTACGACAAACGACAGCAGAAAAAAAACAACATAAAATAAATGGCAAATTAAAGTGAAAAGTCGGTCAAGACCGATTACGTGTTACGCTATACTAATACCAAACTACTGGGCGGATTAGGTTGAATGCGGTTAACTAAGTTAAATATTCAGAGGTTGTTTTTTTGTAAAACGACAAGAATAGTAATTTACGAAAACTATAATTAGAAATTAATGAAGGGGTTGCATTTTCATATTTAAATATGTACATGTAATCCTGATTGCTATCATCATGAGAGTGATTGTTAAACATTCAAGTGACATGGATAGGCAAACGAGCGTATTAGTAATATTGATTATTTATATTATTGATACGACCTGAATAGCTAATTTCTTAAAGGTGAATACCATTTGGACGGGAAGCTTCAATTCACCTTCACCTCGTGTCTTTTGATGATTGGTAGAGAATCAATATGGGGAGAAAATGTAAATAAATACAAAAAAAATATATAGCGAGTCTAATAGCGAAGCGAGCCTTAGAACCCAAAATTACAAGAAAATCGAACATTTATATCCAATTTTATGCGAAGTTATAAATGTGTTGAGAATTATTTAGTTATAGCAAGTTGTAAAGAATCGCAGACTTTTTTCGCAAGTTATGACAGAATTGTGAACTTGGGGGTGAGGTACCAGAAGGTGTTTTCAGATATCTATTTATTATATCCAAAACTTTTAACTTAACTTTTTGTGGCTGAGGTACCAGAAGGAATGGTGAGTTCTATACCATCTTTTTAATAGACCTTGTTTGGAGAGAAAGTGTGAATTGAATCGAATGTTAGTTTCGCCTTTTATGAGCTTCAAGGATTTTCAATATGTTGACCATTTGTGGGGGAGGTACCAGAAGGAGTAGACCCATATACCTTATCTTCACAGCAGATCTTAGGTTAATAGAAATAATGGGATGTGAGAAATATGAAAAGAATCAGGTGCTTGTTTCGGATTTTATAATCGTTTTTGTATTCACAATTTTGACCCTTTGTGGTAGTGATACCAGAAGTAATGGACCGACATATTCCATATACACACTATACCTTGAGGTGGTCGACACTTTGGTATTTTTATACCCTCCACCTTGGAAAGGAGGGTATATTAACTTTGTCATTCCGTTTGTAACATCCTTAAATATTCGTCGTAGACCCCATAAAGTATTTATATTCATAATCAGCATAAAATTCTAAATCGATTTAACAATGTTCGCCAGTCTGTCCGTCTGTCTGTTGAAATCACGATACAGCCCACATTATTTGACGTAGAGCGCCAAAATTTAGCAGAGCTATTTGTATTGTGTCTAGGATGGTTGGTATTGAAAATGAGATATATCGGTCCACGTTCTGGTATAGTCCCCATATAACGGTACCTCCCAATATTCGGTATTTTGATTATGTATGCCACATTTTTTCACGGATTTGTCTGAAAATTGGTACTTGTAGGTCATAATGGATCCCTGTGCGAGTGGCACAACATTGCATGTATGGGTCCACGTGTTGGTATAGCCCTCATGTAAAGGTACCTACCGATATTCGCTATTTTAATTTTTTTTTTGCCACATTTTTCACGGATTTGTCTAAAAATTGGTATTTGTTGGTCATAATGGGTTCCAGCTCCAGTGGCGAAACATTGTATATATAGGTCAACGTTTTGATATAGACCCCATATAACGGTACCTCCCAATATTCGGTATTTTGATGATTTTTGACATATTTTTTCAAAAATTAATCTGAAAATTGGTAGTTGTAGATCATAATGGGTCCCAGTTGGTGTGGCGAGTCATTGTAATTATAGGTCCACGTTTTGGTATAGCCCCCTATAACGGTACCTCCAGACATTCGGTAATTTGGTGATTTTTGCCACATTTTTCACGGATTTGTCTGAAAATTGGTATTTGTAGTCATAATGGGTTCTAGCTCCGTTGGCGAAACATTGTATGTATAGGTCCATGATTTGATATAGCCCCCATATAACGGTACCTCCCGATATTCGGTATTTTGATGGTTTTTGCCACATCTCTTCTAATGCTTCCTTTACCCTAAGGTGTAGGGTATTAAAAGTTTGGCCCGGCCGAACTTAATGTTTGTTTACTTGTCGCTTCTTTACTTTTCGAACCATTTCTGCTGATGTTACTTATTCTTCAGTTAATTTCCTTGACGTCGGCCTACGCTACCAGTATCATGGTAACGAGCGATGGTACGAGACACAAAAGATTTATTCAAATTTATATGCTGGAGTGCCCTAAGGATAGCCATTTGCGGTTTTCCAGCCAAATATAAAGAAATCACGAATAACTTTTTTTCTGAAAAATTATTTCCTATGTACCACCTCAAGCATCTACATGGTTTTCAGTAAAGAATATACATATGTAATCAAAATTGGTGCCCACTGGTCTGTAGAGCCTGTTATTTTGTCTTGAGATTACCTTTGTCAATACTTAATCTTCTTTAGGACTTCAATGAGCCGACGACCTATAAAAAGGCTCTTAAATTTCTGTTATGATTATATGACCTTTGGATAAGATAATATATCATCTTTAACGTATTTAAGTCCCAAAAAAGTATCGCTTCGATTTTTAATAAAAACTATTAGAAAAGCAGTAACTTTGCCCGGGCCGAACTTTAAATACCCTCCATCAAATAGAACAAATTTTGGCAATTTTCAAAAAACAAACCGTTAACAATTCTATTAAAATCTTAAGAAAGCTGAATATTGGGAGTTACCGCAAATACGAAACATGAAACAATTCCGTTGAATAATGGCGCAAAAACATAAAAACACCGAATATAGGGAGGTACCGTTATATGGGGGGATATACGAAGACCAGGACCTGCAAGGAAATTTTCTGCCACAGGTTGTAGTACTCGTTACTTAGTGCAAATACGAAATTTGAAACAATTGCGGTGAATATCGTCGCTGAAGTCATCAAAATACCGAATACAGGGAAGCATCGTTATATGGGGGCCATACGAAGACCTGCACTAGAATATCCAATTTTCAGTTAAAGGCTGTAGTACCTATTAGGAATTTCAAATACGGAATTTGAAAAAATTCTGGTTGTGATTGTAGCTGAAAACATCATAATACCGAATATAATAGGGTGGTGCCGATGTATGGGGGCTATACGAAGATCTGGACCTGCACAGGCAATTTTCTGTCGCAGATTGTTTTACTCGTTACTTAGTGCAAATACGAAATTTTAAACAATTGCGGCAAAAAATGTCGCTGAAATCAGCGCAAACTACCGAATACAGGGAAGCACCGTTATATGGTGGCTATACGAAAACCTGGACCTGCACAGCCAATTTTCCGTCATAGGTTGTAGTACTCGTTACTTAGTGCAAATACGAAATTTGAAAACATTCAAGTGAATAATGTCCCATATATCCTCAAAATACTGATTATAGGGAGGTACAGTTTTATGGAGGCTACACCTAAACTTGCTCCTATATGGCTTCTTTTCAATACGAAAAGTCCTGCATACCAAATATACATCTGAGTAAAATTTTATCAACCTACTTCAATTCGTTCCGAAGCTACAGTGATCGCTAAATCGACATAGAATTTTATCCTAGTCATGAATATATATATACCTGAGGTCTAAAATCTATGTTTCGAGTTGTTACAAACGAAATGACAAACTTAATATACCCCCTCCATACTATGGTGGAGAGTATAATACACTATGTTTAATTCACATTAAAGATTCAATTGTTTGGCAAACCCCAACCTACCACAATTTGAGTGTCAAGTAGAAGACCCCATTTGAAACTACATCTAACCTTTCACATTTCACTTTGCAAAAGGCTACATTTCTATATATATATTTAAGTTTTCTTTTTTGGGTCACACAAATGCCCAAATATTTTCAAAGTTTTCAAGCTGATATCCTTAGAGGCGTTTTTTTTTTTGTTTGTTCTTATTTTAACTTACAAGGACATTTCTTACAATTCGCTAGCACAAGATACTCCTCTCTACATTCATACAGACATACATACGTATTCACTAACACAGAAAGACATTACGTAAATGTCTTTATAGGCAAAAAATCCCAAAATCGGTGCCTTTCATTTTTCTACAACAGAAAAATAAATATTTGCAAATCCCAATGCCAACATGTGTTTGTGTGTGTGTGTCTGTGTGTGCGACAACTCTATGCGAATAAGTGTCTCCGTTTTGTCTCAAACATTTCCGCACTATTTACATTCCTTCATGCATATTTACCATTTGTAAACATTGACTTTCTCACACATTGATTCATACTGTCATAGCAATTACATACATACATGTGAATTTACATGCCATATCCCTACATTCATATGTAATATATATATATATACTATGACTTTTACTAAATGTTATATCTCTCTCTATATATATGTATGTATGTGTGTGCGTGCGCGTTGTTTGTTTATATTTCTATTTTATTTGGTTTTTCCTCTTGACTTGAAAATGTGTTTTTTTTTCTTTGTATTTTCTCTCTTCTCTTTCTGTTTCTTCCACCTTTGTTTTATAACGTATTCTTGTTCTTCATCTTTACCACTTTGTGTAACGCAAAAAAAAAAACACAACAACATTAATAATAAATGTAATGAAATAATAATAACAACAACAACAAAACCACAACATGACAAATGAAAATCAACAACATTCAACAAATATGCAAAAACTACAACAACAACCGATATCTCTCTTGAAATATCTTTGTCTTTCTCTCTCTCTCTCTATTCTCTATATTTCTCCGTTTCTCTCTCTGTATTTTTCGAAAACACACACAAAACCTAATTTCAAGTTTGCATACTGCACGGATACTGTAAGTTATGTATGATTTCTTAGATATGATTTGAAATGTACTATAACATACATTAACTTCAAAACTGAAATATTTTAACTAAATCTTTTTTTTTACACTTTAATTTTGGAACTTTTACAAAAATTCTGGATAAAATTAAAGACTATTTCCTAATCGTTTATGAATATAGGTTCAAATCGTGGCCAAGAGAGAATCCGTAGTAACTGTTTGGGAGACTGCAAATGGGAGTGAAAGATATGTTTTAGAGGAGTATTTTTAGATTATAGCCCCAGAGGCTACATAAAAAGGGGACTCCATAGGCGGATTGAAAGAAGACTTTATAGGCAATTTGAAAGCCGCATTTATACGCAATATTGAAGAGTGAAAGACGGCATGAAGGAGTAATTGGGGGCGATTTGAATGGGTTCTGAAGGCTACTTTGGAGGAGTCTAAATTGAAATTGAAAGAAATCTACATTGGCGACTTCAAAAGTTTCCTGTAGTTGACTTTAGAAGGTATCTCTAAGCGATATAAAAGGAGTCGTAATTGGCAAATCCAAAGAGACATTCATAGACGTCTTGAAAGGAGTCTTTATATGCCACTTGAAACATTCACCCCTATTACATAATAAATGAGAGTTCCCATTCAAAAAGGTAATGCGAATTCGCATTCACAAAATAATATTCCGGGGGAATTCCCATTCACATTAATTTGCTATTACCAAATTATGGGAACAAACAAAATCAGCTGATATTTTCGAACATTAAATTATATTTACTGATAACTGTGAAATAGTTTTCGTATGTCATTTTTCTCTTGTCTGTGAGTATATTTATAGCCTACACCGCATAGTGGCAAGGGTATTATGTATTTGTGCATTTGTTTGTAATAGGGAGAAGGAAGCGAGATGGACCCATAGTTATTTTTGAGGATCTTCATAGAATCACTTTCTGAGTCGATTTATGCATATCAGTCCGTCTGTCCGTTGGTCCATGTATTTTTGCGAACAAAATGCAGGTCGCATTTATTATCCGATTGAGATGAAATTTTGCAAACAATATTTGTTTGACACAAGGACGAACCCGAAGACATAGCTCCCATATATCTGCAACCGATTTTGGATTAGTTGTGCACGAAATGGCCAATACAAGCAAAGACCTAAAATGGTAAAGACTAGACAAAATGCATTCTGAGCAAATGGTTTGTGGCCATACTACCTTGAATAACAGCTCATTGCAGAGGCATGTTAATATAAAAAAACACAGTTATAGGCAAAAATGGCAAATAAAAGTTTGGATAATCCAAAATATTTGGTTTCAAAATTCTGCATACTGCCTTAGCGGTTTAAATTGCTCAACATTGGTAGCTATGTTGTTACTATATCATAACAACAGAGGTATTTTTCAAAGGGTTGCCATATTTGACTCTGTCTTGTCCTATCTTTATGCGTCTATGTCTTTGATAGAAGTGTAAAGATGGAACAAGACAAGGTCAAAATATGACAACCCTGTGAAAATACCTCTGTTGTTACGATGTCATAACAACATAGCTACCAACTGATTTTAATCGCTAAGGCAATATGCAAATGTTTGGAAAGGTCTATGGAATAAAATTTTGAAACTAAAATTTTGGATTTTTAAAATTTTTATTTGTTATTTGTTTCTGTAATTATGTTTTTTATATTAACATGTCACTGCCATGGGCTGTTACTCTATGTTATGTAGACACAAACCATTTGCTCAAAATGCATTTTGTCTAGTCTTTACCATTTTAGGTCTTTGATATGAACTCTACAAGAATGATATTTAGTACCGGCCATCAGATTCTGCTCGAAAATACTTCAGTCAAATTTTATCGATATCGGCTCAGATTTGGATATAGCTTCCATATATATTTTCCACCGATTTCGGGTTAATTGTGCAGCAGATGGCTAATATCAGACCAAATGTACTGAGTTTTGGCAATTACGACTGAATTCATCCTAGAAACTAGCACTTCATATTTGGTGTAAATCGGTTCAGATATAGCTATAGCTCCCATATATATGTTTTATAGCTCCCATATATATGTTTCAGTCCACAACAATGATCTTTGGTATCAGAAATCAGATATAGACCAGAAAAAAAAACTGTCAAATTTTATGAAGATCGTTTTGGATTTGGATATAGCTCCCATATAAATCTTCAACCGATTTCGCGTTAATTGTCCACCAAGTGGCCAATATCAGTCCGAATGACCTGAATTTTTGCCACATTATCGGAAATACATTTGCCAAATTTTATCGAGGACGGCTAAGATTTGGATATATCCTTAATCCGATTTCAGGTTTATTGTGCAAATAATGTATGATATCAGCACAAATGGAGCGAATTTCGGGTCGTACGTTTCCATTTTGGGGAATTCGTCTCCGATATATATCCTCCTCGAAGTGATATCATGTACTCGTTAGCAATGTTATTTGGCATAAAAAATTAAAATGGCTCCGTCGAATTTAGTGAAAATCGATTCATTGAATATGCCTCCCATATATTAGCTCCCTCTGAAACCAAACTATAACTGCTCTAAAGCCAAATGTTGATAGGTGGTATGATCTACTTCAAAACAAGTTAAAAACAATAAGTTCGGCCGGGCCGAACTTTGAATACCCTCCCCCATTTGGAATGAATTTGGAAATTTTCAAAAAAAAATAAAATCCTTAAAAATTATGTTTAAATTTTAAAAATACTACAAAAGCATTGTTTGTCATAAGCCATTACCATATTCTAATTCGATAACTTGAAATATACGGCAAATGTAGCTAAAATCATCAAGATATCGTATATAGGGAGGTACCGTTATATCGGAGCTGTGTGAAGGCCTTAACCAGCCAGATAATTTTCTGTCAGAGGCTGTAGCATCCATTGCGAAGTTTAAATACGACATCTCAAACAATATCGGTGGGTATTGTACCTAAACTCGTCAAAATACCGAATATAGGGAGGTACCGATATATGGGGCCTATACGAAGACGTGGACCTGCACATAAAATTTTCTGTCTTAGGCTGTTGCATCTATTACGAACTTCAAATACCGAATTTTTAACAATTCCTGTTATTAATGTCGCTAAAATCATCAAAATAGCGAATATAAGGAGGTACTGTTATATGGGGGCCATACGAAGACGTGGACCTGCACAGACAATTTTTTGTTTTAGACTGTAGTATCCATTACGGACTTCAAATACCAAATTTGAAACAATTCCGTTAAATATTGACGCTAAAATCATCAAAAAACCGAATATAGGGAGGCCCCGTTATATGGGGGCCATACGAAGACGTGGACCCGCACAGACAATTTTCTGTCTTAGGCTGTAGTATCAATTTAGAACTTCAAATACCTAATTTAAAACAATTCTGGTGAATAATGTCGCTAAAATCATCAAAATACCGAATATAGGGAGGTACCGTTATATGGGGGCCATACGAAGACGTGGACCTGCATAGACAATTTTCTGTCTTAGGCTGTAGTATCCATTACGAGCTTCAAATACCAAATTTGAAACAATTCCGGTGAATAATGTCGCTGAAATCATCAAAATACCGAATATCGGGAGGTACCTTTATATGGGGGCTATATGAAAACGTGGACCTACATGGTCCATTTACAAACTAAACCTGCCTACGGGAATAATAAACATGTGTGCAAAATTTTAGCTTTCTATCTCAATTCGTTTGAAAGATAGCGTGATTACAACAGATAGACGGACATCGCTAAATCGACTTGTGTTGTTGGGTCTGACATGAGTATTTCGAGGAGTTACAAACGGAGTGACAAAGTTAATATACCCTCCATAGTTTGGTGGAGGGTATAAAAATTCTTTTGTTATGGGAGCACTTTTAAATATGCATAGTGGTGTAGGGTATCATATAGTCGGCCCCGTCAGATATTTGACTTTTCCTTACTGGTCAATGTTAGGTTAGTTCTCAATAAATGATTTATCGTTATTAAAACACTTCCGATCTTCACCAAATTTGACATACTAGCTTCTAGACTCAATTCGGTCTTAAGTGCCAAATGTCATCCAATTTGGGAAAATATTAGACGTTTGGTGCACAATCAAAGGTAAATCGGACGAAGTTATATATGAGAGCTATATCCAAATCTGAACCGATCTCGATAAAATTTACCAAATTTATTTCTGAGCTGTATTTGATATATTTCCCCAAATATTGTTGTTACAGAGTGCATATTATGGCTGCGGAGGACAAAAATAAAAAATCGGATGAACAATATATATGGGAGCTATAGCTATATCTGAACCGATTTCGATAAAATTTGGCATACTTATTTTGAGGTCCAATTTTATCGTATGTGCAAAATTCCATACTATTCGGACTGATATGACACGTTTGGTGCACAATAAAAGGCAAATCGGACGAAGATATATATGGGAGCTATATCTAAATTTTGACCGATTATCTCCAATTTCAATAGAGTTCGTCCTTGGGCCAAACAAATGATTTGTGCAAAATTGCATCTGGATAGGGTAATAAATGCGACCTGTACTTTGTTTACAAAAATACATGGACAGACGGACATGCATAAATCGACTCAGAATGTGATTCTATGCAGATCATCAATAGGAACTATGGCTCTATCTCGTTTCCTTTTGCCTGTTACAAACAAATGCACAAAGACATAATACCCTGACCACCTTGTGGTGTAGGGTATAATGAGCCATGTAGGTCCACGGTACCCCCCGATATTCGGTATTTTGATGATTTTAGCGACATTATTTAACGGGATTGTTTCAAATTTCGCATGTGAAGTTCGTAATGGATACTTCAGCCCATGCCAGAAAATTGTCTGTGCAGGTCCACGTCTTCGTATAGCCCCCATATAACGGTACCCCCCATATTCGATATTTTAATGATTTTAGCTACATTATAAACAGATTTTTCTTCAAGTTTCGCATTTAATTGTTGTAATAACTTATGACAAAAGTTGCCTATGCAGGTTCACGTCGTCGTATAAGCATTCGGTATTTTTAAGATTTTAACAGAATTTTTAACGGATTTTATTTATTTATTTATTTTTATTTATTTATTATTTTTTTTTTTTTTTTGGAAATTGCCAAATTTGTACCAAATTGTGGAGGGTAATAAAAGTTCGGCCCGGCCGAACTTATACATTTTTTACTTGTTATATATTTCAAGTAGTTGAAAACCTTGAATAGGACCACGAAAGCTGTTTACTCAATATATATACTCACAGCGACGCAATATGGTCAACTTTTTGCTAAGAACTGTTGAATGGATTTCGTTCAACATGAGATGGTGCATAATTTGGGAGGAATCTTAGAATCACAAACAAAGCCCAAATAATATGTTATCCATGGAATTTATAAGATCAAAATTATATTTATGTTGGTTATTTAGAATAGGGTTCAATTTGTGACGATAGATGAAAAAAACTTTACACATTAAGGCTACACGAACCAAACCCACTAACAAATACTACACTAATTTCTAGAAAATATATTTTTATAATTTCTTATACAAAATCCCTACATATATAATAATGTAACATATTAGTTTAAACAACTATTTTATACTAGTGCAAGCGGAAAGTGGTGTTAGACAACAAAACCATTAGAAAAAAAAAATATATAAGCATCCTACACACAGGTGTTCAATAGGGCTATGCTGTAATACACCTGTATAACAGCCCAACTAATTACACCAACTAAATATCAAAAATCAAGAAAACTAGTTGTCAATTAATTTTTTTTTTTTTTGGTTTCATTTCTATATCACTTCTTATTTGTGTGTCTGTATGTAATTTCATATATCTCTGAACACACAGACGATGTTCATCCAAAGATGCGTTTCAGTCTCACACCACCTCCACCGAAAGCGTTACACTCATCGACCATAACAACGACGGCAACGTCACAACTCAAATGGAATAATAGGAACGGTAGTAGTGCGGCAATAAATAATTACAACAATAACAACTACAACAACGACAACAGGAGCAGTAGCAGTAGCAACGGAAGCATCAACCGCAGCAACAGCAACAACTGTGATAAGTACAGCAACAAAATGCAACGTCAGGAAGATACAACCAACTCGAATAAAGTCAATGTCAACCAACCGGAAGATGATGAGTCCACCTCTGATTATAAGCAATGGCTGCACGCCATGAAACTGGTGGCACGGCTACCGGGTGGTATACCACCGGAATTTCGCAGAAAGGTAAGATGCATCAATGATTTGTAACTTTTTTTATTGCTTACAGAAAGAAATCTAAGGTGGGAGGTTGTAATTTTAAGACAATAAAATACGAGAGAATCAGATGATCTACTACTTCCCTCTCCGTTGAATGACATTTGTTTGGAATGTACTCAAACTTGATCTAAGTTCGAAAAAAAACAAGTTAAAAAGTACCAGTTGGTTTAACCGACAGATGTATACCCTCTGCCAATGTTCGAAGATTTAAATATATTTTGTCATCTGTTATGATTATTCAAATTGTTGACCCTCTGTGGAGTAGGTTTCGAAAGAATGGGCCGATATTGTCCATTTCGTATCGGACCTAAATAAATATGATATAAATACTGCGCCGTGTCAGATTTGGACTGTATTGACTGTTTCCTTCACTTTATATGATATAACGGTACCCCCCGATATTCGGTATTTTGATGATTTTAACGACATTATTTACCGGAATCGTTTCAAAATTGGTATTTGAAGTTCGTAATGATACTACATTCTAAGTCTAAAATGAGTCATGTAGGTCCACGTCTTCATATAGCCCCATATAACGGTACCCCCCGATATTCGGTATTTTGATGATTTTAGCGACATTATTCAACGGAATCGTTACAAATTTGGTATTTGAAGTTCGTAATAGATACTTCCGCATAAAACAGAAAATGGGCCATGTAGGTCCACGTCTTCGTATAGCCTCCATATACCGTACCCCCCGATATTCGGTATTTTGATGATTTTAGCGACATTATTTACCGGGATTGTTTCAAATTTCGCATGTGAAGTTCGTAATGAATACTTCAGCCCATGCCAGAAAATTGTCTGTGCAGGTCCACGTCTTCGCATAGCCCCCATATAACAGTACCCCCCATATTCGGTATTTTGATGATTTTAGCTACATTATAAACAGATTTTTCTTCAAGTTTCGCATTTAAATATTGTAATAACTTATGCCTATGCAGGTCTACGTCGTCGTATAAGCTTTCGATATTTTTAAGATTTTAACAGAATTTTAAACGGATTTTTTTTTTTTTTTTGGAAATTGCCAAATTTGTACCAATTGGTGAAGGGTATTAAAAGTTCGGTCGGGCCGACCTTACAGCTTTTTTACTTGTTTTTTTAATTTTATTGAATTGAATAAAAGCAAAAATGTCGGAAATAGCATCAAATTTTACAATAAGTTTAGATTTGTTCGAATTGGTCACATTCGGCATAAATTATTGCCTTCAAACGGCCAATGAAACCGCCACATGCTGCCCGAATGTTGCTCTGCGGTATTTTGGCCCATTCCCCAGCGAAGCCCTTGCTTGAGGTGATCGACACTTTGGTATTTTTATACCCACCACCTTGAAAAGGGGGGTATATTAACTTTGTCATTCCGTTTGTAACATCCCTAAATATTCGTCGTAGACCCCATAATGTATATATATATATATATATTCATAATCGGCATAAAATTCTAAATCGATTTAACGATGTCCGTCCGTCTGTCTGTCTGTTGAAATCACGATACATTATTTGACATAGAGCGTCAAAATTTAGCAGAATAATTTGTATTGTGTCTAGGATGGTTGGTATTGAAAATGAGACATATCGGTCCACGTTTTGGTATAGTCCCTACATAACGGTACCTCCCAATATTCGGTATTTTGATGATTTTTGCCACACTCTTTCACGAATTTGTCTGAAAATTGGTATTTGTAGTTCATAATGGGTCCTAGTTCATATGGCGAAACATTGTATATATAGCGGTTTCTGCCGACATTCGGTATTTTGATGATTTTTGTCACATTTTACCACGACTATGTCCAAAAATTGGTATTTGTGGGTCATAATTGGTGCTGATATTTCCATTGCCCTAAGGTGGAGGGTATTAAATGTTAATGTTTTTTTACCTGTTTAGTGCCAACATTGCTTTCCAAAATGAAAATGAAGTGAAAGACCTCATTTTCTAACCATTCTTGGGTGGCGCATGCTGAGAGCGGTGGTGCTGAGTCCTGTTGGAATGTCCAAGGTCTGCGGTCAAAATGTTTACGTGACCAAGGCTTTAGTACACCCGCACAGAATATTTTCGCGATAATATTTGGCATTTATTCTGATGCCACGATCGATTAATACGAGCGGTGAGCGACCATCGACTGTTAGGGCGGCCCACACCATCACCATGGGCGGCGCTTGAATTCTGGTGGCCAACCGAATGTGCACATTTTCAGCCGACCTCTGTTGGACAACGAATGTTTTCTCAACGGAGAAAAACAAATTCGTCAGTTCACCATTTTCGGTCAAGCGAAGCAGCTTTTTAGCTCGTTTAAGTCTTTTTTCTTTCTGTTGTGGTGTAAGTTCTTGCACTTTCTGGAATTTCCATGGCTTTACCGCGAGCTCATTTTTCAATATTTGCCGAATGGAATATTGCAATATGATCAGCTCACGAGCCATGTTTCGGCCACCGCGACACGGGTTTCGATCAATTCGCTTATTTACTATTCGAAGCATTTTTGCAGATGTTGCTGTTTTCTTCCGGCCACTTCCTTGACGTCGGGCTACGCTTGACGGTAACTAGTAACTAACAACGGTAGTATTGTTCTCTCTCTCCCTATCTTTCTCTCTTTGTTTCTTCGATCTCTCCCACTCTCGTCGTTAGCTTTCTAAATCGATTTCTCTTTTCTTCCATTATTTCCAGCTCTGGCTTTCTTTGGCCGATAAATATTTAAAATCGAAAAATGTTGACTGGTCCAAGGAGGAGGAAAAATGTTTTTGTGAAAAATGGCGTGAAGATGACGAGGAGCTGGGCATACAAATTGTCAAGGTACCGTAATTTCCAAAAAACACCAATATCTCAAAATCAATTAAAATTCCTAAATATTTCTAGGATCTACACCGTACCGGCTCCACTCTGTGTACTGGGCCGGCTGGTGATATCAATCAGGCGAAGTTGAAGCGTATATTGCTTGGCTATGCTCGCTACAATCCAGAAGTGGGTTATTGTCAGGTAAGTTCCTTAAAAATGTTTCCACAGCTTCTTTGCCAATAATATTCTTTGATTTTTAGGGTTTCAACATGTTGGGCGCCTTGATACTCCAAGTAATGGACAAAGATGAAACGGAATCCATGAAGGTTATGATCTATTTGGTTGAGGGTATTTTACCGCCTGGTTATTTCTGCGGGTCCATGGGTGGTCTGCAGGCCGATATGGCGGTGTTTCGTGAGCTAATGCAAACGAAGTTACCCAAATTGGCCAGACATTTGCAAAAGTTGCAGGGTCCCGTGGAGAATGCCTACGAACCGCCATTGACAAATGTTTTTACCATGCAATGGTTCCTAACCATGTTCTGTACATGTCTGCCCATGTCGTGTGTGCTGCGGGTCTGGGATTTGGTCTTAATTGAGGGTAGTGATGTCCTGCTGCGTACTGCATTGGCCTTGTGGAGTCTCTTGGAAGAGTGAGTGCCAGAAACTTTTATTTAAATCAGTTAAAATCAATTAATTTTCTTTTTCGTGTAGCCGAGTCCTGAGCACCCGCAGTGCCGATGACTTTTATGGCAAAATGGGTTCATTTTCAAGTGAGCTCTTAAATGGCCATCTCATTGATTCGAATGGCTTGATTGAAAAGGTGGTCCAATTGGGTCCCATTCAGGACATTCAAAAGCTAAGGGATAAACATTTGTACAGTGTTTCGCCGCTAAAGAACAAACAGGGGTTGAAGTAAGTTGTGGCAGATCATTAGATGAAGATGTATTTCATATGAATTTCCTTTCAGCCTTTATTACGATGACGAGGAACCCGATATGGATGAAGACTCCCGCCTGGCGGTGGCAACGGTTTGGGGTATTCCTTGGGGTCGCCGGGGTTCCCAGGGCCAAACTTCAGCCAAACAGGCCGCAGAGAGCAAGGATCGAATTGCTCTCGACATTTCTCTGCTGAAAAAGCAATACGACCGTTTAAGGGAACGCCAAAAGCAGGCTCACATTATTCTCACCACTGCCTGTTCAACTGCCCGTCAGACCACAACCAATAGTGCAGCTACCATACCCGTCAATCAATTGCTATCTGGTCGACCTGCCATTGTCACAAATCGGGGACGCCGCACTGGTCCCCCACCGGGTGCCATACCACCGGCCAGAAAACCCTCGTTGCCGGCTGTTTTGCAGGACAACAAACCAATTGGGCGCCAGCTGAGACGTGGTGAAACCCTGCAATGGCGGGATAATGTCACAGATCCCAAACGGCGACGTGACAGTTTGACATGGAAAGAAATTCGAGCCGAGCGAGCGGCCATGTTGAGCTCGGGTAGCATTGATGGGCTCAAGTCGCAAAAAATACGCACAAAACGTTTGGGCAAAAGTGACTCCTCATCCTACAGTGAGGAGAGTGAGGATGATGATAAGGCTGCCTCTAGCTCAGACACCAGTCTGTGTGATGATGACAATCCTCCCTCAAAGTCTGCCCGTAAATATGCCTCCAAAGCGGCATTGATAAAACAAAGGAGATTGACAGCAGAATCAGCGGATACCGCCAATCGACAAAGACCCAAATCCTGGGCCCCCTCGAACAGTGAAATACCCTTTGTCCTAATGACCACTGATTCGCCCAGTCACAGTGCCGATGAAGAAATGGCCAAGAAAGCAAGTCTTCCGGAATCGTATTTGGAGCTTTCCAAAAAACTAGATGAGGAGGATGAGGGCGAAGAAGAAGAAGCCGAAAATAGTGCCACAGAAAGTGATCAGCTGCAAATGGGCAAAATTAATGGTGCGCCCTATTCGCCTTTGGCAAATGAAGACTTGGCCGATGTGGCTTCCAAAGTACAACCATTGCTCATTGAATCGGAGAGCATAGCTCCTCCCAGCTCAACGGATATTCGACATATTCCGGCAGTACCCATTACCGATGTGGTGGATATTTTGGCAATATCAAAAGTTTTGGCAAATCCTACGGAATTCAGCAATGAACCCATGAACTCATTAGGCAGTAATGAGGGAGAGGCAGAGGAAACCAGATCTTTTGGCGTTAGCGATGAAGGAGTTACAAATCAGTATTTCGAAAGAGTCAACAGCAGCGAGAGACCCACAAAATTGGAGCTCATGTATTCCCTGAATGAGGAGGATTCCATTCGGGATGCCTACAAGGATGAAAGCAAGGATGTGTCAAGAGATGATGTTGTAAGGAAAGAGGAAGATCCCTTGGAAAAAGAAAACCAAAGTCGACGTATGGATATTTTGGTAGATTATTCGGAAAAATCCTCGGCCGCTTGCATTGCCGAGGCCAAAACGGAAATCTCCAGCACTTTACAAAAGAGTGAGGTCACCCAGGAGCCGGTTAAGCCTCCAGCCTATGTTAGCTCAGCGGCCACAAAGCGTAGAGACCCCAGAAGACTTACTCTCACCCGTTCCACAACCATGGAAATCGAAGAACGTTATCAGGCTCTAGAGAAACGTATGAGCATGGAAGCCACTTCTAAATATGGTTCAGTAACCAAAAAAGAAGACGAGAACCTCGGGGAGGAAGGGAAACATCATACCTATGCCATGAATGGTCGAATTCCTAGTGAAAAACTTGATGTTGAAACAAAGTCAATTAAACGAGAGCAAGGAGAAGGTATACAAAGGGAGCATTTCCATTTGCCCAGCTTTCCTAAGTACCCGATGGAACATGGTGAAGATATTACAAAAAATAGGCCCATCTCTGGATCGTATGCGAACGGAGATGGAACTTATCACAGATATCACATGCCAAGTACCGAACAAAAGAGCATGGATTTAGAAGAGTATGCCACCTATCATTCAAGAGAAACTCTGTCTAAGAGAAGAGAAGATGAAGTGAAAAATAAAAACCATGATCTGGAAGAGTATCGATCTATTCATTCAAGAGATCATCTTTCCCAGAGAGAAGAGGTGAAATATGGTAGGCATGAACCCGAAGAGTATCGCAGTTATCACTCAATGACAAATGCTCCCAAGAGAGAAGAAGATATTAAATGCAAGAGCTCTAATGCAGAAGAGTATAAATCTCATCGCCTAATAGAAAATCCCTCTCGGAGAAAAGAGCAAGGAGAGGAAGTATCCAAATACAAATCTCAACACCATGAAACGTACAAATATCGACCATACTCCAAGGAAGACTACTCTCGCTCACGTTACTCATTTTCCTCTGCAGAACTGCTCAAAGATCCCAAAATCTCACGATCGTATCACAGCAATCGCATCTCTCTCGATGAAGAGAAACTCTCTTCCTTCTTCGAGGATGCGGAAAATCATCGACCTTATCCCATTGAATCGAATCGACTTTCACGACTTGAGAGCCATTACAAAACTCAGTCGAAGTCGTATGATAAAACACCACCATCCAGTAAAAAGCCTGATCTTCTCAGCGATGTACAACGAAAACCTGTTATACCCTCAACTGCCGATTTAGAAGAGCGTTTCGAAAATATGATAAGAGATCGTAGTAAACAAGCCTCGGAGGAAGTTAGTGATTCGGAAAAAGGTCACAGCTCACGTAAATCACCACCATCAGCCAGGGAAAATCCACAACGTGATTCAAAGAGAGAGGGCAACAAACCCTCACAATCAAGCAATAAAAATGGCGATGTAGGGTCCCGTGAAGATATCACTTCCCAGGGCAAACAATCGGATCGGGAAAGTGAATATGGGGAAGAAGAGGATAATCCCGAGGCCGAGGAAGAGGCCGAAGGTGAAGAGGAATATGGGGAGGAGGAAGAAGACATTCCGGATGGCAGAGCCAGTAGGGCATTCAGCAGTGTTCCTAAATCAAGCACCCGACAAAGAAAAAAGGAGCCACCCGATAGCGAAGAAAACGAACTCAGCGAAAGGGGATCAGAGGTGCCGGATAAGTCACAAAGCCAAGATCCACTCTCCGATGAGGAGGATAGATCGGTGACTGTTTCAGGGCATGATTCTCCAGTAGAAGATTCAGAACCTGAGCTAGGAGAGGAAGAAGAGGAGGAGGAAGAAGAACCCCAACCTACTCAATCGAGAAGACAATCAGATCTCAAGATCTCTCGCAGGCCTTCCGAACAGGCCGCAGCCCATACCACCTCTGCTTCCTCCCGAAGACAATCCCAATTATCAGTTTACTCTCGCCGACAGTCGCATAGCACAGATGACCGGGAAATCGATGATCGCCGTTCATCAAGGGCATCGCGAAAATCCCCACCCTCAACGGAGGAGCTGGAAAAACGTTTTGAGGCTTTGGAAAAACAAATGAGCATTACTCGATCCGAGGCAAGTGAAGATGCACTAGAGGAACACCCTCACCGCTATAGAGCTGTGGAATATGATGATCGTCAAAGTCCCGATGGCTATTCCGAACTGGATCAACAACAGCAGCAGCAACAACAGCTTGAAGATGATTCTCAGAGATCTGCTAATGAAAGCGAGACAGCCGAAGATGAAGATGCGGTTCGTGCCAATCGTATCAAGGCCAATGTCATAGAGGCCATAGAGGCTTCAGATGATGATGAAGCTTCGGATACGGGAAGGCAACAACGTATGGCCGCCAATGTCAGGGAAGCAATGCGTAAATCTAAAGCCACAACCAAGGGAGATGAGGAGGAGGAGGAGGCTTCGGAGCAAGAGGAACGTACACGCCGTTCAAATAAACTCAAGTTGGATGTTTTGGAGGCCATGAAGTCTGCTCTGCCCTCTCCCGAAGAAGATTCCCACAGCATGGCAGCCCAAGTGAAAAAGGCCATGAAATCCTCCGCAACACGTCACACCGAGGGCCGAGAGGAGCCCATGGAGAGGCAACCACGTAGCACCAAGGACGATTCCAGTAAAATGGCTTCCAGTGTTATGGATGCCATGAAATCGGCCGGTGCCAAGCAACAACGTTCCGACAAAATCAAAGCAAATATTATTTCGGCAATGAAATCCTCTGGAGATCTGGAATCTCCTCATAAAGAGGAAAATCCCGATGAGGGAGAGGATGAAAAATCCAGCAGCAAAATGGCTAGCAATGTTATGGCAGCCATGAAATCTTCCAGCAGATCGGATAAAATCAAAGCTGGTATTATTGCCTCCATGAAAGCGGCCACAACACCCGATGAGCCGGCTGCCGAAACTCCAACAGAGGAACCAACAAGAAAACTAAGTAGATCGGAGAAAATTCGCGCTGGCATAATTGCCTCAATGAAATCGGCAGCAACAACACCCGATGAGCCAGCCCAAACACCAACCGAGGAAATGGGCAGAAAGCTGAGCAGATCGGAAAAAATAAAGGCGGGAATTATTGCCTCTATGAAATCCGGTGGTCCGGCAGATGAACCGGAAGCAGCAACACCCACAGAGGAAACGAATCAAAAACTTAGCAAATCGGATAGGATTAAGGCGGGAATTATTGCCTCAATGAAAACGGCCACAACACCCGAGGAGCCGGCGCAAACACCCACGGAAGAGATGGGCAGGAAACAAAGCAGATCGGACAAAATCAAAGCAGGCATAATTGCCTCAATGAAGTCGGCTACAACACCCGACGAGCCGGCACAAACTCCCACGGAGGAAATGGGTCGAAAACTAAGCAGATCGGAAAAAATCAAGGCTGGGATTATTGCCTCAATGAAATCTGGCAGCACTCCCGATGAACCGGAAGCAGAAACTCCCACAGAGGAGGCTAGTAAAAAGTCTAGCCGTTCGGATAAAATCAAGGCTGGAATCATTGCTTCCATGAAATCTGGTAGCACTCCCGATGAACCAAAAGCGGAAACTCCTAGCGAGGACTCCGCAAAAAAAATCAGCAGATCGGACAGAATCAAGGCGGGTATTATTGCCTCCATGAAATCTGCCACAACTCCCGAAGAACCGGAGGCAGAAACTCCCACAGAGGAGGCGAATAAAAAGTCTAGCCGCTCCGATAAAATCAAAGCAGGAATCATTGCTTCCATGAAGTCTGGCAGCACTCCGGATGAACCCAAAGAAGAAACCCCCACAGAGGAATCGGCTAAAAAACTTAGCAGATCTGATAAAATTAAAGCTGGCATCATTGCTTCCATGAAATCTGGCACGACACCCGAAGAGCCAACACCCGAAACTTCCAGTAAATCTCAAAGAACCCTGGCGTCTCAACCATCCGAAGACGGTGAGAAAAAGAAACGTTCCAACAAAATCAAGGCTGATGTCATTTCGGCCATGAAACCGTCATCGGATCCTGCGGAGGGAAAGATGGCCACAAATGTCATGGCTGCCATGAAATCCTCAGCCCAACACTCGCAGGAGAAGGTTAAGCGGGCCAATAAAATTAAAGCTGATGTCATTGAGGCAATGAAACCCCCGGAAGAGACGCAAAAGCAACGCTCCCACAAAATGGCCACCAATGTCATGGAGACCATGAAATCGTCGGTCAAACGCAAGGAGGAGTCGGGTGATAAACCAACCAAACATCGTCAATCCCCAGGCGACGAGGAATCCACGGCCAAACAAAAGAGGTCCCAGAAAATCAAGGCAGATGTTATTGATGCCATGAAATCCTCCACCCAAACACCTGAGGAACGTTCCACCAAAATGGCCACTAATGTCATGGAAACCATGAAATCTCGCCGCACCGCTGCCGAAACAAGTTCGAAGCAAAAAACAAAGACTGCCGAGGTGGCGGAGAAAAAAGCGGCAACAAAAATCTCACCAACATCTTCTGCAGCCAGCAGTCGTCGCTCCTCGGAACCTCCTTCCACGGAGGATTTGGAAAAACGTTATGAAGTTCTGAAACGACGCATGAGCTCACGCAAGGATTCCCTGCATGAGTCACAGTCGCAGGTGAAACCCAAAACCTCGCCACCCTCAACCGACTCTCTGGAGAGGCGCTTTGAAAAGTTGCAAAGCAACAAAACAATCTCTGCCGACAGCAAAGAGAAGAAATCGAAAGTCAGCGAAAGCCCCAAGGCCATACCCAGCCCTCCAACTCCACCCAAAGACTGGTCCGAGACGGAGCAATCAAGTCCCAGTCAAGAACCCAGTACTCGTTCAGCTCTCATCGAAGAACTCCAGGCGAAAATGGGTCCCACACCCAATGGCGAGAATATCAAGCCCAGCTCCATTAATCCCAATCGGAAAACGCCAGCCTTGCTGCGCAAATCCAAAACCGATGAAACTTCGGAAACACATGCGAACGCCCACGCCAATAGTCCATCGGGAAAACGCTACGAACCGTTGCTCTACACCAACCGAAAGATGGTTCGTCGTTTTTCCGATCTACCCTCAAGAGCCGATCTTGAGAATCGTTTACAATTCTTGGAAGAGCAATTGAATAGAACTCTATTGAAGCAACGTCGAGCAAGTGATTCCGAAGTGGCATCGACCAGCCACCGCCATCAACGTCTGCAACCCATTAAGCCGCTGTCGGCTACCAACCGGCATGTGGGCAAGTTGGAGTCACGTGTCTTGGAATTGGAACGACAATTGGGCGCCAGTGCAAAATTCAAATCCACCCTTTCGACAGAGTCACAAGACCAACGTTCGGGACCACTCGAGAACTCCGCTGAACTGAGTTCTTCACAAATGGACTTGGAGATAAGGGCTGATTCGGTCAATGTTACGGGCAAGGAGTTGGTGCGTTACAACAACTATGGCGAGCTGCAGGAGCAGGACTTTCAAAGTCCCATCAATATAAGCATAAATATTCATATGACTCTAAGCAAAGAGGAGTTGGGGAAGGCGGCCACTCAATCGCTTACCCGGGCCGAGGAGTTGAGTCGGCGGCTATTGATTTTGGAGGAGCAGTTAAAGAATTCTCAGAGAATTATTGCCTCTGCCGTGACGCCTATTGATGCCCAAGTCCAGTTGTCTAGGGAGTTGGGTGCACCAAGTGCTCAAAACGAAGCTGAGATTGTGGTGGAACAATTGCCTCCGGAATCGGGCCAACATAACGATGAGGGTGAGGATGAAATTGTAATCAACGAAGAAAGCAAAGCAAGTGAGGAAGTAATAAAGGAAGTACCAAAAGAAACGGAAGAGGTAAGAGAAACACCCAAGGAGGTTGAGGCTGAGGAAGTTATGCCACCACCAAAAGAGGTAGAAAAATTGGAAAGCAAAAAGGAAGATTTGCAATGCCCAGATTTGGCTAAGGAAGCCAAGCAGGAAGACCTGCCTACGGAAAAGCCAAGAGAAAAGGAAATGCCTACTGAACCCCTGGATAAACCAATTGCAGATAAATCGGAAAGGCCTAGCAAGGAGGATGACTTCGATAGACGTCTACAAATTTTGGAGGAACACATCAAACATTCCAAGCCCATAAAAGCCCCTGAAACACATGAGCCTAAAATGGAAAAGGATAAAGACAAAATCGAAGCAAAAACTGAAAAGGTAGAAAGGGAAGAAGAAAAGAAAGAGGAAAAGAGTACGGAAAAGGCGGAAGAAAGCAAGGTAGAAAAAGAAAATGTAAAGGCAAAGGAAAAGGAAAAAGAAACCAAGGAACTATCCGAAGAAAACCGAAAAGACTCCTCAAATAAAACAGACAAACCCGAAATTAAGGATTCTTCGACCTCCGCTAAACCCAAAGATGAAATCCCAAAGACGGAAGAAACTCCTAAACACACAGAAGAAAACAAAGCACAAATTCCCGAGAAGGCCATTGGAAACTTGCACGGCACCCAAATGGTGCCCGTCGAGGTGAATAAGAAAACCCTAGTCCTCCTACTAGACAATGAACCCAAAGCTGTTAAAGTACGACGCCTAACTCGTGCCAATACCGAAGAGTTGGAAGATCTATTCCAGGCTCTCGAAAAACAGCTACTCGAACGTGGCCAAATCAAACCCGAAGATGTGGGAGCAAAAGATCAAAAATCTGCCCAAGAAATGGCCGATTTAACCAAGGAAATAATGCAGTTCTCCAAAACGGCCAAAGAAGAGGCAGCCACAGCCGAAACATCGCCCAAAAAGAAAGCAATCTCGAAGCCTCCCGAAGAAGACTTCGATTGGGGCAAGGATCCCGTGAAACATCATTTGCGCAAGAAAACTGTCTATCTACCCTCGACAAGGGAATTGGAGTCGCGTTTTCGTTCCTTGGAGCGGCAGATCAAAATGCTCGAAGATGTCGAGAAAATCGATGTGGAGCAACGTCTTACGGAGATTGAAAGGAAAATCAAGTTGCAGTATTCGTTGTCACATGAAAAGGATTTGAATCGTTTCCTTGATCTGTGTGAGGGTAAGGGTCTGGATGACATACCTCCGGTGGGTAGTGGAGAAACACCCGGATCCGAGCGTTGTTCCTCCTCACAGAGTCAACACCAACAGCAGCAGCAACATTCTTGTACAACTCACACCAAGAAACATCAATCCCCCGTTCGTTTTGCCGAACCCGAATGCTGTGATCATCATTGCCATTGCACTGCCACTGCGGTGGCCAAGAAAAAAGAACATCAATCCCCAGTCAGGAGTGGTGGAAGCCCCCAGCATAGCGCCAGCAAACCAACAACCGAAGATTTGGAATATCGTTTTCGTGCCCTGGATTTGAATCGAAAATCCAGGCCTCGAACCAAGGCCGAACCCAAACGGGAACCCATACACCCCCTGGAAATGCTACTCGATCCCAGCCCCGAGGATATACCAACCACCGGAGAACTGGAGCATCGCATGAAAATGTTGGAGGAGGGACGCACACCCTCCCCCGCTGCCCTAAAATCCCATTCCAAATCACCCGTAGCCAGCCAGCGGGAAGCCAGTGGCCAGCAGCAGCAGGTAAATGAACAACCCAGCAGCCCAAGCGGTCTACCAACTGCCCAACAGTTGGAAGCCCGTTTAGAGGCTCTCGAAAGGGAACAACGATTCGATTTCAAAATGCAGAAAAACTACAAAGAATTCAATCAGAAATTGAAAGACATTATATCGCCCTCGCTGTCGTTTGAAGAATTTCGCGCTACTCGTTCATCATCGGCAGAATCGGCCAAACGCAATCTGAGCAGCCATCGTTCGCCATCGCCCAAAGTTGCAGTAGCTCAGTGTACCGGAGATGCTGCAACTTGCCCCAACAAAACCATACGATTTCATGATGATGATGAGCAGCCGTCGGCGTCACAGCATCATCAATCGCAGGCGAGGACACGAGGTCACGACAGTGAATCCATGGTTAGCACAAACAGTAGTGATGTGATTCAAATATTAGAAGAAAATTCTAATATTATACAACGTATTTTAAAGAAAACCATTACAGATACGCTTGGCGCAACGACAACACTACCATCGGTGCCACCGCATTTAGCCAGTTCGGTGCAGGAAGGCCTAGGTGTCATGGGAATTCGTTTGATGAGGGTGAGTAAAAAATGGGAATCCTTTGAAAAAATCCTTATTTTTTCTCCTTCGATTTTTTTTTGTAGGAAACATCACCTCTACGCCGCAAGGGAACCCACACCGGTGTACCTTTGCGCACCGGCGAAAACATCAATGACCAGCTGACATCGATCAGGTCAACCATTAAATCCATCGACAGCCTGTGTGAAGAGAAGCCGTATCGCACCGAACGATGCCTACAGTATATCGATTCCTTGTGTTCAGATTCCAACTATTTCGCCAGTAAAAAATCATCCTACGACGATTTGAGATCACGCCACAGCAGCCGTTCCCGTTCTCGAGATCCCTATGGCGGACCCTCAATACGAATTTCCGATCAAAGTTCAGCCTATATGCGCACCATGGGATCCGCTGACTCCATACGTTCTTCCAGTCCCCTCAGGGCCACCAGTCCGTCACTGCAATACCATTCGAATCGTGATCTGAGACGGGAAATATCACCGCGTCGCCGACGCACCGACGAGGATCGTGAAGAGAACGAGAGTAGGGTAAGACGTGATAATCTATTGCCAAATTCATTATATTATCCATATAATCATAGCTCACTAAGTCCAAGTAGCCATAGTTTAACTAAGTTTCATAAAGTAGATAGCCAACTAATTGCAACTAATGACGATGTCGATTGTATCGATGTCGAGATCCAACAAATTTACGGACAAGCGACAACGACGACCGCCACAAGCACAGCAGCAATGTCAATTCAGGACACAAATAACACAAATACCTCCTCTTCCACAAACGCCAACAACCACACACAACTGAACACCACAACACCGGGGGCCACCTTCGGTTTGGATCGGCCCATATCAGCGTACCGCCAGTTAGGTATTTCGCGGTCCAATACACCCGTCTACACCCCGGCCAAACTAGAGATACGCCACACCACAGTGACATCGACATTTTACGATCGCGTTCTAACCGAAAAACAATTAGAAAAGAAACATTCCCAGAACAGCATTACGGCCACGAGTAACGGCACGACCACAACCGCTAATGGCAGCACAACTGCAACAACTATAGCCCCAACAACAACAAGTGCCCAAAGATCACCAATGCTTGAACAACCACCTGTGCTTGTAAAACCCTTGGATATTTTAAGTCCAGCTAAGTTTTCCGTTTCTGAAACAACGACATCCGTTACGGTAACAGGGACAGTAGCAGCAGCAGCAACATCCGAAGCTGCTCCTGCTCTGCCACCATATGCTGCTTTTGTTGGTATTGACTCCACTTCTCTGACTGATTCTCTTCCCACTATCAGCTCTCTGCCACCTGCTGCTGTCATTACAACAGGTAATTATGGTAGTTTCCCTTCAATAGCAACAACAACAACACCAGTGCCTGCGGCAACAACCATTTCTCTTCCGCCACTGCCTGTGTTGCCCGCTGCTTCTGTCTCCGACAGCACCCCCTCTGCTATGTCCTTCATAACATCATATCAACCGAATGTGTAAATAAATGTCGTTGGGTCGCCTCCTATCAATCTCCCTCCGAGCATCATCTTTACATATGCTTTCAGTGGTGGATTAAAAGGAATGTTGCCTTGCTTGCTTTTGGGAAGTCATTTTCACTCGGGGAAAAACAGACATTACTCATCTCGAGGGTATCTCGATGGGTAGCGAATTCAATTTAAGCAATATGTATAGGAGAGGAATTTAGAGACATTCCAAAGAAGACATTCCAAAGGTACTCTGACTATAGAAGGCTAGTAAATTCTATCCTACATGTAAAAGATCTTTCTGAATATAATTTGACAGAGGACCTCTTGCAACCTTCAAAAATCCTCTATCTAGAGAGAAATGTTTAAAGATAACTTGCAAAACGTCCTCATATAAAAGGACCTTTAACGAGTCCCCTGTCCATGGACGACCTGTCTCTAGAGAATCTGTTAAAGGTAGAGGACCAGTTAAAAGTCTTCTTTATATAAGGGACCTGTAGATAGCCTGTTAAGAGCCCTCTCTCTTTAGAGATCATGTAAAAGGTCCGCTGCTTTTTTGTGGACCTGTTAAAGATCTATAGAGTAGTTACCAAAAGTCCTTTGTCTACAGAGAAATCGCCTAAGGTCCTGCTAAAGGTCCACTGCTTGTGTAAAAAGTAGGCCCCCTGTCTGTAAAGAGCCTTTTAAAGTTCCTCTGTCCGCAGACGACCTGTTAAAGGTCCTCTGTCAATGGCGGACCTGTTAAAAAGTCATTTGTCTGTAGAGGATCCATAAAAGGGCCTCTGTCTGAAGAAGACTTGTTAAAGTTACTCCATCCACACAGAGCCTGCTAAAGGTCATCTGTTTGCAGAGAACCTGTTAAAGGCCATCTGACTGTAGAGGACCTGTTAAAGGTCATTTGTCTATGGAGGACTTTTAAAAGGCCCTTTGTCAATTGAGGGCAGATTAAAAGCCCTCTGGCTGTAGAGGACCGGTTAAAGGTCCTCTGTCTGTAAAGGACCTGTTAAAGGTATTCTGTCTATAGAGCACCTGCTGAAGGTCCTATGTCTGGAGTTGAGGACCTGTTAAAAACCCTCTGTCTGTAGAGAATCTATTCAAGGTTCACTGTTCGTGGAGGACCTGTTTAAGGATCCGCTATCTATAGAGGACCTGTTAAAGATCCTCTGTGCGTAGAGGTCCATTTAAAGGTTCTCTCTCTCTGTCGAGAAGCTGTTAAAGGTCCGACTTCTTTAGAGGGTTCTTTCAATGTCCTATGTCTGTAGAGAACCAATTAAAGATCCTCTGTCTGTAGAGTAGCTTTTAAAAGTACTCTGTCTTTCAGAGGACTTGTCCTCCATCCAATGAGGATCTGTTAATGGTCCTGTATTTGCAGAGAATCCGTTAAAGGTCCTCATTATGTAGAGGGTCTGTCTGTAGATGATCCGTTCAAGATCTTCAATCTATAGCAAATTGTTCAACCTTCTTTGTCCATAGAGGCTCTATTATGGAGCCTCTGTAAATAAAGGATCTACTAAGGGCCTTAAGGGTTCTCTGTCTATGGAGAGTGTATTAACCGTTATCCGTCCCTGGGGAACCTGTCGAAGGTCCTCAGTCTATAGAGGACTTTTTAAAATTATTTTGTCTATAAAGGACATTTTAAATGCTACCTATGTTTGGAGGACTTGTTGAAGGTTCTTCGTCGGTAGAGAACCTGTTAAAGGTCTTCCATCTATAGAAAACTTGCTAAAGGTCCACTATCCTGTTGAAGGACCTTTGCTCTCAGAGTCCCCCCTATTTTTAGAAAATCTTCCATCTACAAAAATCTTTTTAAAGAGTCCTCTATCTATAGAGAACCAGTTAAAGGTCCTCTGCCTACAGAATAACGGTTCAAGATCCTTATTTTTTCAAAGAAACTTTTAAAGGTCCTCTGTCGATGGAGGTTCTCTTAAAAACTTTTCTGTCAATGAAGAACCTGGAAAGATAATCTTTAAAAGATCCTTTGTCAGAGATGACCTGTTAAAGGTCTTTAGAAGATCGTCCTTATATAGAGGACCTATTAAATATCCTCCTTCTAAAGAGGACCTTTTAAAGGATGTCGTTATGTAAAGGGCTTATTAAATGTAATCCATCTGTAGAGAACATATGAAAGGTTTTCTGTCCATGGGGGATCCATTGATAGTCCATGGAGGACACATAGAGACTTAAGGTTGTCTTAAGTGACCTTTTAAAGATTATCTTCAGCGGTCTTCTAAGAAACCTGTGAAAGATATTCTATATATATTTTTTTTCTTATATAGAAGATTCCTTAGAGATCCCTAATTCACCGAAGACCTGCCACAGAGTAAAAGATTTTGGATATCTTCTATCTGTAGAAGGGCATCCATAGGGGTTTTATCTTTAGAAGTCCTCGGGATGTATTATATGTTTGAACGATTGTTAGAGGTTTTCTACCAATGGAACATCTTTCTGAAATCGCCTTTCTATTTGAAGAGCCTTCTTTGTCAAAAACAATATCTCTAGAATGTATTTTCTCTTTCGAAAACTGTCAACTATCTTCTTTCCATAGAAGAACTGTGTTAGGTCTTCTCTTAGAGCTCTCGGAGAAAGTCTGCTACAAATGAAAGATATATCAGAGATTTTCTTTTTATCCATTGGTCTTTGCATTTGTAGAAGACCTGTTAAAGGCCTCTCCTCAGAATATATTGCTTGAAAGAATAATGTTATCCCTGCAAATACAAACTGACACATACAACATTACAAATAATATATATTTAACCTCAAACCGATATTATTTTATGAAAATATTTAACCTCTACTGCACCACCTATCCTTGAGAAAAAAAATTCAACTTCACTTCACCGACTACGTCTATGGCATCGTTCGTTCGTTAACTCTTAACTAGGCCTCTAAATACTAGGATATCGTACCAAAAACATAAAAAGCTCTAGGAACATTTTTCAACTTGCACTGCTAACGATGGGGGTGGCAATGGCATCCGCCATTGGGAACCTCAACTGCACCTCATATCTCACAATAAAACCAAAAAAAAAGAAGAACCTTTTGAAGCTTTCGTTCGTTTGTTGATCGTTACACTCAATATTTGATAATTGCAAAAACAAAACAGAAAAGAAAGAACTTAATCCTCTCTTTTACATTTTGTTGTGATCTCTTTTTTTCTTTCTCTCTCTTGAAAAAAAAAAACTCTATTTAAACTCCTCCTTTACAAAACACAAATTAAAAAAAAAAAAAACAAACAATCAACCTCAACTAGACATTGGCTCGCTCCCAGTAAAAGAAAAGTAGAAACCAAGTAGCTAAACATAGAAAGCAACCACAAAATATAAACGCAAAGACGAAACGCAAATGATGGATGAAAATTTACAAAACCAAAATATAAAACAAAATGTGCTTTAATTCGACAAAAATTCGATAATGAAATGGAAACCAAAGAAATTTGATTTTAAAATCAAAGCAAAACTTAAAACCAAAAAAAAAAAATTGTAAATTGTAATTTTTATCCCAAAACAGAAAAAAAAAGAAATTAAAACTATGTTCAATTAAAAAAAAATAAAAAAAACAAAGTTTTAGAATCTGCAAAATTTCACTATGTGCAGGATGTTTCAAAATGAGTGATGAAAACAGAGAAACTGGAGGAAGAACCTGTCTCTTCTCACCCTAAAAGATCTGTAGAATGTCTTTTATCCATTGAAGACTTTTGGATAAAAGACTTGTATCCGTAGAAGGCCTTCTTTTAATTGAAGGCCTATAGAAGTTTTTTTTATTCATAGAAGTCATAAAGAAGGTCTTCTATCCCTCTGAAGACCCTTTTATAGGTCTTCTATGGATAGAAGACCCGTTTATAGATCTTCCATGAAAAGAAGACCACTTGTAGAATACATATTAAAAGACTTCTATCCATACAAGAGCTATAGGAGGTACTTCTATAAGAAGAGGATAAAAGCGCTCCTACCGTTCTGACATTTATAGAAAATCTTCTATAGATAGAGGACATTCCATAGGTCTTCTATGGATAGATGACCTTCTATAGGTCTTCTATGAAAAATATAGAAAATCTACTATCCATACAAAAACCCATATACGGATAGAAGACCTTCTATAAATCTTCTATGGATTGGAGACCTTCTATAGGTATTCTAGGGATAGAAACTCTTTCTATAGTTCTTCAATGAATAGAACACCTTTAAAAGATATTTTATTAGTAGATGACCTTTTATAGGGTTTCTGTTGATCTTCTATAAGTCTTCTATGGATTGAAGATAAAAGACCTTCTATAGGGGTTCTATGGGTGAAAGACCTTTTATAGACCTTCTATGGAGGATATAAAAGATCTTATATCCATAGAAGACCTACAGGAGATCTTCTATTCATAGAAAGTCTTCTACACATAGAAGACCACTAGAAAGTCTTCTTTTCATGCAATACCTATAGAAGGTCTTCACTCCATAGAGTGAAAGGCTTTTGTCCATAGAAAACATTGCATGAACAGCAGAACGGTAGGGGGTCCTCTATCCATAGAAGACCTATATAAAATCAGCTTTCAACTAAAAGCATCTAAAAGGACTCTTATCTACAGATAGATAGAAGATAGAAGACCTAGGGGTTCTATGGGTGAAAGGCATTCTATAGACCTTCTTTGGAAGATATAAAAGATCTTCTATCCATAGAAGACCAACAGAAGGTCTATTCATAGAAGGTCTCCTACACATACAATACCTATAAAAGGTCTTCACTCCATAGAGTGAAAGGCTTTTGTCCATAGAAAACCTTGCATGAACAGCAAAACGGTAGGGTGTCTTCTATCCATAGAAGACCTATATAAGATCAGCTTTCAACTAAAAGCATCTTAAAGATCTCTTATCTACAGAATTTCTATAGGAGGACCTACTATCCATAGAAGATCTACTATCCATAGAAGACCTATCTTTTGGTAAAAGACCAACTATAAGTCTTCTATGGATAGAAGACCCTCCATAGATATTCTAAGGATAGAAGACCTTTAAGTGGTAGAGGACATTGTATGGGGTTTCTATTGATAGATGACCTTCTATAGGTCTTCTATGGATAGAGGACCTCCTATAGGTTGGTATTTTTTTTTTTTCTATGGAAGATACAGAAGATCTACTATCCATAGAAGATTTATTTATGTATAGAATACCTTCTATAAGTCCTCTATGGATAGAAGACTTTTAAGGGTCTTTTAATGGTAGATGATCTTATATAGGTTTTCTATTGATAGAGGACCTTCAATAGGTCTTCTATGGATAGAGGAACATCTATAGGTCTTCTATGGATAGATGACCTATAGGTGTTCTATGGAAGATAGGGAAAGATTTTCTATCCACAGAAAACCAACAGAAGGTCTTCTATACATGGAAGATCTATAAAAGGTCGCCACCAAATAAATACCTATAGGAAGGCTTCTATCCATAGAAGACCTTCCATGAACCGCAGATCGATAGGAGTTCTTCTATCCTTAGTAGACCTATATAAAATCTGCTTTCAATTAAAAACATCTTAAAGATATCTTATCTACAGAGGACCTTGTATGGGATTTCTATTGATAGAGGACCTTCTATAGGTCGGTCTTTTATGGGTGAAAAGACTTCTATAGACCTTCTATGGAAGATCTACTATGCATAAAAGATTTATTTATATATAGAATACCTTATATAAGTCCTCTATTGATAGAAGACTTCTAAGGGTCTTTTATTGGTAGATTATCTTATATAGGGTTTCTATTGATAGAGGACCTTCTATAGGTCTTCTATGGATAGATGACTTTCTATAGGTCTTCTGTGGATAGAAGAACATCTATAGGTCTTCTATGGATAGAGGAACTTCTAAAGGTCTTCAATGGATAGATGACCTTATATAGGTCTTCTATGGAAGATAGAGAAATTTTCTATCCATAGGAGACCAACAGAAGGTCTTCTATAAATGGAAAACCTATAGAAGATATTTACTCCATAGAAAACCTATTGGAAGGCTTCCATAGAAGACATTCCATGAACAGTAGGAGGTCTATTTTCTTAGAAGACCTATATAAGATCTGCTTTCAACTAAAAACATCTTAAAGGTCTCTTAACTACAGAATCTCTATGGGAGGTCCTTTCCACAAAAAAAAAAAACTTTTCATTTCAAACTTGAAATTTTCTTCAAACTCCGAATTCATTTTGAAACACCCTGTATATACCCCTCATATATATACTAATATATACTCTACATTCTAGACAATTTTTTAGTTAAATTCTAACTCCCCAATACCCTTCAACTTTACAGTATTTAATTTTATTTATTATTAAAGACATGCAAGATATATGACTTAAATTATTGTATTTATTAATAATTTTTATTAAGATTAATTATTGCAGTTGTTACAAAAAAAAAAAAAAATACAGAAAATTCTAATAGAAAAAAATGAAACTGAAAAGAAATTTAATTTAAATGTTATACTCTCTTAATGATATATATTATATATACAAACAAACAAATGAAAAAATGCAATTGCAAAAATATATAGCTAAAAAATTATATTATTATAATTAAAACAAAATAACATGAAAAAAAAATTATAACAAAATATTATATATATACTGTATACTATATTTCGAATGCCTAATGTTCAATGTATTTACAATACCCCCACCCACACACTTGACTCCCAGAAATTCCACTCAAATAATACATCTGCATATGTATGAGACAATACATATACAGATTGTATAAAATGTAACCATGCGATATTAATTTCCCACTCCCCTAAAATATTTAATTTCCCCTCCCCACTCCCCCCATAACCACAACAACAACAACGTCAAATATGTTATATAAATGTTACTTTACATTGATTGTTATTATATAATACCAATAATGCAAAAAGAAATATTGAAAAAATAAATTAAAAACAAATTAATAATAATAATGCGCATACTTATGGTCGTGTGTGTGTACACCCACAGACATTCGTACACACACGCAAGAGCAAAAGCATATATAGTTATATATATTTCTGAAATCTAAATAAATTCCAAATGAAAAAAAAATGAAATTATGTGATAACAATTGAGTTTTTATTTATGGTGTTGGTAATGGGGTAATAAGATGATGGCCAAAGACTTGTTTTGGAAAATGGTAAGTACAATTAGATATTAAGGACCCGTAGAAGTGTTTTTACTGTTTTGAAAACCTTTAGAGAACACCTAAAAAGAAAGTACCATTACGTGGGCTAACTACAAAACAAAACTTGACCCATGTTTTTTATACCCTCAGGCATATGGCTAGAGAGGGTACAGGGTTGTCCATATTCGACGGACCCATCTGGCAACACCATAACTTTTAACAAAGATGTCACATCGCTTAATGACATACCGCGTTTGAAGCGTCAGTCCAAGCAGAATTTTACCATGAACCAATACACGCCACGCGAGCGCTCTGAAATAGTTGAAATTTACAAGAAGTCAATTGTGAAAACTCAACGTGCTTTTAAAACATTAAAAAATGTGAGAAGTGCGCCTTCTAAGAACACCATTAAGCGTTTATACGAAAAATTTTCGACTGGTAAGGCTCTTTTTAATCCGAAGAGGCCATATAAAAGTCGACCAAGGCGATCGGCCGAGAATATCGCTGCCGTACGAGCCAGTGTTGAGAGGTCCCCAAGAACATCCCAAAAACGCCGTTCTCAGCAGTTGGGCATGGCTCGGTCCATTTTACACCGGATTATTCGCATTGATTTGCATTTGTTCCCGTACAAAATTCAATTGACGCAAAGAATGTTGCCTGCGGACAAGCCTCGTCGATTGGAATGGGCCCAAAGGGCCCAAAGGTCCGTCGAATATGGGCAACCCGTATATATCATTTGATACGGCCAAAACGTGTCACATCGAAATGAAGGTTTTAGATCTTAGGTCTGTTTGGACCAAATCCGTTTCGGGATATTTGAAGTCGATCTAGCCATGTCCGTCTGTCCTTTCATTTGGTCCAAGCCAAGTACATCGTAATATTATTATCAAATATAGATCGAATTCGGTGATGGGTAATATCAGTCTACTCCTTCTGGTACCTCCCCCACAAAAGTTCTCAAAAAAATATATTTTACTGCACAGAAAGAGAAAGGATAATCCGATTTTTCCCCCAACTTTGCAAATCCTAATATTTACAGATCAGGTGCGAAAATGGTCAATATCGGTTCACTCCATCAAGTACCTCCCCACAAACTTTTCAAACTTTTGAATAATTATAACTTTTATAAAATGTGATTTAACGAGTCCGATTATCTTCAAATTACACATATTCCAATATAGGGTGAGATAAAAAACTGCAACAAAGTCAAACGCCATAATTTTAACATTTTTTTTTAATTTTATTGACTGAAAGCAAAAAATGTCGGAAAAAGCAGCAAATTTTAGAATAAGTTTAGATTTCTTCGAATTGGTCACCTTTGGCACGAATTATGGCATTTAAACGTCCAATGAAACCGTCACACGCTGCCCGAGTGTAGCTCTGCGGTATTTTGGGCCATTCCCGGCGAAGTACTTGCTTGAGGTGATCGACATTTTGGTATTTTTTAGTGTCAACCTTGCTTTCCAAAATACTCCAGAGATTTTGTGCGCTGGAAATTAAGCGACGAATCTCATTTTGTAGCCATTCTTGGGTGGCGCGTGCTGAGTCCAATGGTGCTGAGTTCTGTTGGAATGTCCAAGATCTGCGGCCAGAATGTTTGCGTGCTTCCAGAATTATTTCGTGATAATATTTGGCATTTATTCTAATTAACACGAGCGGAGAACGACCATCGGCTGTTATGGCGGCCAACACAATCATCATGGCAGGCGCTTGAGTTCTGGTGGCCAACCGAAGGTGCACATTTTCAGATGACCTCTTTGGCAAGGAAACACGATCATTTTGTTTGTTTACAAACTGCTGGACAACGAATGTTTTCTCCTCGGAGAAGATCAAATTTGGCAGTTCACCACTTTCGACCAAGCGAAGGAACTCTTTACCTCTTTTGAGTCTATTTTCTTTCTTTCACCAATAACGTTTTTTCTGGAAAATTCTTACCAAAATGCTTTTGTACGCTTGTAATCAATGAGCTGTCACTGGAATAATTTTAACAGCTGTCGGACGAGTGGCTTAAAAATGACAGCAGTCTGAAGTTGATTGCATTTTTTTTATCTCATCCTGTTATTATTATTAACACAAGATCTGCTATGAAGATGGGATCTATCGGCCCACAAAGGGTCAAAATTTTGAGTATCCATGAAGTTCCTAAAACGCGAAATTAACAACCGATTCCATTCAGACTTGGTACATCTCAATATTTCCACCAACACAAGATCTGTTATAAAGATGGTAGTGATCGGACCATTTCTTTTGCTACCTCCCCACATAAGGTTTAAGATTTTAAAAACAAAACTCTCTTCAAATTTCACACAAACAAACATTTTTGCTAAGACATGATCTGTAGTGAAGATGATATATATCTGTGAACCACCTCTGGTACCTCATTAACAAAGGGTCACAATTTTCGATAATTTTATCTGTCATAACTTGTGAAACAAGTCAGCGATTCTTTTTCACTTGCTATATCTAAACATTTCTCTCAAGCAGAAACCTGAGATGAATACGAAAATTTATGATTTCGCAAAAAATTGGATATAAATGTCCGATTTTCTTGTAATTTTGCCCATACCAATATATTTATCTGTATTAGATGAAGTATGAAAATGGAATACTTCGGTAGACTAGAGAATGTTAAAATATGCGTGAGATATTTTAACATTCTCAAAAAATTATCAAATATCTCATACAAAGTGAAAGAAGTAGTTCATGTAGTGCAAACCTGTCACGTCGCAATATTTATATCATATTTATTTAGGACCGATACGAAATGGAAAATATTGGCCCATTTCTTTGGGACCTACTCCATAGAGGATCAAAAATTTGAATAATCATAACACAAGTCAACATATATTTAAAATATCGAACATTGACTGAGGGTATACATATTTTGGCTAAACCGACTGATTCTTTTTAACTTGTTTATAGTCATAAATGACGACAAATTACAAAATCTAGAAATGTGACTCAGTAGCATAAATAGTACGATTGACAGCTTCTAATTGACTGAAATGTAGATTTTGACATTTTTATTGGTCTTCCATTCCCGTACTTTCTTGGCAGAGTTATTCTCTCAGGGTGAATTTACCATTTCTCCCTTCTGCTATTTTTACCACTAGAAAATTAATTTATTCTAGGAAAGGAAATTCCGAATTTATCCACCGATAGTTATGTTTTAACGTGGGTTCCCAATTCATATGAAGGAATTTTTCCGTAAAGAAGAGTGAAATTGGTGAAATTTACCGTTTTTCAACTCCATTCGAAATGTTTTAAGCTAGAATGTATGCCCGGTTGGACTCAGGTAATTTGTTTATGTCAATCGGCCTCCAAGCGAATGTTTTAAACATTTTTTTCTGAGCCTCATACAATAATTTATTGAACACAGATGAAGATGTATTCATCTATTATCAGAAGAATTAACATGAACAAGAACAAGTAAAAAAGCAGCTTTATACCCTCCACCATTCGGAAGGAACTTAAAATTTTTCAAAAAAAAAAATCCGTCAAAAAATACCGCTCAAATGAAAACCTTTTATGGGGGCTATACGAAGATGTGGTGCTGCATAAGTAATTTTTTGTCATAAGCTGTAGTAATTATTCCGAACTTCGAAACGAAATTTGAAACAATTCCGATTTCCGATTTCGCTAATATCATTAAATACCGAATAAAGAAAGGCACCGTGTATGGAGCTATACAAAGACGTGAACCTGCATAGACAATTTTCTTTCATAGGTTGTAGTACCCATTACGAACTTAAAATACGAAATTTGAAACCGTTCCAATGAATAATGTCGCTAAAATCATGGAAATACCGAATATTTGGGGTACCGTTATCTGGATGCTATACTAAAACGTGGACCTATGTGGACAATTTTCTTCCAGGGGAAAAAGTACGCCTTGTGTGAATTTTCTGACAATTCTACACCACTTTGCTATTTAGTTGAGCTCCACTTAATAAATAAAAGTTTTTATGGGAGAATTCAATTATACACGCTATGATTATAATTATAATTTAAAATTCAAAGGACTAAATATGCCGAAGCATATGTATTTTTTAACTTCGGACTTGTATTGTCCATTTGGTGCGAAATTAATTTGAAATCGGATAAAAATATATATGGGAACTATATCCAAATCTTAACCGATCTCGATAAAATTTGGCAAAGATATTTCTGAGCTGTATTTGATATATTTCCCTGAATATCGTTGTTACGGAGCGCATATTACGGCTGTGGGTAACAAATACAATAAATCGGATGAACAATATATATGGGAGCTATAACTATATCTGAACCGATCTTCACCAAAATACTACCTTCTAGACTAAATTCGGTCGTATATGCCAAATTCCATCCCATTTGGACAAATATTAGACGTTTGGTGCACAATAAATGGTAAATCGGATGAAGTTATATATGGGAGCTATATCCAAATCTGAACCGATCTCGATAAAATTAGCAAAGGTATTTCTGAGCTGCTTTTGATATATTTCCCCAAATATTGTTATTACAGAGTGCATATTACGGCTGCGGAGGACAAAAATAACAAATCGGATGAACAATATATATGGGAGCTATAGCTATATCTGAACCGATTTCGATAAAATTTGGCATACTTATTTTCAGGCCTAATTTGATTGTATGTGCAAAATTCCATACTATTCGGGCTGATATTACACGTTTGGTGCACAATAAAAGGCAAATCGGACGAAGATATATATGGGAGGTATATCTAAATGTTTACCGATTATCTCCAATTTCAATAGGGTTCGTCCTTGGACCAAACAAATATTGTTTGCAAAATTTCATCTCAATCGGATAATAAATGCGACCTGCATTTTGTTCACAAGAATACATGGACAGCGGACGGACGGACGGACTGACATGCATAAATCAACTCAGAAAGTGATTCTATGCAGATCATCAAAATGAACTATGGGTCTATCTCGTTTCCTTTTGCCTGTTACAAACAAATGCACAAAGACATAATACCCTGACCACCTTGTGGTGTAGGGTATAAATATGGCTAAAATCATCAAAAAACCGAATATAGAGGGTAGCATTGTATGAGGGCTATACGATATCGTGGACCTATATGGACAATTCTTTCAGGAGGTTAAGTTATCCTTCTGTTGAATTTCAGACAATGCCATTGGAAAATCATCAAAATACCGAATGTCGGGATGTATCGTTATATGGGGGCTATACGATATCTTGGACCGATACAGCCCATCTTCGAACTTGACCTGCCAATAAATTATTGTATGCGGCTTAGAAAAAAATTTGGAGACCGAATGACGTAAACAAATTACCTGTGCCCAACAGAGCATACATTCTAGCTTAAAACGTTTCGAATGGAGTTGAAAAACGGTAAATTTCACCATTTGGTAGCGCCTTCTTCCAGACAAAGTTTTAGCTTCCTATCTTTATTCGTTTTATCTCTAGCGTGATTACAACAGACGGACAGACAGAACGATGGACAGGGCAAAATCGTTTAGAATTTTACGCTTGTTTTTTAAAAAGAACAATAATGGGATTAAGTCTGACCATTTTGCAACAACAAAATGCTAAGGTATCCCGAACGAACAAACCAACACTGTTCTATAATCAATAATATATATATACTTTGTTAGATCTAATATTATTATTATTATTTATATGAGTTACAAACGGAATGACGAAATGAATATACCATCCATACTATGTATAATGGAGGGTATGATAAATTCACTTAAGTGCCGTTGAAAACTATACATTAATATCGTGTCAATATTTTATAAATATATTTAGGTGTACTATTTATTTTTTCGCGGAATATTGGGATTTTTCCACAGTGCAGCGCCTTTACACATTTTACATTTCACAATTGAGTTTTCAGTGTACTTACTTACCAAACTGTATAAGAGATAATGAGACTTCAAAATTCTCCTCTCTCATTTAAGTTTCCTCTCATTGCGTAGTTTTTGTTAATCCTCTCTTTGTGACACAGACTAAGTGACATCTTCACATGTTATTTGTTATGAACTGAAAGAAAAAAACAAATTTGAAGAAGATAAGACACGCGAAATTTTCTTTATAACATTCAACATAAAATTTCCATTTAACTAATTCCAAACATTTAACAAAATTTTCCATATGCAATTTTAAGGAAAATGCATGGCCCAGGTAGGCATAATAAACCAATTCCGCGAATTTTAATACGAAAATTGGCAGGTATATTAGATGTCACTTTCTCGTGAAAATCCCAGCCTATGTTTCCAAGATTATGCTCGTTTTAAAAGCCTAGCGACATTGATGCCGGAGGCTGGTTGGTAGTCAGTCGCTGGATGGTGATAAGACACGAAACACACTCTCGGATTATTGGTGATAAGCCACACATAGATCGGAATTATTATTATTATTGAATATCAACGCAATTTTTGGATTTTGAAATTCAGTCAGCATTCGACTCTCGCCGACAACGGTCTTGGGGACTTGGGAGTCTAGTTTAAGATTTTGTTGGATTTTATTTTTTCTGGATTAAGTGGATTTGTGAAGTGAAGTGAAGAAAATGTATCGTCTCTCTATTAAGTGTACACGCAATGCCCTCTCATCCGTGACACTGACCAAATTCAGTGTCAGATGTTTGGCCACCACCACCTCCGTGGATGGGGTTTTGTTCCCAACCAAATCGGATTTCCCCAGCCGTCATATTGGACCACGCAAAACTGATGTGGTTTCCATGTTGGATACTTTGGGATATAAGGTAGGTCTCGAGTCCTTGAAATTAGGAGATTTGGATAGGGATTAAGGACCTGCATGAGAAATTAATTATCCGGTTTTTGTTTTTTCAGTCTCTGGGCGAGCTGACCGAGAAAGCTGTACCTAAACCCATACAATTGCAACGTGATTTGAATTTGGATAAGCCTCTGAGTAAGTATTCAAAAATTGTGGAATAAATGAAAAGTGGACGTATGGGATTTAATTAATCGGTAAATCGCAGAATAAGATCGCTTTCTTCCTTCAAATTGAAACCCATTAATTTTAAAGAATATTTCGTAGGAATTATCAGATCCGTTTTTAAATTTTGTTTAAGGATTTCCACATCACAGGAGTGAGTTTTAAGTATGATTTCGAAAGACTCACAGAGCACAATCGTGTATTTTCAAAAATAAATTTTCGAAGGATTTCCAGATTTACCGCCGTGATTTTTATATTTTTCACAGACCTCCAGTGTTACAATTGTGGATTATTTTTTAAATATTTATTCGAAGGAATTGGCTTCAGAGATTTTTGAAGGGACTTTCAAAATAAACGCCGTGGATTTAAGAACGCTTTTAAAAGACTCTCAAATTGAAACACTGTTAATTTTGAGAATATTTCTTAGGAATTATCAGATCCGTCCTTTATTTTTTTAAAACCACAAGAGTGATTTTAAAGTATACCTTCGAAGGACTCGCAGAGCACAATCGTGCATTTTCAAAAAAAATATTTCCTAAAGATTTCCAGATTTACCGCCGAGATTTTTTATATTTTTCACATGACCTCCAGTTTTACAATTGTGGATTTTTTTTAAAATATTTATTTGAAGGAATTGACTTTTTGAAAATTGTTTTTTGATTGACTTTCACGGTCACAATAGAGATTTTTGGAAGGACTTCCAAAATAAACGCCGTCAGATCTGTCCTTTATTTTTTTTTTTAAATCACAAGAGTGATTTTAAAGTATATCTTCGAAGGACTCGCAGAGCACAATCGTGCAGTTTCAAAAATATTTTTCCGAAGGATTAGCAGATTCACCGCCGTGATTTTTTATATTTTTCACAGGACCTCCAGTGTTACAATTGTAGATTTTTTTAAATATTTATGCGAAGGAATTGACTTTTTGAAAATATTTTTTTGATTGACATTCACGGTTACAATAGATTTTTGGGAGGACTTCAAAACAACTGCCGTGGATTTATTAAAAATTATTTTCTGTGTTTTTCTAAGAAATTTTTTTAAAGGACCCTTTACATTTTCGAAGGACATTCATATATACAAACATGGTTTTTAGGGGAACAATCGTGACGTGACGTGACTTCTAGGGGAACAATCGTGAATTTTAAGAACATTTTTCCAGTGACTTGCAGGATCACAATCGTGGATCTTTAAGAGAAATGTGTATGGATTTTCAGAGCCATCACCCTGAAATAAAAATCGTGGATTTTCAAAAATATTTTTATCGATGGATTTCCCCCCGCTTAACCGTGATTTTTTCCAAGGACATCCGGAGTTACATTTGTGGCTTTTTTAATAAATATTTTTCAATGAACTTCCAGAACAGCAATCGTGGACTTTTTTCATTTTTTTCGAAGAATTTTAAAAGTTGCATTCGTGATTTTTTCCAAATATTTCCGGAATATTTACGGACTTGTATTGTCCATTTGGTGCGAAATTAATTTGAAATCGGATAAAAATATATATGGGAACTATATCCAAATCTTAACCGATCTCGATAAAATTTGGCAAAGATATTTCTGAGCTGTATTTGATATATTTCCCTGAATATCGTTGTTACGGAGCGCATATTACGGCTGTGGGTAACAAATACAATAAATCGGATGAACAATATATATGGGAGCTATAACTATATCTGAACCGATCTTCACCAAAATACTACCTTCTAGACTAAATTCGGTCGTATATGCCAAATTCCATCCCATTTGGACAAATATTAGACGTTTGGTGCACAATAAATGGTAAATCGGATGAAGTTATATATGGGAGCTATATCCAAATCTGAACCGATCTCGATAAAATTAGCAAAGGTATTTCTGAGCTGCTTTTGATATATTTCCCCAAATATTGTTATTACAGAGTGCATATTACGGCTGCGGAGGACAAAAATAACAAATCGGATGAACAATATATATGGGAGCTATAGCTATATCTGAACCGATTTCGATAAAATTTGGCATACTTATTTTCAGGCCTAATTTGATTGTATGTGCAAAATTCCATACTATTCGGGCTGATATTACACGTTTGGTGCACAATAAAAGGCAAATCGGACGAAGATATATATGGGAGGTATATCTAAATGTTTACCGATTATCTCCAATTTCAATAGGGTTCGTCCTTGGACCAAACAAATGTTGTTTGCAAAATTTCATCTCAATCGGATAATAAATGCGACCTGCATTTTGTTCACAAGAATACATGGACAGCGGACGGACGGACGGACTGACATGCATAAATCAACTCAGAAAGTGATTCTATGCAGATCATCAAAATGAACTATGGGTCTATCTCGTTTCCTTTTGCCTGTTACAAACAAATGCACAAAGACATAATACCCTGACCACCTTGTGGTGTAGGGTATAAATATGGCTAAAATCATCAAAAAACCGAATATAGAGGGTAGCATTGTATGAGGGCTATACGATATCGTGGACCTATATAGACAATTCTTTCAGGAGGTTAAGTTATCCTTCTGTTGAATTTCAGACAATGCCATTGGAAAATCATCAAAATACCGAATGTCGGGATGTATCGTTATATGGGGGCTATACGATATCTTGGACCGATACAGCCCATCTTCGAACTTGACCTGCCAATAAATTATTGTATGCGGCTTAGAAAAAAATTTGGAGACCGAATGACGTAAACAAATTACCTGTGCCCAACAGAGCATACATTCTAGCTTAAAACGTTTCGAATGGAGTTGAAAAACGGTAAATTTCACCATTTGGTAGCGCCTTCTTCCAGACAAAGTTTTAGCTTCCTATCTTTATTCGTTTTATCTCTAGCGTGATTACAACAGACGGACAGACAGAACGATGGACAGGGCAAAATCGTTTAGAATTTTACGCTTGTTTTTTAAAAAGAACAATAATGGGATTAAGTCTGACCATTTTGCAACAACAAAATGCTAAGGTATCCCGAACGAACAAACCAACACTGTTCTATAATCAATAATATATATATACTTTGTTAGATCTAATATTATTATTATTATTTATATGAGTTACAAACGGAATGACGAAATGAATATACCATCCATACTATGTATAATGGAGGGTATGATAAATTCACTTAAGTGCCGTTGAAAACTATACATTAATATCGTGTCAATATTTTATAAATATATTTAGGTGTACTATTTATTTTTTCGCGGAATATTGGGATTTTTCCACAGTGCAGCGCCTTTACACATTTTACATTTCACAATTGAGTTTTCAGTGTACTTACTTACCAAACTGTATAAGAGATAATGAGACTTCAAAATTCTCCTCTCTCATTTAAGTTTCCTCTCATTGCGTAGTTTTTGTTAATCCTCTCTTTGTGACACAGACTAAGTGACATCTTCACATGTTATTTGTTATGAACTGAAAGAAAAAAACAAATTTGAAGAAGATAAGACACGCGAAATTTTCTTTATAACATTCAACATAAAATTTCCATTTAACTAATTCCAAACATTTAACAAAATTTTCCATATGCAATTTTAAGGAAAATGCATGGCCCAGGTAGGCATAATAAACCAATTCCGCGAATTTTAATACGAAAATTGGCAGGTATATTAGATGTCACTTTCTCGTGAAAATCCCAGCCTATGTTTCCAAGATTATGCTCGTTTTAAAAGCCTAGCGACATTGATGCCGGAGGCTGGTTGGTAGTCAGTCGCTGGATGGTGATAAGACACGAAACACACTCTCGGATTATTGGTGATAAGCCACACATAGATCGGAATTATTATTATTATTGAATATCAACGCAATTTTTGGATTTTGAAATTCAGTCAGCATTCGACTCTCGCCGACAACGGTCTTGGGGACTTGGGAGTCTAGTTTAAGATTTTGTTGGATTTTATTTTTTCTGGATTAAGTGGATTTGTGAAGTGAAGTGAAGAAAATGTATCGTCTCTCTATTAAGTGTACACGCAATGCCCTCTCATCCGTGACACTGACCAAATTCAGTGTCAGATGTTTGGCCACCACCACCTCCGTGGATGGGGTTTTGTTCCCAACCAAATCGGATTTCCCCAGCCGTCATATTGGACCACGCAAAACTGATGTGGTTTCCATGTTGGATACTTTGGGATATAAGGTAGGTCTCGAGTCCTTGAAATTAGGAGATTTGGATAGGGATTAAGGACCTGCATGAGAAATTAATTATCCGGTTTTTGTTTTTTCAGTCTCTGGGCGAGCTGACCGAGAAAGCTGTACCTAAACCCATACAATTGCAACGTGATTTGAATTTGGATAAGCCTCTGAGTAAGTATTCAAAAATTGTGGAATAAATGAAAAGTGGACGTATGGGATTTAATTAATCGGTAAATCGCAGAATAAGATCGCTTTCTTCCTTCAAATTGAAACCCATTAATTTTAAAGAATATTTCGTAGGAATTATCAGATCCGTTTTTTAATTTTGTTTAAGGATTTCCACATCACAGGAGTGAGTTTTAAGTATGATTTCGAAAGACTCACAGAGCACAATCGTGTATTTTCAAAAATAAATTTTCGAAGGATTTCCAGATTTACCGCCGTGATTTTTATATTTTTCACAGACCTCCAGTGTTACAATTGTGGATTATTTTTTAAATATTTATTCGAAGGAATTGGCTTCAGAGATTTTTGAAGGGACTTTCAAAATAAACGCCGTGGATTTAAGAACGCTTTTAAAAGACTCTCAAATTGAAACACTGTTAATTTTGAGAATATTTCTTAGGAATTATCAGATCCGTCCTTTATTTTTTTAAAACCACAAGAGTGATTTTAAAGTATACCTTCGAAGGACTCGCAGAGCACAATCGTGCATTTTCAAAAAAAATATTTCCTAAAGATTTCCAGATTTACCGCCGAGATTTTTTATATTTTTCACATGACCTCCAGTTTTACAATTGTGGATTTTTTTTAAAATATTTATTTGAAGGAATTGACTTTTTGAAAATTGTTTTTTGATTGACTTTCACGGTCACAATAGAGATTTTTGGAAGGACTTCCAAAATAAACGCCGTCAGATCTGTCCTTTATTTTTTTTTTAAATCACAAGAGTGATTTTAAAGTATATCTTCGAAGGACTCGCAGAGCACAATCGTGCAGTTTCAAAAATATTTTTCCGAAGGATTAGCAGATTCACCGCCGTGATTTTTTATATTTTTCACAGGACCTCCAGTGTTACAATTGTAGATTTTTTAAATATTTATGCGAAGGAATTGACTTTTTGAAAATATTTTTTTGATTGACATTCACGGTTACAATAGATTTTTGGGAGGACTTCAAAACAACTGCCGTGGATTTATTAAAAATTATTTTCTGTGTTTTTCTAAGAAATTTTTTTAAAGGACCCTTTACATTTTCGAAGGACATTCATATTTACAAACATGGTTTTTAGGGGAACAATCGTGACGTGACGTGACTTCTAGGGGAACAATCGTGAATTTTAAGAACATTTTTCCAGTGACTTGCAGGATCACAATCGTGGATCTTTAAGAGAAATGTGTATGGATTTTCAGAGCCATCACCCTGAAATAAAAATCGTGGATTTTCAAAAATATTTTTATCGATGGATTTCCCCCCGCTTAACCATGATTTTTTCCAAGGACATCCGGAGTTACATTTGTGGCTTTTTTAATAAATATTTTTCAATGAACTTCCAGAACAGCAATCGTGGACATTTTTTATTTTTTTTTTTTTTCGAAGAATTTTAAAAGTTGCATTCTTGATTTTTTTTTCCAAAAATTTCCGGAACCACAAACGTGATTTCGAAGGACCTCCAGAGTTAAAATGGTGGATTTTTTTAAAACCTCGCCTTGTTGTTGGGGTAAGCTCTCCGGGGACCAAGATCTGCCACAGAAATTTGTACAAGTGATCGAGAGAGTGATAACACAAATTATTTTTAAACACATTTTTAATGGGTTTATTTGAAATTGAGTGTTTGGTGAAGGTTATATTGAAAATCTATAAATGGGAACGGCAAACAGGTTTCAAATTATCGTGGTACCCGGATAAGTACACCTTAAACCCGGCCTTCTGCCTTGACCTCATCATGTTGGGAGACCTTACAAAATACTCTCCAAAAATATATAACCTCCAAGAAAAACTGGATAAGTATTTCTAGTTGGCCGTCCTCTTTGCTGAATTCAATGGAGACCTGAAAAAGTAATTCTGGGTGGAAGGCTAGTTGAATAGATCACGGTCCCAGGGGTTACGGACACTCTGGGATCCAAGGTTACGGACACATCAGTAAGTTAACACGACGTATACATTACTGAAACCCAAGGGGTACGGACACCCCAAAGGGTAAAGCTCGTTGACACAAAGGCTACGGACACCTCAGAGGTCAAAACAGGCGATATTGACTATGTGGACCCAATGGTTATGAAAGCCTCATAGGGTTGACTGTGTGGATCCAAACTATACGGAACCCTCAAAGGTCAAAACGCCCGATAGTGGCTATGTGGACCTGCATAAGTAATTCTGGGAGAAAGGCTAGTTAAAAAGGTCAAAACGCCTGATACTGGCTATGTGGATGCAAGGGTTACGAACACACCATTACGCATGGACCTAAGAGTTACGGACACCTCAGAACTCCACACACGAGGTGCTGGCTATGGGGACCCAAGGGTTACGAACATCTCAAAGGTTACACACTAACACATTACATTTGCTTAGTAAGTCTATAAAACCGATCTGAATCAACTCAATATTCTGACCTTTGTACTGGGTACTTGATTGGGTTTCTATCTATAGCTTTCCCTTTTAAACCATGGTCACCTATCCTGTAACAAGCAACAATCTTCAAATTTTAAAAGACATTTTTTTCAAGGACTATGTTGTATATTTATACTACTTTTCCAAGGACTTACAATGACCAACAGCAGATAGTGCAATTTTTAAACCTATTTCTTTCAAATATCTACAGATAGATATTTAAAAAATATTTTATTAATGGACACAAATATGTGGACCTGTTTTCAATATCCAACAGATTTTTTAAAAATATTTTTGGAAATATTATTTTTGTAATGGCCAAAAAATCGTATATTTTCTGAATATTTTCCGCCCTGTGGCAGAAGCTACTTTCTCTTTTTTTTTTTTTTTTTTTTGTTTAATTTAGACTTAAATCTTTGATCCGAGAACAAAATTTAGAATTCCGTATCAAAATAACAACATGTTTTCAATTTCCGAGTGTTATACTTGTTGTTGTTATTCTTGTGCATGGTATGATGTGTTTGGAAGTCATAAAAATATTTATAATAAATAATTCCAAGACCCCCTAGTGAGGTGTCGTCAGCTCCGCAGATGATAACACGCGACTGATAATACGAATAAAGTTCAAAATATTGATCCTCTCTGGTCAAATGCCTAGACATAACATCACCAACAACACGAGATAATGCAAACGACTTGTGTATTTTTTGATTTTAATTTCAATTTTCAAATCTGAATTCTAAAACTTTTTTTCTGTTACAGACGAACACGAATTGATTGTCCGCATCCGTAATATTGCCAAAAAGAATCAAATATGGCGTTCCTATATCGGCATGGGCTATCACAATTGCCATGTGCCCCATACCATTTTGCGGAATATCTTTGAAAATCCCGGCTGGACAACACAATATACCCCATATCAACCGGAAATTGCCCAGGGTCGTCTGGAATCCCTGTTGAATTATCAGACTTTAGTCTCGGAAATGACTGGTCTCGATGTGGCCAATGCTTCGTTGTTGGATGAAGGCACGGCAGCGGCAGAGGCAATGTGTTTGTGTACACGGTAAGTGATAAGGGGGCTTGTATATTTCGCTAAGGTGGGGAGGTCAGACATGTCATCAAAATGTTATAACATTGGTGGTATATTTCGAAATGATTTGCAATTTTCACTTCAATTTTAATTTGTTGTAATTTTGGCTAGTATATTCTCTGTATAGGTTTTTTGAGTACACAAGACCTTCTACAGGTCTTCTGGGGTTTTCAGATCTTTGTTTATTTTCCTTCCTGCCTCATGAAAAAAATAAAATATTTCCATTCTAGCCACAACAAACGCAAGAAGATCTTCTTGTCCAACAAAATTCATCCCCAAACTTTGTCGGTTGTCAAGACCCGAGCCGAGGCCTTGGAGTTGGAAGTTGAGGTGGGCTCAATTGAAAGTGCTGACTTGACAAGTCGGGAAATTTCCGGTATTCTCTTACAATATCCCGACACTTATGGTGATGTTAAGGACTTTGAGAGCATTGCTGAGACTGCCCGGAAAAATGGAGTAAGTTCCAAAAATTAGATGAAATAATTTTAAAAATTAATTTGAATTACTTTCCTTGCCACAGACCCTTGTTGTGGTGGCCACTGACCTTTTGGCCTTGACCATGTTGCGTCCCCCAGCCGAATTTGGTGCCGACATTGCTGTGGGTACATCTCAACGTTTGGGTGTGCCATTGGGTTATGGTGGTCCTCATGCTGGCTTTTTTGCCTGCAAACAAAATTTGGTTCGCCTCATGCCGGGTCGTATGATTGGTGTTACCCGTGATATGGATGGCAATGATGCCTATCGGTTGGCCTTGCAGACACGTGAGCAGCATATACGTCGCGACAAGGCCACCAGTAATATTTGTACAGCCCAGGCGTTGCTGGCCAATATGTCTGCCATGTATGCCATTTATCATGGACCGGAGGGTCTTAAGGCCATAGCAAATCGTATTCATCATTTCACACTGGCCCTGCAGGCAGGACTAAAAGGAGCTGGCCACACAGTTAACAACAAGCATTTCTTTGATACCTTACATGTCACTCTGGGAGCGGACATGACCGTGGAGGAACTGAAGGGACGGGCTGAATTGAAACAAATCAATTTCCGTTACTTCCCTGATGGCAGTGTCGGTGTGGCCCTCGATGAAACTGTGGGCCCCAAGGATTTGGATGATTTGTTGTGGGTCTTTAAGGGCAAGACATTGGAACAAGTTTTGGCCACGAACGACATTCTCGGTACCTCGATTGAAAAGACACCATTCTATCGTACCTCCTCGTATTTGACTCATCCCATTTTCAATGCCTATCACAGTGAATCGCGTATGGTGCGTTACATGAAGAAATTGGAGAATAAAGACATCTCGTTGGTCCATTCCATGATCCCCTTGGGTTCATGTACCATGAAGCTGAATGCCACCACAGAAATGATGCCCTGCTCATTCCGTCACTTCACGGACATACATCCGTTTGCTCCTGTCGAACAGGCCCAGGGTTATCATCAAATGTTCAAAGAATTGGAAGATGATTTGTGTGAAATTACGGGTTATGATAAAATCTCTTTCCAACCCAACTCTGGAGCCCAGGGAGAATATGCTGGTTTGAGGGCCATTCGTTCATACCATGAGCAACGCAATGAGGGTCATCGCAATATCTGTCTTATTCCCATTTCGGCTCATGGCACCAATCCTGCCTCGGCACAAATGGCTGGCATGAAAGTTGAACCCATTCGCATTCTTAGCGATGGCAGTATCGACATGGCCCATCTGAAGGATAAGGCAGCGGAGCATGCCAACAATTTGTCATGTCTTATGATCACCTATCCCTCAACTATGGGTGTGTTTGAAAGTACCGTGGCCGATATCTGCAGCCTTATACACAAATATGGTGGTCAGGTTTATTTGGATGGTGCCAACATGAATGCCCAGGTGGGTCTTTGCCGCCCCGGTGATTATGGCAGTGATGTGTCCCATTTGAATCTGCACAAGACTTTCTGTATTCCTCATGGTGGTGGTGGTCCTGGCATGGGTCCCATTGGTGTCAAGGCCCATTTGGCTCCCTTCTTGCCTGGACATCCGGTTATTAGTCCCTCCGATAATGAGGCTACCAGTTTTGGTGTCGTCTCTGCCGCTCCATTTGGCAGTTCGGCCATTTTGCCCATCTCCTGGTCATACATTAAACTAATGGGTAGCCGTGGCTTGAAACGTGCCACCCAGGTTGCCATTCTCAATGCCAATTACATGTCGAAACGTTTGGAACAGCACTACAAGACCCTGTACAAAGATCCACAAAATGGTTTGGTGGCACATGAATTTATTCTGGACATTAGAGATTTGAAGAAATCGGCCAATATTGAGGCAGTCGATATCGCCAAACGTTTGATGGATTATGGTTTCCATGCACCCACAATGTCATGGCCTGTGGCTGGTACTTTGATGATTGAACCCACCGAATCGGAGGATAAAGAGGAATTGGATCGTTTCTGTGATGCTCTGATATCGATTCGTGAAGAAATTGCTCAAATCGAAAATGGCACAATGGATAAGCAAGTAAATCCTTTAAAGATGGCACCACACACACAGTCGCAAGTTATTTCCGATAACTGGAATAGACCATATAGTCGGGAAATGGCCGCCTTCCCAGCTGTAAGTAGAAAACTCATTTTTATGGTAACTTATTTGATTACATATCAACAATTATATCATACCTGTGAACATCCATGCATCTCTAAATTTAATTTTTTCCCTTTTTCAGATATTCATCAAACCCGAATCCAAGATCTGGCCCACAGTGGGTCGCATTGATGACGCCTATGGTGATAAGCATCTTGTCTGCACCTGTCCCCCAATTTTACCTGATTTGTAAAACAAATGTTTCCCGTGCCTTGTGAATCTTTTTCTTTCTTAATTATTTGTATATTTTCGTATATTTAAATAAAAAAAACATTTTAAATTTAAGGTTTTAAATTTTGTTGTTTTAATCAAAAGACTTTTATAAATAGATTTTTAAAAACTTGCGATAAATAAAAAATCACTCCATATATAGAATTAATCCCTTTAAAAAAAATTAAATTGATTTGATTTGATGAATTGATTGATTGATTTAGAACTTATCTTTCTTTGATACTTTTTAAAAAAAAAATTAAATGTCATGGAAGATTTTGACTTAAAATGGACGTGTAAATTTAGCAGTAAAATCTTTAAAACATTATTTTCACTTTAATAAATAATTTTCGAATGTAATTCTATTAAAAACAATATCGTTTAGAACATTTCTTCCTTTGACACATTCTGCCTTAAATGAAATTTCATGTTGCGCTTTCAGGCGTCAAATCTAAAATAATGCCTAAGAAAAATTGATCAAAGAACCAGTAAGGAAAAATCGAAAATGGGGCGGGGCCGACTATATGATACTCTACACCACTATGCATATTTAGTAGATCTCCCGTAACAAAAGAATTTATTTCAAGTGGATCATACCACCTATCAACATTTGGCTTTAGAGAAGTTATAATTTGGTTTCAAACAGAACTAATATATGGGAGGCATATCCAATTCGGAATAGATTTTCACTAAATTTGACATTTTTTTATCTTTTATACCGAATAACATTGCTATAGAATACATCATATCACATTGAGAAGGATTATATTAAAATATACATGTGAGATAAAAAAAAACACAACAAATGTTTACATTTTTTTTTAATTTTATTGAATGAAAGCAAAAAATGTCGGAAATATCATCAAAATTTAGAATAAGTTTAGATTTGTTCGAATTGGTGACTTTTGGCGCGAATTATGGCCTTCAAACAGCTAATCAAACCCTCACACGCTGCCCGAATGCTGCTCTGCGGTATTTTGGCCCATTCCCGTCGAAGCACTTGCTTGAGGTAATCGACACTTTGGTATTTTTAGTGCCAACCTTGCTTTTCAAAATACTCCAGACACAATAATCCAACGGATTGGGGATTGAGGTTTTAGTGGCCATTGTGCGCTGGAAACGAAGCGAGGAACCTCATTTTGTAAGCATTCTTGGGTGGCGCGTGCTGAGTGCGATGGTGCTGAGTCCTGTTGGAATGTCCAAGGTCTGCGGCCAAAATGTTTGCCTGCCCAAGGCTTTAATACACCCTCCATAATATTTCCGCGATAATATTCGGCATTTATTCTGATGCCACGGTCGATAAATACGATCGGAGAGTTATCATCGGCTGTTATGGCGGCCCACATCATCACCATGGCATTTATTCTGATGCCACGGTCGATTATGGCGGCCCACACCATCACAATGGCCGGCGCTTGAGTTCTGGTAGCCAACCGAAGGTACATGTTTTCAGCTGACCTCTTTGACAAGTATACACGATCATTTTGTTTGTTTACAAACTGCTGGTCAACGAATATTTTCTCATTGGAGAAAACCGAATTCGGCAGTTCACAACTTTCGGCCAAGCGAAGCAAGTGTTTAGCTATTTTGAGTCTATTTTCTTTCTGTTGCGGTGTAAGTTTTGGCACTTTTTGGAATTTCAATGGCTTTACACCGAGCATATTTCTCAATATTTGCCGAATGGAATATTGCGATATGTTCAGCTCATTAACCATTTTTCGGCCACTACGATGCGGGTTTCGATTTTTTTTATTTTTGTATTTGTAGTTCCTAATGGGTTCTACAACCGGTGTCAAAACATTGTCCAAATTGGCCCACTGTTTCCACATAAAGGTACCCGCCTATATCCGGTATTTTTATAATCCAATTCGCACTTACCCACGGAATTGTTTCAAATTTAGTATTTAATATAATAGATAAAAATCCTTGAAATATTAAATTGTCTATAGGGGTTCCCATTTCGGGTAGACTTTTTTAACGGCTCTACCTATTTTACTCCTTTTTGAAAACTTTATCGCATTTACTGTTACTTGAAGTTTAAAGTGGAATACATTCGAATCCAGATACTTTCATATAAAGTGTTTACTTTATCTAATGGTGGAGTGTACTTAAGTACGGCCTGGCCGAACTTAATGTTTTTCTTTTACTTGTTAACGTTAATATAAGGTTTGAATACCTTGTGAAATATGGTATTCCCTTTTTTCAAATTACACCTTTTAATATTTGAGACAAGTTGTTGTAAAAGAAGCCATTAGCCACTAAACCAACCCAATTTCACTTTCACTATTTTGAACCATAAATAATGAAAGATTAACTAACAAATATTTCTATTTGTTTACAATTACAATTTTCTGGAATAATATTTATATTTGTCGATAATTTCTTACGCCATTACGCAGCGTCAGTAATTAGATGCCCCAACTCTCTTATTGTCAACATTTAGCAGTGTAAATACGGCCTTTGTTGTTTGCATGCTCTCCGTAGTAAGTAATGCCAACTCCTCAAGTAAAATGAGATTATAATTCGCACATATATCAAATTATTAACAAAAGACTTGATATTTTTTACGTAATTCCAATAAATAACTAAGATTTCTCACAATTTATCACCTAAAATAAAATATAACAACACCCCATTGCAAGAAATGTCAAAAGAGAAAAAACAAAAACCGCAATGTTAGGCGCTTTTAACATGCCACCAAGTTGGCAACATTGTGGCGGCAAAAAAACACAATAAATGTGATTGTTGAATTTAACTCAGTTGCCGTGGAAATAACAAACATCGTTTTTGCAGTCAACGGGAAATTCTAGAAAAAAGTTAATAATTAAAACAGTTCATTTCAGACTTTGTGTTTCTCCTCGCCTTGATCGCTGATATATTATGAAAATCGAAGAAGTTAAAAGCACCGTCCGTACCCAACGCATTTCTGCCCATAGCCACATTAAAGGTTTGGGCTTAAATGCCGAGGGTGTCCCTTTGCCCATGGCCGCTGGTTTGGTGGGGCAAAAGGCTGCCCGAGAAGCTGCTGGTATTGTTGTAGACTTGATTAAAACCAAGAAAATGGCTGGTCGTGCCTTACTGCTGGCCGGACCACCCGGCACCGGCAAAACTGCAATTGCCCTGGCCATTGCCCAGGAATTGGGTAATAAGGTACCATTTTGTCCCATGGTGGGCTCGGAAGTGTTCAGCAGTGAAATTAAAAAGACCGAGGTTCTCATGGAAAACTTTAGACGTTCCATTGGCTTGAGAATACGTGAAACCAAGGAAGTCTATGAGGGTGAAGTGACCGAACTGACACCGGTGGAGACAGAAAATCCCATGGGTGGCTATGGCAAAACAATAAGTAACGTTGTGATTGGTTTGAAAACAGCCAAGGGCACCAAACAATTGAAATTGGATCCCAGTATTTTTGAGGCTTTGCAAAAAGAAAAAGTGGAGGTGGGTGATGTCATTTACATCGAGGCCAATAGTGGTGCCGTCAAGCGTCAGGGACGTAGTGACACTTTTGCCACAGAATTTGATTTGGAAACAGAGGAATATGTACCGCTACCCAAGGGTGATGTACACAAGAAAAAGGAGGTAATTCAAGATGTGACATTGCATGATCTGGATGTGGCCAATGCGAGACCTCAAGGTGGCCAAGATGTTCTCTCAATGATGGGTCAGCTGATGAAACCAAAAAAGACTGAAATTACCGACAAATTGCGCATGGAAATCAACAAGGTGGTTAACAAATATATTGATCAAGGTATTGCGGAATTGGTACCCGGTGTGCTGTTCATTGATGAAATTCACATGCTGGACCTGGAGACCTTTACCTACTTGCACAAGTCTTTGGAGTCGCCCATTGCACCAATTGTCATTTTTGCCACCAATCGTGGCCGATGTGTTATACGGTAAGAAAACATTACGAATTTTGTTGTTCCTTTGTTAACATCTCCTTTCTTTTTCTTACAGTGGCACCACCGACATTGTTTCACCTCATGGCATCCCCTTGGATTTGCTTGACCGTTTACTGATCATACGCACCTTACCCTACCATTCCAGTGAAATGGAACAAATCATAAAGCTGCGTGCTCAAACAGAGGGCCTACAATTGGAAGAGCCCGCCTTCACACGTCTCAGTGAAATTGGCAGCACATCGACTTTGCGTTATGCTGTCCAGCTATTAACACCAGCCCATCAAATGGCCAAGGTTAATGGCCGTACCCAAATCTCCAAGGAAGATATCGATGATGTACATGCTTTGTTCTTGGATGCAAAGCGATCATCGAAGCATCTATCGGAGAAAAATAATAAATTTATGATGTAAAAACTGTAGAATTGACGCCCAGTGACATAATTGTTTGCTATATTCCTTAATAGATTTAGAAATAAGAAATTCTATACCACAAACATTTTTGTTTACTTATTTATCCTAAAGATTCAGTTGAATGATGACCACATTATAATTTTGAAAAGCGCTTTCGAATGTGGGAGTCACTGATAGGATGACTTCCAAAACATCTAAACAATGTAGATGTCTAGAACTACAAATACTAAAACATCGATTTTGAAGCTGATGGTATATTTGGTACATTTGGGTGAAGGGATAGGACTGGAATCCTCAAATTTGATATTGAGATCTCTGTTGGAATCTGGAATTGAGATATGGAGATGGGTTTGAAAATGCGTACTACAAATGCATAAAAATGATTAAATAGTACTATATTTGGTATTGCGTGACCAGACACTTCTTCAAATATGAAATTTGGTACTAGGTTCGCTGTTCATGTGTAGTCTGGATATATGGAGGTGTTTTCGGAATATATGTACTACTATACTACAATTGTACGAAAAGTACTGAATGGTGCTATATTTGGTATTGGGTGAAGGGAGAGAGATACATTTATGAAATTTGATATTTAGATTATTTATGGTGTCTATGTTTGACATTAGGTATTTAAGAATGCGTCCTATATTTGTACTATATAGTAATTAATTTGGTATTGGGTGAAGGAATAGATCTGAAATTTGTTTATAGATGTTACAGTTGGTATCTGTGGTTAAGATACGGAGGTGGTTTTGGAAATGTGTTGTATAATTGGTACTAGGTGGTACTAAATTTGGCTTTAGGTGAACAATAGAGCTGTAATTCCGATATTTGACATTGAGGTCTCTATTGTTATCTGAGATGGAGATATGGAGGTGGTTTTGGGAAGTATATTTGTTCGAAAATACTAAATTTGAATCACCGTTGGTTCCTAGGAAGGAGATGTAGATTGTTCTGGATATGAATTCTAAATGTTACTAAATTTTGGGTGAAGCGATGGAGCAGAAATTTTAATTAGGGGCACTTTGGGTCCATTGTATAATGGTTTTACACATCTTCGACAAGCTTCAAAATTAAAGATTTTGAAGACATTTTGGTGTACATGGTAATGATTTTCCTATTAGTTTTTTTTTTCTGAAAAAGGAAAAAACATATAAGATATGAAACATTTACTCTGTTCCAATACCTTCAAGAATCTACTACTTTTGCCATTTTATCATAAAGGGAAAATCGATTATCGCAGTAAAACCTTTTACATTTTTGCAGTTCTGGAACAGACCAACTATAAGTCTGAAAATTTAGTACGATGTATGAACTTTTGGTTAAAAAATTGTCAGACTGAAGAAATTGTGCATTTTGAGGCCTAACACGCAATGTTGGAACGATTTTAAGGTGGACTTTTCGCTGACGAAGTAGCTGGAACCTGCAATAAATGAGATCAACTCTTGCATTCAATTTTGAATAAGACAGCAGATAGCAGAAGAGTTTCAAACAGCTTTTTTTCTGGAACTTACATTCCAGCCAACATTTCGTTATCCTTTTATCCTATATTTATTTTAAAAAGTTTGAAAACAATTTCCACAATGCGTAAAACAAAGCAATTCAAGTAAAATGAAGCAAAAAGTGTATTTAAAAGTGTTATAAGTACAATACGAATAAAAACTTACCAATTTTCTACGGCATAGCACCAAGACGATTCTTTACAAGGTGTTGCTATTGGAGTTAAGTTTCACTGTTAAAATATTTTTAAAAAACATATTTAGTTCTATAATATTTTTTAATGATAGAACGCAGTTTTGTACTGTTATTTTTTAGTAAATTTTACAATATTTTAACTAAAAATTTAATTTCCGTTACACTTTAATATAAAATCAGCTGTTTTCATTTTGTGTTTGGAGATACCCCGTTTGGAATGAAAGAGTTATCAATTCAAAGTGAATGATAAGTAGGGATATATAGATCAAATGAGAAATAAAATTGATATGCCATATTAGTCTTCCTCCACACACTAATCAATGCTCTATCCAGAACAGCTACCAATGCATTCAGAACAAAATATTAGGGCTATATATGATTCCACGATTCCGCAGGCACTGTACGACAAATTTAAAGCATATATTCGCGAGATACGCCAAAATTGGACCAATCGGATGAATTATTTGAGACTATATATGAGAATATTTACACGAGTAAATCTTCATACTTCAAATTATATTGTGCTATCAAATATGTTTAAAATTTCTTTATAACTTTTTTTTCAAAATGTAGACCTTTTTTTGGTATTAATCACTCGCACACAAAGAACGCACCACACGATTTCGTTTAAAATTTCAAATCAAATAAAAATTTCATTTTTTTTTTTTTAATTTCTCTATAGCTCTTAAAAACAAACACCCTTTTGAACATCTTTTTGGGAAAATTTTTATTTACAGTTCCATTGTATATACTCAAATCAAAGATCGCAATTTGTTTACAATTAAAGAAAATTCGATCAAGCAACTTGTGCTATGTTATTTCACCAAATCTTTTCTGGCAGTCAACAACTAATAATCGATTATTCGATTTCTGTTGCCAACCTTCCCCAAACATCGACTTTGACATTTCTTTTTTTCTGCTTACCAAAGTCGATAAGTCAAAAGTCGACTTATAAATCCCTAGTTCATAACATCTTCTCATTCGAATAAGACAGCAGCAGCACCAATCACAGAAATTGTTAATTTTTGTTAATTTAAATTTTTAATTAATCCAATAAGAGTGTGTGCAAGGCAAAACAATAATAAACCGAAACAACAACAAAAAATTAACGACAACGGATAATAATAATACTAAAATATAAGCAAAACAAAAAAGAAGGCGAAAAACACGAAAAAGAGTCTTAAAAAGCAATCAATTTAAACGAAATTGTGTGGTGCGTTCTGTGTGTGCGAGTGATTAATACCAAAAAAAGATCTACATTTTGAAAAAAAAGTTATAAAGAAATTTGAAACATATATATGTGCATGCAACTTGTGCTAATCGATTGTGGAATTATGTATGATTTATAAAATGATAAATGATGGAAGTGTGCAGCAGCAGCAGTGCAGGCAAGCAGACAAAAGCAAGAGGATTGTGTAATTTTGCCAAGAATTTTTGTCAAAAAGAAATTTTTTATTGTTTGGTGTTGAGTGAGTAGAGTAGGTGGAACGGAGCAGCAGCAGCGGTAGCGGTAGCAGTGACAACAAAAACAAGCAGCAGGGTCGAGGAGGAGCAGACCATCAGCAAATCAGCGGCCAACAACAAACAAAGGCATTGGTGACGACAACTACGCCGAAAAGTGAGTATGATTTCCCAAAAAAAAATAAATGAAAAAAACGAACATCGCCGCGCCCGCCTTTGACATAAAAACCCGACCGAAAATGAATAAAAGACATTCTACGACGAGAGCATTATAAAATTCGTAATTCGTGTTGATTTTTCTTACTTTTTATTTTTGTTGTTGTTATTATTTTTTGGTGACTGCCGGCGCCGCTGAACCCACCCACACACAAAATAAAACTTGTCAAGGGAGACAACAACCAACAACACCCGTCAGCTCTGCTGCTGAGGCCTTTGCTGCAGCAACTGCGAAAAACTATTTTGCAGTTTGCGGCGACAGCGCCTGCAGCAGCAGCATTGCTTTGTTGTTTTGTTGAGTATGAATGACATTGCAAGCAATCACAGTTAGAGTGTTGTCAACTCTCTTCTTTTTTTTTTGTCAATAAACAAAGTGAAAAGAGAAAGAGCACAAATGGCATGGACTTTTGATTAAATTTTTTTTTGTGAAAGAAAGTCAAGGAATTTCTTAGAAAAGATAAAGTGTTTGAAAGAAAAAAAATATTTATATTAATTTTCTTTTTTTTCTGTTCCTTTAGACCTTCTACCACTTTTCATTTGACTAAAGTGTGTTGAGTGTATTCATTGGTCTGTTATGAAGTGCCTTTCATTCCATAATAAGCCACTTGCTTCTATGTACCTACCTACTTCCTTCATCTTGATGATGAATTGCTGCAGCTAGCTACTGTTTGTTAATGCTTGTTTGCTTTTATGCACCTTCAACTTCATCATGCTAACCAACCAGCCAGCCAGCCAGCCAGTCAGCCATCCTGCCTGCCTGCTTGCCAACTAGCAACGACTACAACGAGTAGGCAAGGCAGCCAGCCAGCCAGCATCACCAAGGTGAATACTAAATTTTTGCGTCCTTGTGACCTAAAACAGCTGGGCAAAAACAAAACCTTGACGATTTCTATTCGTTTTACAGTTATGTAGGTCAACACACATTCATACGCCTGTAATCCTGTGTTTATGCTGATGTTGATGTGGTTGCCTTGCCAGTGGTGTATGTCCGTGTCCGTGTTGGTGTGGTCGTGATGATGGCCGCCTTTTCTTTTGTACATCAAATGTCATTTATATTTCTGGAACATTTACGGATGTATGAATGTCTCCGGTGGTGGCATTTGATGATTGTATGGCAAGGTGTCAATACATTGATTATGTTAAATATGCAAATTTTATATCCGTTTATTGATATTTATGATGCAATATAATGCATGCTTGCTTGTCGTCTGCCTGTTCAGTTATGATAGAAGCACTGCCACATTATGCATGCCATTGTTGTTTTTGTGGTGGTTTCCATTGTTGTTTTATACTCCAAGCTGGCATTGTGAAGTAGCTAGCTGTATGCCACAAATGTATATATGGATATTATTGATTTTTTATTATTTGTTTTTGTTGTTGCGGGTAATAAGATTTTTTATATCATGGCAGTAGTAGCTATGAACAAAAAAAAAAAAAAAAACAAAGGAGGAAAGGAGGTTAACATTTTAATCAATGTTCTTGAAGAATGGTTATTTCTTTCATTTTCCTTCTTTTTCTCATTTTTTTTCCTTTGAAAGCTCTAGTTTTTGTTTATGGCCCAAGCACATAGTTGTGAAAAAAGAATGTTCAAAGTGCCTTTGAAACATAAATTTTACTAATAAAAAGGCAATGTTGTGTTGTTTTTTTTTTCTGGCCTGAACTTTGCCACTTAACATTGGCTGGCTAGGACTTGGTGTGTTTATGTGCTATGGCGCTATGACAACGTGATGATATTTTGGGTAAATTGGCAAATAATTGGCTCAAATGTGAATTGAGTGTGCAGAGGCACCATTTGGATTACTTTGAGATGCTGTAATGTAATTGGCACTCGAGTGTGTCCTGATTATGAAAATGTCAAGCGACTTTTTTTGGTGCAAAGCCATTAAGTAAGGAATTACATTCGAGTGGCGCACGACTTTACGACTCCTTTGGGTATTCGAAAAAGGTGTCTTTATTTAGGAATACATTTAGATATTGGAGTACTGATGTATCGTGATGAAACTTCTTGGAAAGGACTATGGACACTGGGAATGCGGATTTTTTGAAATCCTTCGCTATAAGATTGAGGATTAATTAATGTTGTCCTTTTGTTTGTAAAACCTCGACGTTTTCGTATTTATATTCCTATACTTTTGATTCATATATATTCTTGTACGTCCATTGTGATAGGTATAGGGTGATCCTTTAAGAGCTATAGGGAAGTTTCCAAATAATACAAAAAAAAAAAAAAAAAACAAATAAAGCCAGAAGAGTGCATGAAATTTTTATTCGAATTGATAGCACAACCCAACAAAATTTAATTCTTGAAAATAGTTTCATGTAAATGTTGAACGCGATTGCGTCTTAAATAAACTTACTCACTTAGTCTAATTTTGGGATGCTCTTTGCAATCTCAGGAATAAATGCTTCAATCTTGTCTTACATGCGTCCATTGAAGCGACCTGGGATGTATGGACATAGGCCTTAACATAGCCCCACAACAAATCGCACGATCTAAGTAGCCAATTGACCGGTTCCCAACGTGAAATAAAATTTTCACCGAAATCGCCTCTCAATAAATCCATTGTTACGTGTGCTGTGTGGCATGTGGTACCATCTCGTTGTACCTGCTTGTCATGCATAGCGGTCACCATTCACAGTTACCTTACGCAGCATCTTGGAGGAAATACACCATAAATTGCATAAAAATGTGACTTTTTCTGGATGCTGATCCGGCTGATCTTCTGAACTCAATTTTAATGAATAATGAACTTTCTTAACAGGACACTCATTTTTATATTCACACACGTCACACGCTGCCCGAATGTTGCTCTGCGGTATTTTGGCCCATTCCCGACGAAGCGCTTGCTTAAGCTGATCAACACTTTGGTATTTTTTAGTGCCAACCTTGCTTTCCAAAATACTCCAGACACAATAGTCCAACGGATTGGCTATTGTGCGCTGGAAATGAAGCTTTGACCCTTTGTGGGGGAGGTACTTGATAGGGTAGACCGATACTGTCCATTTTCGCACCTGACCTAACACTGACGCAAATATTAGGATTTACAAAGTTGGATTATCCTTTCTCTTTCTTTGCAGATTTTTTTTTTTAATTTTGATCTCTTGTTGGGAAGTACTGGAAAGAGTGGACAGATATTGTCCATCTCCGAACTTGATCTAAGTTTGGTAATAATATTACGATGTACCAAGTTTGGACCAAATCGGATACACTCTTCAAGAATTATTGTGGGCAACAGCCAGACAGACACACGAACGGACATCGCTAGATCGACTCCAAATGTCCAGAAACGGATTTGGTCCAAAGAGACCTAGGGTCTAAAACCGTTATTTCGATGAGACACGCTTTGGCCGTATCAAATGATGCTATATGTCTGAGGGAATGAAAACGGACACAGGCATAGGGAGGGTATAAATGAAGTTGAAGCAAGCGTTGTTGGTTTGTAAGGCGAGCGATATAATATCTTATAGGCCAAACAGAAGATGTATGACAACACTGTTTAAACCAGTGTTGACAAAACGTAATGCTAAAAATCACCCTTAATAAACCGTCATAGCAGATCTTCCAACTAATAGTTTAAATTTTCAAAATGTAGACCTACAGAAAATTTCAGCTGCTATTTTCCACTTTTTCTGCAAGGCAATTTTTCTCCTCTATACAATTTAAAGCATTTTTTAATTTGTCAGACAATTGTCTACCACCGCTTGTAACACAAAACCCAAACACAAAAACAATGGAATTAATCTATATTTGACTAATGACTAGCTACCCAATCAGTGATACCAATTCTATATTAAGTGACGTGTTTAACTCGTATATTGCTTCCCATCCGCCCCCTGCCTCCACTATTTTCAAGTGCGTGCCTTCTAATTGTGTGTGTGTGTGTGGTAAATTTAACTAAAAAAAACTAAATATTAGTGGGTGGTTTTATTCAATTCTACATTGTTCTTTAGCTGGTAGTTCTTTTGTTTTTGATTTCATTTTTCTCGCTTTCATTGTTTTTGTTGCTGTCGCCGCTGCTATTCTCCAACACCGAAACCCATTAAATATTTTTAAACAATCATACCTATAGGAATTATAAACATAGCTCATTTAAACATTAATCATCAGCTTTTTTATTCGGCAAACTAGCGCGAAACAAAACAAAAGCGTAAGCGACAAAAATACCAATGCCTTGGCTAGCTCGCACACTCGCTATCTATTGGAGCGGCTAATTTGATATGTAAGCATAAATAAATAAGTTTATTGAAAATAATTCATTCTTCTTTGTTTTGTGAAATCGAAGAATGTTGGAGTAGCCAAAAGTTGAAAGGAAATTGGATTGAATTGAAAATAAAATTTAAAGAAATTTAAATTTGTTTGAGAACAAATCGAAAAAAACTTTAAACATGGAACTACTCCAGACATTTTGGAGTCGTTATGATATCTATGTTCTTTACCATCCAGACTGAGACCAGATGTAAAGATAATATCTATTGCACACACACACACACAATATGGCATGCAGGGAAGAAAAATCCATGATCGATTTAACCGTTTCAGCAATGCAGGTGAACAAATACAAGGCAACTGGAAGTAGGGACGGAAGCTTATTGTTTTTGCTGGAAAATTACTGAAGATTGGGCTGGAAGGGACCACAATTTTGTTGCAGAGCACAGATTTGCTCGCTTTCTCTCAGGAGCTGACCTACGGAAAACTCGCTCGCATTTGAGTAAAGAATAAAAAATAGGAGAAAAACAAACAAAACGAACAAATTCTTTCCTTCGGTTTCCCTCGAATAATTACGGACATGCTTTGCTCGTTTTAGAGTGGAATCAAAATTCGTTTGAAAACGAGCAGATTTTATGCTTGCCAAAAAAAAAAAAAATACCTTTGTGACTCATATGCATTGAAAACATTGTTGCTAATCTGTATCAAGAAAAAAATATGTTGTTTTTGTAGCA